GCTTTCAGACTGACGGGGAAGAAGCTGGCTCCACGGGCGAATGGCTGTGGGTCTGGTGCAATTCTCACGGGCGTATCAATCAAGAAGAACTGTCCACATGCAGGGATCCGCCTCCAAATCTCTTGGATCGGCTGACTGAAATCGTTAGCGACGATCTGTACGCCAAATGATAGGCGTTCTCGAGTCTGTGTCTCGATGAAGGCGTCGATAGATTCAATGTCCTCAAGTGTTATGACGTTCTCACCAAGCAGGTCCGAGTCAGAGATGCGAAGCTCTCGCTCCTCTGTAGAGTCAACAACCACCGCAAAATTCCTTTGCAGTGCCTTTGAGAGTCTGACAAGCATGTCAATTCTCGACCTTGGCCCAGGCAAGATGATGATTGCTGCTTCTTGATCAGATGCCACATTCGTCAGGCCGAGTTGCGAAATCAGCATAAGGGGTGGCAAGGCTTGCAAGAGGATTTCTGGAGACGTTTCTCGTATGTCAACGATAGTGTAGACAGACGTCTGCACTATTGTCTGTAAGACTTCACCTGCAAAGGTAACACTGTGACGACCTATGAGAGCTTGGTCAAGAGAGCAGCCGACACGGATTATCTGGCCGCACACAAGCCTGTTGATGGATGGATACAACTCTGAAGCAATGACTTGGAGCTCAACTGCATCATCCGCAAGCAAAGCCTGGTCATAGGCCTCAAACACGAGTTGATCATGGAGACCTCTCGAACGTAGAGGCGTTCCAGGAGGGAGGACCATCTCCTGGGCATGCTGTTGCGATTTGTTGAGTTCTTCGTAAGGGGCGATTCGGGCGATGTGCAAGGATCCATCGTGTAGCCAAAACTCTGTATCGCGGCCAGACTCTTTTGTACTAGCTTCCTCTAATCTGCTGATGATGGCATTGCCGAGAGCTTGTGTTGGCTCATCGTAATCAGCATCGAGTAGGACAAGCTTGGCGGCGGCATGCTCTGAGCGAACAGTGCGGAGAAGACCTTCGGCCATGCCAGCTAACGGAGATCTTCCTTCTCTTACACCTTTCGTAAGCCAAAGCGTACGGGCACCTGAGACCAACACACTTTTGACAGCATCGAAGACAGCTGCATCTAAGCACATGAGAGACAATAAAGTTCCCTCCGAATCATCGATAACAACGTAGCTGTCATTCTCAGGAGAGAAGTCCCTGATTGATTTGTTCTGGATTGAAAGTCCGGACGATGATCCAGTTAGGGCTGTTTCGAGAGCGAGACCACTTGCACTTGAAGCGGACGGGGACAGGATGCTCAAATGCTCAGAGAGGAAGACTCCGTCTTGGTCGGAAGGCTTGCTCTTGTGGATAACAAATGCATCATCCAATGGACGAGCATACTGGGGCAAAGTGTCATGCTGCTTCTGAATACCAAGCAGCCATCCGCCTTCCTTGACAAGTGCTACCAATGTCTCCACGTCAACATCAAATTTTCGGCCAGGAAGGTGGATCAGGACCATATCCTGAGATTGCTCCATCTGTCGTGCCCAGTCAATTGCTGAAGGCAACGGGCTGACGATAACAGTGCGAGCTTGGACTTCTTCAGGTAATCGTAGTTCGTTCTCCGTATCGAGACAGAGCGTGAGTCCGACGTGAATGGGTAAAGCATCAAGCACTGCAATTACGGTCTCTGCGCAAGGAGAGCCGAAAAGAAGAACCTTGCTCACGGATTGTCGATGGCAGACAAGTCCTGCTAATTTGCGGAGCTGCTCGGCATCATTAGAACCGGATATGAGATGCTTCGATGTTTCCGAACGCAAGGCCAGGATATCGGGTTTCCAGGTAACGATAGAAAAGGGTTCCGGATCCGAAACTGCCTCAAGAGCACTCGCCGGCAAAGCAGCATCGTATGTAGTACATGTCATGTTCTTGACGTTCAGAACGACTTTGCCACTATGGTCAGCCAAGCGCACGTTGGTGTTGAAGTTCCGTCCATCATGCTCGTCCGTCCAAGCTATGGCATGCCCAGTGCATCTCTCGTTGGTCGGTTCGATCATCACCTCGTCGAAGTGGGTAGGAACCACACCCCACGGCATCTCTTTGTGCTTGCCAGAGTGAATTGATATGATAATCAGTTGCAAGCAGGCGTCGACGGTGGAGGGATGGATCAGATAACGGGACTCGCCTGACATGACGTCTGAGGACTGTGATATGGTCACATCGCCAGCAGCATGATGAACATCCCGGTCTGTGCGGGCATACTGCAGTTGTTGGAATGCCTTTCCATAATAGAACCCAACGCGGTCGAAAGCTTTATACCATCGTCGTCCGGGAACCCGCTGTGTAAGAGCAGACTCAACTACTGGAGTTTTCTCGAGAGTCGGGGGTCGATGGGTTGTAGAAATCCTGCCTTTGCAGTTCACTGTCCATACCCCATTAGCCAGGGATTCGACGGTAAAAGTGTGCCAGTCGAATCCGTCGCTTGGTTTTGAAAGGGTGACAACAGTTTCAACACCATCGTCATTGTCGGGTATGACCAGCGCTGTTGTAATGTCCACATCGCGGATAGTAAAGCCTTGATAATGCAGAACCTCAATCTGATAGACCTGGCGCAAGGCTTCGATTGCGAGCGAGAGATGGCCAGCTGCCGGAAAGATGGAGGTACCGCCAAGNCTGCGAAGTGTGTCAATCATCCATGAGCGTATAAAAACGTGCGCTTTATGACTTACGTTGTGATCTTTCAGCCAGGGTATATCCCGATGGCGAAGGATATTTCGCCATTTCAAGAAGTTGTCAGTAAGCCCGGAGATTCGACTGCCGAGTACGTCGTGACGGGGAAACACACGAGCTCTTTGTTCAACACTTCCTCGTGGCTCGGCCCAGTACTGCTTTTGGTAGTTCCATTGATATGGCGGAAGGTCAGTGAGAAGATATTTCGTGCGTGGCTTGCGAATTCTACTGTCGGTGGGATCGGTAAGATTGACTTTGCCCAGGTCGACAGGATAGCCAGCTAGGAATAGAGATCCAGCAACCGAAAGGATCTGCATTGCATCGTTCTTCTTGCGCACCAGAGATGGCACATATGTCAGGCGATCCACTTTGTTGGCTACGCAGATTTGCTTGAAAGGTCCAGAGAGTGCTGAATGTGGACCAACCTCAACGACAATGTTCACGTCTTTGAACGCAGCATCGGTCACAAGACACGTAGTCGCGGTATCAAAAAGGACGCGTTGTCGGAGGTTTGTGCTCCAGTAGTCCACTGGTAGAGAGATCTCGGTAATAGGCCTGCCAGTCACAGTCGATATCATAGACGATCTCGGACGGCGCCACAACTCGTCGTCGGCCCTGAGCTTGGTGAGGGCCTCAGATAGCATAATCTCGTATTTATCGCCCACGGGAGCCATCTGCGGAGAGTGGTATGCCCTCCCGGTCGAGAGTTCCCTAGCAAAGATCTCTTGAGACCTAAGAGTCTCTTGCACCTGGGCGATCGCTGTTGCCGTACCACTCAAGGTCACGCTATCAGGTGAGTTCTCACAAGCGATACATATATCTTCTTCATCAGGAGGTAAGAATGCGCGGATTCGCTCTGCACCCAAGCCCACGGCAAGCATGGAACCTGGTGTCGATGCCTCTGCTACAGCTTGCCCGCGGCAGAATGCGGTAATCATTGCCTCGGGTGCGCTGATCAGACCAGCAGCATAAGCGGCCCCAATCTCGCCTGAGGAGTGTCCGATACTCACCTCGGGGACAATGGACCACTGTGCGAAAAGATCCACCAAGGCAATCTGGATAGCAGTACAAAGCGGTTGAGTGACGTCGGCCTCGTTGATCCTGGCCAGACTGTTCTCGCTGTCTGTGGTCAACAATTCGGTAATCTTGAAAGTGGGGCGGCGATTGAGCCTGTCCAGAATCGAATCCAGTCTTTCGATGGTATCCTGGAAGTGCGGAAATTCCTTCATCGCCAGTCTTGCCATGCCAGCCCATTGAGCCTGTTGGTAAGCGTTAAACATGATCGCATCGAATAGTGCTAAGGGTACATACCCCNNTTGACCTGTAAACAAGAACCCCATTCTAGCAGGCTTTGCCAAAGTATTTCCGCTCTGCACAGTGCTCAAACTAAAGGCCTCAGTCTCCTGACCCTCATAAGCCACAGCAAAAGCTCGAATCGAGAATTTCGATCGGTGCAAGTTCAGAGTGTGCGCCAGGTCCGTCAAGTAGTAGCCGGATGCCACATCTCCTGTCACTTTGACATTCCGTAACAAGGTCGCCTTGTCGTGAGCCGAAAAGCAGAGTAGGAACGGCTTGCTCGACGAGCGGTCGTATTCTGCGTCTTTCTTCGACTTCGCGTGCTGATACCAAGGATACAGGTTATCGATGGACTCGATGATTACGTGTCCGTTAGTACCACCGTAACCAAATGAAGATACACTTGCTCTTCGTATGATGGAGTCTTCGGGCCAAGGTGTCGTGTCGGAATTTACTTTCACGTTCCATTCCTCTTCCAAAACTTCCACCATAAAGTCAGTAAGGTCATCACTTCGCCCGCTTGAAAATGAGCAAGACTCACTGCTGGGGTTTAACTTGTTGAAGTAGGCTACGCCGGGGATGGTGGCCGTTTCAGTCATCAACGATGCTTTCATCACAGCAAAAATCCCACTAGCCGCTTCACTGTGGCCAATGTTTNNGGCTTAACCTATGGACCGGACAAGAACCCACGTCAGCAAATGGACCGGAAGACGGGATTGAAGAGTCAGTTTTACCGCGCCCAACAACAATGGCTTGTCCGTCGGTCGAGTGTCGTTGAGAGCATTTGCTATAGCTCTGACCTCGATGGGATCTCCAACTGGTGTACCAGTACCATGCAACTCGGCATAAGTTGTCAGGTTCGGGTCCAAGTTGGCTTTTTCGTAAGCGATACGCACTACACGCTCCTGGCCGGCGACGCTTGGGTGCGTAATGCCCATACCCTCCACTTTGCCGTTTCTTNNGGAGTCATTAATTATACATCCATGACCTGGAGACTTAGCTTATCACATTACTTACGTGTTGACAGCAGTAGAACGCAGGACGGAACGAATCGGGTCGCCGTCACGAATGGCATCGGCAAGGCGCTTAACATACAAAGCTCCAGCTCCCTCAGCACGTCCATAACCATCGGCAGAACTGTCAAACGTGTGACATGTTGAGGTAGGAGACAGAATCCCCAGCTTAGCAGTGTTCATGTGCTGGTCGACCGTGATGATCAGGTTGACTCCACCCACGATAGCAGCATCACAGTCCCGACTGCGAAGAGCGTTGCAGGCGTTGTGCAGAGCGTATATAGAGGACGAGCAGGCCGTGTTGATGGTAAAGCTTATAAGAGGATTAGACTCGCAGGTGATGCATCAGACAAGACAGAGTCCATACCTAGGGCCCTTGAGGTTGAATGTGTTTCCAATTCTGTTGCTGATGATGCCAGGATCAACGCCGGTAGCAGCATAGTTGTGACGAAAATCGGGGTCTCGGATAGACATTTGCTCTNNGCAACACGTCTTGTCAAGAAAATTGCGTATATGTTTGGTGAGGCGCGACTTACGATAATCCGAGGTAAAGGATCCGATGAATACAGCAGTATTAGATCCAGAGATGGCTTCTAGAGTGACGCCGGCAGACACAAAACTCTCATAGCAAACCTCAAGCATCTTTCTTTGTTGAGGATCCAACCATTGAGCCTCAATGGGGGTCATGTTGAAGAAAGTAGGGTCAAAATCCTCAGGTCGGCCATCGAGGAAGTATCCGCCCATGACATTGAAGGATCCAGGACGCTCCAAGCTTTCATGATAGTGCGCATCAATGTTGAAGCGAGATGCGGGTACCTTTGGTGTCTGACCTGATCGCTTCTCTACCAGCATACGCCAGAAGGATGCGTCAGAATCGACGCCTCCGGGAAGTCGACATGCTGTGTTGACCTATATCAGCCCATTTCAGAGTCTTCGTGATATTCATCTTTGAGCATACCCATTCCACAAATGGCGATCGGCTCAAGGGTTGGATCGTCTATCGCAACTTCGGGTCCTGCCCAAGGTGACATGGTGAAGAGATGTGGTTTTGGTGTACCACAGACTTTGTTGAGAGAGATGATTGATGTTGGTGTAGTTGGCTCGAGAATACTGACTCAAGTGGCTTGCTGTTAAGTGTTATCTAGTTATGAATATAGAGGCACATGCAGTCCTTTCCCTACCGGGATGAAAAACCTCCACATCGGACTGACTGGTCGTAAGTTCAGTCCGACCTGGAGCACCGGTGACAGAGGTCTCGTAATGCATAACTCGGGCCGGTGGGGAACCAGGCTTCCCGAGTGTGCGAGATTACCCGTTCTAGTCAAAAACTCAAGAGTACTAATCTCTTGACAGCATTTTGGTGAATTTGACAAAACTTCACGAACAGGAAATCACTGGATCTACCGACCTGTTGACTCACAGTCTATGATGGATGTCTTCTCCAACACGTTCTACTTCCGCGCACTAGCTGTGTTGGCTGTATTCCTTCTCTGGGGTCTGAGCATACTGAATGGTACTGTAAAAGCACTTATCGTCGCTGTGTGGAGCCAACAGATGGGCGATACTGGCATCACCTTGAAGACCGACTATACCGGATTTCCATTGCTGGACTATCCCCTCGCTCTCCTTGTTGCCTTCTTCTTCCACGGAACAAACGGCTCCGACGAAGGCTATCAGTTGTTCCTCCTTGATGCTTATTCCACTTTGCAATCCGCTTTCATATGGCTTTATGTCGAGACCCTCCGGCCAGGGGCTCCAAAATCATTCATCAGCCGGTAAGTCAGTTGATTGGATACCCTTGTTACCTTCTAACACAATCCAAGCCCGATTATGTTCGGCCTTCTTTGGCAATGCTTCGGGGCCGCCATATCTCTTCCACTCTATTATTCCCTCCACATCCACGAAATCCGTCAACATGGAGCTGCTCGAGCGAGTTATCTGGAGAAAGCCCGAGCCTTGCCCATGGCCTTCATCCTCGGGGCTTTTGTTCCGACCATAGTGGGCATGGCTCCCACATGGTTCGGTCCGGATGCCCGTTCGGCGGAAACGCATCAGAACATTCTTGCAGCGTGGCAACCAGACCCACTTTGGGTCTCCTGGATACTCAAAGGGATGACACACGCGGCTGTCTTTCTTGTTGGGCCAAGCACAGGTACAGCGGACGACAAACGGAAAGCCTACTGGTGGGTGAGTGCCTCATACTTACTCGCTGCCTTTGTTTCAACCACAGGTCACCTATATGTGGTTGGAAAAGTCATCTTTAGTAAAAATCCTGATGTGAATTGGGTCCGAATGTACATTCCGTTTCCTTCCAAGGGCCCGACGGGAAGCGAGAACAACATTTTCACTCGAGGTCCGTGGCTCTTTCTTCAATACGACCTCATAATCATTACATTGTCAACTTTGTCCTGGGCGTTCTTACTCATCTCGCCATTTTATCGCTCACAGCTGCGGATCGCCTTGAGCTTGTTAGTCGGAGCCTTGACCGTTGGTCCTGGAGCTACTGTTTCCCTGGCACTTCTTGCTCGCGAAAGACATCTGACGGAAGATTCAACCACTGGACAGAAGATAAAGAGATGAAAACTCGTTCTGTCAGAATTGTTGGGGGTACATGTGGGGTTGAAGCATGGCTTTGTTGTTGGCAAGCCAAGCTAGGCAATTAAAGACTACAATTCGATTTCAGATTGTTATCAGTGTTTCCCGTATCAAGCTAGATATATGCTTACATGTCTACATTAAACCATAGCTGTTTTCATTCATCTTGCGAGGGTCTTCGTATCTCAAGTTCGTGACGCTACAGTCCCTGACGGTAGTCGTATCCGCCAAACCTGCTATATCAAGCCTGAGCGCGGCATCGTGGGCTGTCTGTGCATTGAGCCGACGATCATTACGAATGCGATCACAATTTTGTCACATGCTCCGACTGAATGTCGAATTATGGACCAAAATCCCTAATGATGATATACCTCGGGGTGCTCGGTCCGGACCTTGTGAAGCTTCTAAGCCGAAAGATCACTCTGAATCAACCGACACGCACCACCAGAAAAGTCAAAGCCCTGTGTACTCTGGATCGAATCGACACAGCCTGATTCCAACGCTTCAACCCAGACAACTCAACGTACTACACCCACCATTGACTTGTGCAAAGCCTTCTCTATCATGAATTCAGAAAGAGTGCAAAAGGTTGATGCGGCCATTATTGGTGCCGGTGAGGAATCCATCAATTCTACGTTTGCAACTTGCAGCTGACAAGTCTCAAAGGATGGTATGGGCTCGTCGCCGCAAGGACTNTTTTGCGACTAAGACCAGCAGCAAATGTGCTCATTATTGATTCAGACAATACGGTTGGTGGCGTCTGGAGCAAAGATAGGTTGTACCCAAACCTGGTGGCGCAGGTCNAAACTTGGAGTATGTATCAATGCCACCACCGCGTTCGAGAGACTATCTCCTGACCATGTAATCAGCTTTTCAACTACTCAGATACACCCATGGCACCACTCCGAGGAGATCCTAGCAGCCCGATGGTTACTGGTCAAATGATCCATGAGTATCTGCAGAAGTACGCCGAAGACCACGATCTGCTTCGCCGTATAAGATTCGACACGTTCGTGAGCAGTGCGAAGCAAGTTTCGGGGATATGGCATCTGAACTTTCGAGATTCTGTCGATGTCGTTAAGGCAGAAAAACTGCTCGTGGCAACAGGCGTGACATCGATCATCAACATGCCTGAATTCGGAGGTGACAACGATGAATCTGTCCCAGTCATCCATTCAAGGGATTTAGGCACAAATTTTGAGGCCCTTAAAGACCCAGCCATCAAGAAGGTCGTTGTTGTCGGTGCAGCAAAGTCAGCTTACGATGCTGTCTACTTGCTACTCAATATGGGTAAGCAAGTCACCTGGTTGATTCGTCCTCAGGGAGCTGGTCCCTTGGCTATCCTGCCATTCAAGATCTTGAATACCTTCAACACCATCGCCGTGGCATCGACCAGACTCATGACTAACTTGAGTCCTTCTATCTTGAACACCAGTGGCTCTCTGTATTGGTTTTTCCAGCGATCTATGTTTGGAAGGTGGTGCACCGGGCGATTTTGGGACTTCTTGGACTTTGCCAGCGGCAAACACGCTGGCTACGGCTTGGGAGACCATGTCAGCATGCTGATACCCGAGATCGATCGACAAAGGTAGGTCATACTACACTCACATCTGCTTGGAAGGTTCACTGATGCTCGACTCAGTGTGTTCTGGGCTCACTCTGGGTTAGGCGTGGTCACCTTGCCGGACTTTTGGCACACTCTCCACAGCCCTCGTCTGACTATCGTCCGAGATGAGATACAAGATATCGAGAAAAACGTTGTCCGTCTCAAGACTGGCACGACTCTGGAACTAGACTACGCCGTGATGTGCACCGGCTGGGGAGACCATTTCTCTATGTTCGACGCGGAGTCCAAGGCAAAACTAGGCCTTCCCAAATTCGGCAACGATCTCTGCTCGATTCCCGAGAAGTCGACCAACGAGGAGACGCTTGACTGGACTGCTTACGATGCGATAGCGGAGAGGATCGTGACCGAGAAATTGCCTTTCCTCGCTAATGCTCCCAATCAAAAACAACCATTCCTGCTCGATCCGGCTCGGCAGAGAAAGTGGCGGTTGTATCGCCGGGCCATACCAGTAGAAATGGCAGAGAATGGGGATAGATCCATTGCAATTCTCGGACAGATCCATACCGTGCAAACTCCACTAGTCTCTGAGGTTCAATCCTTCTGGGCGATCCTGTACCTCCTAGGAGAAATCGACCTACCCGAGCCGGATGTCATGGCCACAGAAGTTTCTCTCTGGAACGCATGGACCCGCAAACGCTATCTTAACCAAGGTCAAAAGTTTCCTTACTCGCTTTACGATTTCCTTCCGGTAAGAAACATAGCATGGCTATGATATGCCGGTTTGCGCTGACCGTCCCTCAACAGTNACATCGACAGTATCTTCAAAGACTTGGGTCTCGAAAGCCGCCGAAAATCGAATGCAATTGCGGAGGTCTTTAGCGCCTACCATCCCCACGACTTCAATGGCTTTGTAGATGAGTATCTTGCCANNGAAAGGATGCACAGTAGGATGGTAGGATGTTCTATCGAGTCAAATACAGCAAGTCATCGAGACCCGTATCGTAGAGGTATCATTCCAATACAATTCTCCGAACCCGATCATTAGTATCTTCTATGCTGAGCTCACTATCACTGCGACCATTTGTCCCTTGTGCGCAGTCTCAAGCACTTAGGTCCTAGAGACACTGCTGGCAAAAAGAAGGATGGAAGAGGTTTGATCGACACTAGTCGAGAGTGGTTCCACTCATGTAGCTTTTTAGCAGGTATATGGGCAGTGACATACATCAGATAATCGTCGCATTGATTTGACAAATATAGTCACGCTATTCGCACACAGTCGGAAGAAGTCGAAGTATTGGACGCAGGACGTTTGCCTCTGCAAAGCATCATATGATTCCAGCGATGTCGACCTACAGACTACCGTCATAGCGATTCGGGCTACTATAAAAGCTTGAGATCTGTACTATTGAGTAGTCACAGATCTTGCAACTGCTAATCTCCATTTGAGTTTACTCTTCACTGCTATCATGCAAACACCACAGAGGTACATCATCCACCAACCATACCTCCAGCTAAGGACTTGAGGTCGAGCTAATCACCCTGTATGATGGACTCGGCGATCTTCTCGGCGAACATGTCTATGTGTCATTTTCGTCAAAGTCTGCCATAGAGAAGGCTTGTGTGTGTTTTACTTACAGACAGATGCCATAGGCTGGCCGGGTGGAGACAATGGGAAAGCGCTTATATCGACAACTCGAAGCCCAGATACTCCAAAGACACGGCTTCTGGAATCGACGACTGCCATAGTGTCGTTCGAAGTGCCCATCTTNGCCTATCCCCAATGTCAGCAGTGCCAGCGATAGGAGTCCATGTTGCGCTTACAGGTTGATGCTCCGTGGTAAAGATGATTCATGTTCTCTCGTAAGTAAGAGGCAATCGCAGCAGTTGAGTTGACAGAGGTGCCAGGAAAAACCTCCTCGACGATGATTTCGCATTTGGATGCGAATTCACGCATTCGCTGGAAGGCCGCCAGTGCTTGCTCCAGATCCACAGCGCCCTCGAGGAGCCAGTTGGGGCTGATAACCGGCTTGTCTGTGATCTTAGCACTCTTGATGGTCGCGTTACCCCTGGACTTGGTAGTCAGTAGCACCGCATTCAAGAGAAGGAAGTTGTCATCTGGTGCGATGTTGCCACCAAGTAACTCTTCGAACTCGCTGATTGGAACGTTCTCGAGAGCAAGGTACTCTGCTTCGGGCCAGTCGGATGGGAAAGTATCTAGCCAAGCGCGAGTGGAGTTGCTAAATTGTTTCCTGTACTTTTCTGGGTACTTTTCGTAGCCTGTCTTGGAGGTCAACACTAGGGTTTGGTAACTTGAAGCTGCATTACTGACCAACAGCCAATCCNNTGCGCCCACGCCAGAAAGCAAGCCAGATCGATTCGAAAGGTATTCGGAGATGGCTTCTTCAACAACCTCGGCATTGTCCGCTTGGAATTGAGTGTTTGTTGATACGTTGACGGCGAAAACGATTGGCACCAAGGCTTGATCCTACATGATGGGTCAGTATGAATCGTTACCTGAATCGAGGGGGATNGATGGACCCACCCATTCATTCTGGCCCACTCCAGGGAGATTCGCAACCACATCAATGTTGTATTGCTGTAAAGTTGCCGCAGGTCCAATACCCGATAACATCAGGACCTGGGGCGAATGCCAAACCCCAGCAGAAAGGATGACTTCCTTGGTGGCGTTCAAATGATACTTCAAGTCTGCATTGGCTGAATTAACTTGGACTTCAACTCCAGTGGCCTTCTTGTCGCTGTCAAATATGATGCGGTTGACCAGTGTGTTGGGATAAATCTTGAGTTTGGGAGAGCCACGTACTCCAGATTGGAGAAACGAAGTCTCGGATGAGTCGCGTGTGGCGGTCCGGTCATCTATCGCTGCCGTCATGGTCCCGTAACCGATGAGCTGTCCGCTGTTGAGCCCATCGATTGGTGTCATACCGAGATCCGCAAACGCTGATCGAAGAAATGGACCGGATGGACCGAAATAGTTTCCGTAAGAGATGTGCAGCGGGCCTCCATCTTCAATGTAAGCCGACGGATCATAGCTGATATTGTACGAGGGGTCAATCTTTGTGTAGTCCGGAGCCTGGAATATCACACTCTTCTTGTAGGCTGGGTAGACACTGTCCCATTTCCAAAAGTCGTCGTTGACTTGTGCCGCCCACTTATCGAAAGTACCCACGGTAGCGNNCTGAGCGTCCTCATTAGTGTTCCGGAACCCGTAGGCAGACATACAGATGGAAGCAACGAACCGTTGATAGCCCATGTAATTCGCAGCCGTACTGNNTTGTGAAGGGTCAACTACAGGTCGTCATTGGCTCTGGACACAGACTCACCCGCCGCCAAAGGTCTGAGGAGCCAAGTAATATATCGAGCGGTTGGCATATCCCTGGTAGACGACCCGACGTCAGTTTCACAACGTGGAATATCTCTTCTGAGTAATGACGTACAGCCTGCGGCATTGTGTCAAGGGCGATGGACACCTGCGACGANNGACTTGTCCGATTGGAAAGTCCAAGGTATTGATCCAATTGTAACCAGGGACCTGTGTGCGATTCCCGTCCAAGGTCTCATAAAATCCACCGGCTTCGATCAATGCCACGGAATAGTTTGCGAGAGCGAGACGAGCAGCGATGGTGTTACCGGCATTGCCGCCGCCAACGACCTGTCGTTTTACCTATCAGTATTCTGCTAAACCAGTACTGTTGTTTCACCTTACGATATAATCAAAGGTTTCATTGTAGCCTGGCCGACCGAAAGAATTGCCAAAGATTTCGGTAACACCTTGGCATCAACTGAGGCTCCAAGAGTCGGATGATCTGCCCTTGCCCCGACAGACAACAGAGTTGCCACCGCAATCCAGTAAATCATTGCTTAAAGATGTCAGACGAGATCAGAAATTCAAGTGCTTCTTCTTTCGCGTTTCTGATGAATCAGAATAGACTTTGTTGCAGTGTGAGCACCAAAATTTCGTGCAGGTAAATCTTGGCTCTTATACTGGCTGTCTCTTCCCCTTGGGCTCAGCCGCGACAATTCGCTTCTCTTCCCCATGTGGCTGCCGGTCCGAAGATACAATCCTCCGGGGAAAACGGCCCACTTGTGACCGCAAACAATATAATGTCAGAGTGTACGAGTATGTCTCTGATGGCAAGTTCGAAGGTGGATTCTCATGTTGAGCATAGCACAACCGACTGATGCCAGAAGATGACGGGAGAAGGAGCTTTTGCAAATCACTACAGGCACAAGGGCTACACTGTCCAGCGACCATGATCTCTTGGTCTCTCACTCGTGTTATCTCCGTACCCGCCGCCTGGTTGGTGTTGTTCGGACCGAAGTGACCGAGGCTCAAGCTGTCAAAACGGAGACAGATGCCCGACGGTTTCAAGCTGGGATGTTGTCGACGGCTTACACATCACCGACACGCATGATTGGCATTGACAGTCTTCTCCTAGAAGGAGTTCGAATTTTATTCTCGGAGTGGCCCTATCCGTACCAAAGGCATATTTTCTCGGAACCAAATCATTGTGGAAGAGATCCCAGGAAGTGCCTATTGACAAGGAGTGCACTCCAGCGTGTGTACCTGAACGATATCTTCCTGATAAGCTAAGCCTTCTGTGTCTCTCTTGGCTTCTTTATGTTAATCCATCCCATTCCGAATGCAAAGATCAACGCACCCCCTGCTGCACCAGTTGTCAGATACATGACTTCATCGATAGCTTTACTGTATGCCACGAGAACAGCGGACAATTCCGAAGCGGGCACCACACTACGAACTGCTGAGGTTGCACCTGCTACTACCACCGCGTCTGCATCAACGCTTGGGGCATAAATTGCGAGGTTTTTCCTCAAGTCGGAGCTGAAGACAAGTTCCGCTAGGGACAAGAAGACTGCACCACCGAACTGCTGGGAAAACACCACAAGACCAGTGAGGATTGAGATGTCTGACTTGCTCGCATGGGTCTGTACGGCTATCAACGGCATTTGCAAGCCGCAGCCTCGACCAACGCCTTGAATGATCTGATAGCCCACCCACTTCCCAAGAGAAGTATGTGGGGTCAAAGTTGTGAGAAGACCAGACCCTATGATGGTTAGTACAGCACTTGCGACCGCGAACGGTAAGTAGTAGCCAATACGGCCAACTGTAAGANNTGTTAGCGAAGCTTGCTTGCAATTTTGACTGCTCTATGACACACCCAATGCGCCACTCATGAAGGCAAACAACATGTTTCCGAGAATAGATGGCAGAAGGTCAACACCACTCATGGTGGGTGTGGCGTCGCGAACGGCTTGGAAGTAGATAGGCAGGTAGTATGTTGAAGATAAGAGACAGCCTGCAAAGAATGCGTAGTTAATACAGCTGCACCAGACCGCACGTCGGCGGACAAGAGCAAAGGGAATCATCGCCTCGTGGCCCTTGTGGTATTCCCACCCCACGAACGCAATGAGGCCAGCGCCGGCACCACAGAAGAGTCCGATAATAACGGAGCTATTCCAAGCATAGACAGAAGTACCTCCCCAATTCAGAGCAAGCAAGATCTCAATTGCGGAGCCTGCGAATAGAACAAACCCGATGAGGTCTAGTCGAGCGAGACCACCAAGTATGCTCTGTCCAGCGAGACTTTTGTCTGTCCTTTCGGGGATCTTGACGATGAGAAGGATCCCAGCAACAACGGCGCCACAGGGAAGATTGATGTAAAANGCCTTGTCGATACCAAGTCAGCAAAAGTTATTCATTATTCAATGATTCAAGGGGATCATACACCATCTCCATGAGGCATGTTGAGTCAAGGCACCACCAATCAATGGACCTGCTAGAAGGCCTAGCTGAGATACTCCCATCAAGATTCCTGTCAACCCTGTATATCGGGTTAGAAGCAGTTTTGTCTGCGAAGGCAATGGGTAGATCACCNNAGCTTGCCTGGTAGGCTCCACACTCGTCTGGATGATGGTATAGGCGCCGTTCAGAAGTCCTGATGCGCCCATACCTCCAAATGCCCTTCCAACGATCAGCATTTTTGACGATGTGGCGGCGCCGGAGAGGATGGATCCAAATTCGAAGATGGCGAAAAATCCAAGGAACGTCCACTGATCACGATCAATTCTTGCCATTCCTAAGGGTGAAACAGCCAAACTCACCTTGACGTTCCAGAACGTGTACATCTTGCCGGTCAGTGGCTGGAGCGCGCAGCTGTGCGTTCGGTCAGATCTTGATGGCAAGACTTGCAGGGAACCTCACTTTGCCAAAAGATAAGCTGTTCCATACCACCCAACATCGTCTAGAGAATGGAACTGTGATGTGATGTGCGGGATAGCNCTGTGATTTCGATTCAGCTTTCCAAGACGAAAACTCAATCCGAGATGGTAGTAACTGACTGTAGATACGATTGAAGTGTCCAAGAGCATGAGAAACCCGACCAGAGTTATCGAAACCATAACAGCAAGAAGTTGCAAGCCGGCAACGGCTCCATCTCCATTGTGTTCTTCCACATCTCCAATTCTGCCGCGGCTCTTTTCGATCTTCGCTGGATCCATGGAAGGAATGATGCCTCTGGACGAGTCTTTGTCTGTATGCAACGTTGTGGAGACCGCTCTTGGACCCGTTGAGTCGTCTGCTACGATTGCGAAGGTAGACATCTCTGTACCGTCTGGAGCGATGTATGGCCACACTGTGAGGTACTGGACGGTTCATCGAGTTCTTTCATGCTGAATGCTCTGTTCTCCCTGCGCTAGACAAACGCGAGAATCGGATCGGAGATGCTGAGTATACTTCCGTCGAACCGGATCGGATCGGAGCGACCACGCAGGCCCGGAGCATGAACGGACATATCAACTCAGGATTGGAACGGAATGTAGTCAAAGACCTATGCAGAGGACCGGGACGGACCGTAGCATCTGACCACGATCCTGGTGGTGGTGTGGACCCCGCACGAGAACTGCGGGATCTTTGTCACGTGACCTCCAGGCACCGCCCAATACGAGCATGAGCAATTGAGATACATCCCAACGCCGTTCAGGTTCTGCTCTCACTCGCAAATGTGCTTGAGGGCAACTATCACAAAAATTCCTGGAAGAGACTTTGCAAAGAAATATTGATGATATCATTATGGTTATGCCATTGAGTATACATACTCTGACGTTACGTATCAAGCAAGAAGTGTAGCATAGCGCTCAAACTCAGAATCATTAAGGAGACGGTCCATCTCATCCTCGAAGAGATTAACAATGAATTCGATACCCCCGTTAGATGTCTTCGGCAGAATGAAGCAGATGCTAATTCCGAGTCGATTAAACGCTCCCATCAGTGGTCGAGCAGCATCTGCCTGGCCTCCGTTCCCAAAAATATGGTTACCAAAATTGATGCGCTCGCTTGATACCATGAGCATGGACGTGATCATCATGGAAGATGAGCAGATGGCTCTCTGGCGTTCTACCTTCGCTTGACGCAGCTCGCGATAGTCTGGTAGACTTCGTAAAACTCCGTACATGTCTTGCAAGTTGCCAGAGTTGATATGACTGGCACTGTTACTGATGGTGGTAGCAACAGAGGCGATGCTGATCGTGGACGAGATCATGGTCGAAAGTGTAATTGATGCTTGCAAAGTGGCCGTATGGTTTCCTAGATAGTTGTGCGGCAGAGACTCTGAGAAGCCTGATCGTCCATCCATGATCATGTCTAAATGAGCCAGGGGCTCATCTGGAGATGAAGCTCTGAGGATTCCCTCTGAACGAGCTCTCATGATGCAGCGCCAAATCAAGGCACAAACAGCGTGCGTGCTCGAGCTGTGCATGCATTCTTTACGCAGAGCAGAGAAGTTCTTCTGCGACATGTAGAAGATACTCGACTGCATACCGACAGCCTGCTGTGTGGGTGCAGGATGTTGATACTCGGAAGGCCAGCTAGCACGGTTCCTTGCGCAAGTGAGAGGTGAATCGAGGCCCATCATCCTCCACACATCGAGTCCGATTTCGTCAGATCTCTTGGTCGTCGCTTCTTTGACCCACAAACGTTCGTGCAGAGTACGATCTGAACACTCCAAGCTTGGTTCAGAAGGAGATGGGCTCTGGACTTGCAGGGCTCTACAATGCGACGCCCAGAGAGCCATAACCTCGAAGGCGGCCGAACCATCGCCAGCTGCATGATGCATCGCCCCTGTCAGGAGACAACCTCCAGCAATGAAGTTGGCTTGAGCAATGAAAACATGACATCCCTTCTCGACATCAGGCATGAAAGAAGATTGGGTCAATTCGTGATCCTCGAATACATCGGTGGGAAAGGCTGAGTCTTTGAGATCATCGTAAGCCATGGAAGATTGCAGGATGTTGATTTTGAGCTGGTCTTGCTGCTCGGCGGCGTATTGGATAGCTTCATGTCGGATCTCTAACTGCCCGGGTCTCCAATGTGGTGTCTCTGGTGATTGTAGGTGAACCTTTCCACCTAACCAAGGCAACTGCCTCACCGTCTCGTGGAAGCCTTGCTGCAGTGTTTGAAATGCTTGGTCGGGACTGACACCATGGTTGAGTGGTAGATAGAAAGCTGAACAGGTGTAATTGGGCGGGGGTAAGTGATCCAGGGGAGTCAGAGGAGTGTAAATCATGTTCGAAGACATATTGCTTGACCTGCTAATGATCAGGGGCAGGTGGCGAGAACGGGCCTGGAAGGCACTGGGGCTGATGGTTTTCTTCTCGTACCTACGACCGGTTCTGTCTACTGCCCAGACTTAGGACACCGGGGGTACCGGACGCCGAGTCTGAAGAACGCTCTTTTTGGGCCATCGGGGTGGATGTAAGTAGTGGATGTTTCTACCCGGGCCGCCCAGTCCACTCGGAGCCCCAGCTTCTCAGGAGGGGCTACTGTTGATGAATGCGTGACAGCCTTATCACCACTGCAAACATTTGGCAGCAACGATTGGTTTGGATAAATGTGGGATAGAGTGGGACGAGAGCGGGTCCCTGGCTTAGAAGGAGGATTCACGTGGAGAGATAGAGGTCAAGGTATTGGACATCATTATCCTACGCATACCATTGAACGATATACATTGGATCCACTTGGGATCTACGCGAGATGCGGCTGTGGGTCGCAGAGTCTGACCAGGATGGTTGTTGGCGTGATGCATACTTTGTTGGTGGGATGGTTCAATCGATGAATCGCGACCACGTTTCTACTCCAGTTGCGCCGGCCGAATCTGGCGAAAAGCCGCATTATGCGCCAACAGACCAAGAGTCACTGTCGAATGCTTCGTAGTGCTTGACATGCGCGAGACCCACAGGGGCCACATAGGCAAGACGGTACATCACATGGTCTGGGTGATCTATCGGCAAATGCTACTTTGCGTTGGCGGCGATGGTGTGATGAAGCAAGGGTTTTGCAGTATCAATATACAATCTTGGTTTGGATAATTCCTTGTCGAAGGATTCGCAGCTCTGACCGGTGAACGAATGCGGTATTGAATGCCATGGAACGGTGTCTCTGCATCAGTGTGTCTGTTTGGTAGTGCGTGGCTTGCAAACTGTTTGTTTGACCTTGGTAACACCTATGATTCGCTGCAAGCCTTGAAAACAGACACAGCGATATGCGCGCGATCCAACGAATGTAGAAACACTCTATACTGTTACTTGTCAGCCAACGGTCTACCTGGGAGCCACCGACCTTGCAACAACAAGGATAAAGTCTTTACAGTGTCGGCAAAAATCAAATTAACAAATGATCAAGGATCAGAACATAATCGAGTTGTGTATTCGAAGCCCTTATCTATCTAGATACTTATTGGTGAAACCCAATTTCTACACAAAGTATCCCGCAATGCCTCTTAGCGAATGTGAACCGTGAAATGGATTAGTTGGAAAAATCAGCGCGCTGTTCAGCCATGGGCTTTTCGATGTTGTATCTCGTATCGAAAAAATGAGCTGTTCCGGTCTTCAGCTTCTGTACCTTTGCTTCAAACTCACGCAACTGCGCGCCCGAGCCGTCGAATTTCTCGACGGTCTGCTTCCAGGCTTCCCATGAGCTTTTGACTGCAGTTTCATGCAGCTCACGTACGCGCGCTTCTAGAGTTGCCAACACAGCACTGTGATCGTTCGGGTTGGTATCAAGCCCAGTACGTATCCAGACCAGGTAATCAGCGACGGCTGATGATATGCCAGCAATCTCGAATTGCGTGATGAAGGTTGCGCTTGCGAACGACTGCAATCCCTTGAGGATTTGTGTCCCACCACCAACGTTATCAACACCTTCTGGTTTGGTTCGGGCCGGCACGGCCGGGAAAGGCGAGACGGGATTACCCTTGAGGTTCAGGGTCCGCACTTCGCGTAGACTTGGCATGCGTCGACCGCCGCTTACGTTGCCCGGCAGCTGTGTCTGGCACTCGGAGAGGATCCCAACACCAAGTTGGGCTTGCCCACCTTGCCCCTGTCCCTGGCACGTGTTCTGAGGCGGGGTCAACTGCCCCATGCGGAACAACGACTGGTCAGAGCAGTCCGGTAGAGAGTAGTGGTTGTCGAGGCAGTCGCTGTTCAAGCCGTCGAGAAACTGCGACACGGACTGTTGGTAGTAGTCGTTGTGAGCTGGAGTGAGCAGCTGTGGTATGGGGCTTATCATAGAGATCACCTGCGGATCCAGTGGTGGGCAGTCCGAAAATGCCATGTCGACAGCGGAGTCTGGTGCAGCCACTTGCTGCTCTGCCCCTGCCCCTGCCCAGCTGCGGTTGTTGCCGCTGCCGGCCTTCAAATCACCGCCCGAACTGCCAGTGGGACAAGTCTGTGCTTGTATCTGATGCTGGTTCATGATCAGAGCTTCGGCCGTGTCTGTATACCGTGGGTGGTCAGTCACAGAGGTCTGAAGGCCTTCCGCTGATTCGTACCTATGCGTTCCCAAAGGCTCTCGATTGTTTGTGCCAGGTCGGCCTTTGTCGGTCTGTGGGTTGGGCTATACACACAAGTCTCTCCCGAACGACGGCATGTTCGACATGTGGGCTGTTCTCCATCGCATCGCACTTTTCGCTCTCTACACAACTTGCAAGCCTTGTGTCGATTTTTGCCGTTCATGATAGACCAACAAGGAGATTTTTGGTAGAGCGGACTACGGTCTCGGTGACCTTGCGAAACTTGGAGGTAACTATATACCCTCCGACACTCAATCTAGCTATTCCAGAAGGAGCTGACGGTCCCAACCACTTGCATGGTCGCTAAGCCATCCACGAATAGGATACTGAGTCTACAATATACTGGATATACAAGATAAGCAAAGAAACATATGTTCGTAGGATTTCTCAACAGCCTCAGGCTGAAGCTGAAAGCCATGGATAGGCGATACGTACTCCTTCAGCATAACATGAGGATGAACGCCTACACACATACATCTATACCCCGGGTGTGTCTGCGCTCGATGAATAGAGCGTGGCTTGCAGACTGCTTACTTCAAACTTGGTAACACCAGTGATTCGCTGTCTGGCTCGTATATGCAGCCGCATGGATGTACATGCCTACTCACCGGCCGTCAACATACCCTGTATGTTCTGGAATCCTGTAGGATGTATCAGTGAGCGTAGGTTCCGGAATCCTCCAGCATAACATGAGGATGACCGTCTCCATACATACAAGCCCTGAGTTGAACTTTACAGGATGCGTTCGGACCTATCTAGCTCCGATCTACGTGCCTGTCCTGGACGTCGACAACAGAGAGTGAACCAGTGGCGGTGTCGTTCGGTCCGGCGTGCTTCACTTCGGCGAAGCTGGTCCCGGCCGGGTGCGACTCCAAGGCATCTGGACAGACGTAACCCGAGAAGCCCGAATTCGTAACATCTGTTCGGACCTCCCACGACGTGCTCCGCGATGGCCGTTGGTTTGGGTGATATCGATGCAACAAAAACCTACTGATTAAATACACCAGCATCGTAGGAATAGTTGACTCACTTTCGGCTCGAAAGTGTTTCACTCGACTGACGGCATCTCGAACCAGACATAACTACAGCGATGGTATCTCAATCTCCGGCGAATGGAACGCAGTCTCGATCTAGAGTCCATGACAATAACGACAATGCTGTTCATCATGCAACCAACGGCCACTCTCACTTTTCACAGAGCAATGGAAGCGGAAAAGGCCCGCTTCCACCCATCGCAATCATTGGAATGAGTTGCAAGTTTGGTGGAGATGCTACTGATATATCCAAATTCTGGGATATGTGTCTCGAGGGGAGAGACGGTTGGTCTCCTATCCCAGAAGAAAGGTTCACCGCAGAGAATTTTTACCATCCAGACGGGCAGAAGACTGGAACTGTATGTCATCCCATATTCACTGATAACACGAAGCTGACTGGGTGGCACTCGTAGCATCATGTCAAAGGCGGATACTTCTTGAAAGAAGATGTCGGCTTGTTCGATGCCTCGTTTTTCAATTTCGCTGGAGACATAGCAAGCGTGAGTCGCCCGTCTGTCTGTGACGATCAACCGGATACTCATAACCCATAGACTATGGACCCTCAGCTACGCCTGTTGCTGGAATCCGTGTATGAAGCCATCGAGAATGGTGAGGTTTTTGAGACTACTAATATCTGGGATCAGCACTAACTTTCTCNNTCAGCCGGTTTGCCTTTAGAGAAGTTGGTTGGGTCAAACACGTCCGTCTTCTCTGGAGTCTTCGCGAGAGACTACTTTGACACGATTATCTCGGATTCTGACTTACTGCCTGCATCCTTCATCACTGGCAGTGGCTCAGCCATGCTTTCCAATCGCATCTCACACGCCTTCGACCTACAAGGTGCCAGCATGACCATCGATACTGGCTGCTCGACGAGCATGAATGCTTTACACCAAGCAGTGCGTAGTCTTCAGCTGAATGAGTCTGAGATGTCTATCGTGGGCTCTGCAAGCGTCATGCTGAATCCTGACATGTTCATCGAGATGTCATCCGCAGGGTAAGCTACCATAGCTGTCTCACAATCTTGCTAATCGCTAACAGTAGAAAACAGTGTGCTAGGCGCTGATGGCCGTTGCTTCTCATGGGACGACAGAGCCACAGGCTACGGTCGTGGTGAGGGGGTTGGTGCCTTGATAATCAAAAGACTTGACGATGCGCTCCGTGATGGAGACAACGTTCATGCTGTAATTCTTGAGTCAGGATTGAATCAGGATGGAAAAACAACCACCATCTCTTCTCCGTCCATGCAGGCACAACAAAAGCTCATTGAAGAATGCTATAGACGTGCTGGACTCAATATCGCAGATACAGGCTATGTTGAGGCTCACATGACGGGTACGCCCACGGGTGACCCTATCGAAGCGGAGGCTCTCGCCGCGACTTTTGGAAAACATAGGAAGGCCAACGACCCAGTCATCGTGGGATCTTGCAAGCCCAACATAGGACATACCGAGCCCGTCAGTGGGTTAGCTGCGATCATCAAGACTGTCCGTGTCCTCCAGACAAGCATCATACCTCCAAACATCAACTACAAGAGGACTAATCCAAAGATTCCGCTCTCGGACTGGAAACTGCAAGTCCCCACTGCTCCGATGAAATGGCCTGCGGATAAGCCGTTACGAGCCTCGGTGAACAACTTTGGCTACGGCGGAAGCAACGGCCATATCATCATGGAGGCGGCACCCGATAAGCCACCAGTAAGCAGTGATGTCGGTCTTGACGATCATGCCAGTCGGATATATATCTTGAGTTCAAAAGATTCTGCCCTCACTCAGACGATGGTCGAACGCCTAGTCGAATACATCGGACACCACACACCTTCACTCATGGACATGGCCTTCACATTAGCTGAACGGCGTTCTCGATTTCCTTGGGCAGTTGCCGTCACAGCAAAGCGCCTGGACGACCTGGCCAAAAAGCTGGCGGCGCCAGAATGCAAGCCAGTGCGCGGAATGAGAACCGTCCCCCGGCTAGGCTTTGTTTTCAATGGCCAAGGCGCTCAATGGCATGCTATGGGAAGTGAGCTCATCGAGGTCTATCCTGTCTTTGGCTCAGCCATTGAGCGAGCCGATGACATACTAAAAGGTTACGGGGCTAGGTGGTCTCTACAAGGTAAGATTTGCCGCTCTATACAACATGAGATGAGTTAGTGTTGACAAGCCTCTCAGNATGAACTTTTGAAAGACGCCAAATCAACCAGGGTGCATGATGTCGAATTGAGCCAACCTGTCACCGTTGCTGTTCAACTTGGCCTGGTGGATCTGTTGGAGTCATGGGGAGTCACTCCATCGGCAGTTACCAGTCATTCCAGCGGAGAAATCGCTGCCGCATACGCAGTCAAAGCGCTAACCTTCCAGGAAGCGCTTGGTGTGGCATACCACCGCGGAGACTTGGCCCATAAACAGCAACAGCTGTCTGGAGAAGCAGTCACCGGAGGGATGCTCGCTGCTGGCTTGAGTGCCGAGAAAGCCAGCGAATACGTCAGAGATACCTCCAAAGGTCGTGTAGTGGTTGCCTGTATCAACAGTCCAGATAGTGTCACCCTCTCTGGAGACCTACCTGCTATCGATGACGTGGCAAGCCGTATGGACCAGGACGGCGTATTTGTCCGGAAGCTCAAAGTCCCTTTGGCATATCATTCCCATCACATGATGGGGATGGCTAATGAATACACTGAGAAGATTAGAGCAATCCTTCCTGCTGAGCGGACTTGGACCGGTGCCATCTACGCCTCTCCTGTCACCGGCGATATCGTCGCGTCTCCAAAAGCCCTGGGTGCCGAACACTGGGCTCGTAACCTGACTAGCCCTGTTCTGTTCTCACAAGCACTAGAACATATGTGCTTCCATTCTTCCTCTTCCAACGGCTCTACGGTCTCAAGTAACAAGAGCGGTAACGTTGACATCATCTTGGAGATAGGAGCACACAGCACGCTCGCCGGTCCCATACGGCAGACTTTGAAGGAGCGTAACCTGCCATATGCATCCTGTCTGAAGAGATCGGTCGACGCAGTCGAAACTATGCAAGATGCTGCTTGTGAACTGCTTGTCCGTGGATATCCAGTGTCCCTCCACGCAGTCAACCAACCAAAGTCTGATACGAGGCCTACCTACGTGCATGATCTGCCTCCATACCCTTGGAACCATACTGTACGATACTGGAATGAACCAAGAACTTACCGAGATCATCGACTCAGGCAGTTCCCGCGCCACGAGCTTCTGGGTGCTCCTATTGCAGGCTCAAGCTCACAAGCTCCTACTTGGAGAAATTTCCTACGACTCTCCGATATATCCTGGCTATCAGATCACCAGCTTGAGTCGACACCCGTCCTTCCTGGGGCCGGCTACATCGCTATGGCTATAGAAGCTGTTCGTCTTCTCACAGGTCCAACCGAGAAATCCATCGTTGGTTATCGTCTACGTGATATTAACATTATGAATGCTTTGACGATACCGGATACCCCTGGAGGGGTTGAGACTCATTTTTGCCTTCGACCTTGTAGCGACAAGGAGCTTGACCACAAGGGATGGTACGAATTTGACATCAATTCCGCGCGAGCGGACGAGCCTTGGATCCAACACTGCAAAGGTTATGTGACCGTCGAGTCGCTTGTTGCAACACCGGTGGCCGACTCTGAGCCACAAATACACTCCTTCTTTGATCCTGCGGTTGAGACGGAAGACGTGGATCCCGAGTCTATCTTCGCAGCGATGCGTAAGATGAACATTTATCACGGTCCGGCCTACCAGAATATGACCTCTTGCACTGTGGCCGCGAACAGGGCGGTCACGGATTTCAAGATCTCGCCAGATGTGGATGCTAGTGATCAAGACTACGTACTCCATCCGACAACCCTTGATACAGTGTTCCAGTCTTTCTACGTTGCTATATCAGAAGAGACAAAGGACGGTGCTATGGTTGTGCCGCGCTCTATCGACAACATGTTTGTTCCCCAGACCATCAACAGTCGTAGCGGCGATGGTCTCCGGGCTTTCACGACAGTCTCTCGTTCGGATAGACGAGGCGCGACGTCGCAAGCGGTTGTCATCAACGACAAAGCAAACAAGCGCTCAAACCCATTCAAGATCGACGGCTTCTATTTCCAGGCCATCCCCAGATTGGAAGATGACGACAGGGACGTTCAAGATACTCGTCTGTGTGCCAAAGTCAAATGGGAACCGGATGTGCTTCACAACATACCCAAAGCCTCCAAGGATGCATGGAGCATCCATTTAAACGACATCGAACTCAGCTTCATGAAAAGACTGCGACGAATCTCGTACCAGTTCATCTTCGAAACCATCACTCAGCTTCGAGACGTAGACTTGGAAGGTGCAAAAAGCTACCATAAGACCTTCTATGCCTGGATGAGGAATGTCGTTGATCTAGGCACGACGGGCAAACTTGCTGCAGGCAGTCACAACTGGACCAAAATGAGCAAGGGCATGAAACAAAAACTCATCGATGACCTCTCCACCGAAAACGCAGGCGGAGAACTCACCTGCCGCGTTGGCGAGAATCTAGCAAGAATCCTTCGAGGTGACATTGCGCCACTTGAACTAATGATGGAGGACGGTCTCTTGAACCGCTACTATCAAGAGATTCCGATGCTCAAAGATAGATCTTACAAGCAGCTTGCCAAACTCGTGGAGCTCTACGGACCAAAACACCCTAGCGCTAAAGTGCTCGAGATCGGAGCTGGCACTGGCGGTGCCACCAAGATTGTTCTCGAAAGTCTTGATGCCAATGCAACGGATGGTTCTGGTTCCCTGCTAGGTCACTACGACTTCACAGATGTGTCTTCTGGCTTCTTTGAGGCTGCGCGCCAAAAATTCGACGCTTGGGGCGCGCGGGTGGACTTCNAAAAACTCGACATCGAGATCGACCCTACTGAGCAGTCTTTCCCTGAAGGAGGCTACGATCTCATAGTTGCCTCCATCGTGCTGCATGCAACCAAGTCGCTGCAGCAAACAATGACCAACGTCCGCAAGTTGCTCAAGCCAGGTGGTAAGCTGTTTCTGCTAGAGAACACAAAAGACCGCCTTGATCTGCACGTAATTTTCGGTACACTTCCGGGGTGGTGGCTGAGTGAAGAGCCAGAGCGCCAGTGGGGTCCGAATGTATCAGTCTCCTTGTGGGATGCAGTTTTGAAGACCACCGGCTTCACTGGCGTCGACTTCGACATCTCGGACTGCGAGGATGAGGAGTTTCAATCTCAAAGCGTCATGGTGACTACCGCTTTACACTCTAACCCCTCGATACCCATATCGATCGTCTATTCTCAGGTTTCCCCTCCGCAAAGATGGCTGGACGAACTGACACGTGCCATTCGAGCCAAGCTTAACGTCGTTCCCCTTGTTGAGTGTTTAGAAGATATGCAAGTTGAAGACGATCGTGTTTACATCTGCTTGATGGAGATGGCCAGTCCCTTCATACACAAGATGGATGTTGATACATTCGAAAAACTGCGCAGTCTTGCTGTCACTGGTCAAGGAATGCTTTGGCTCAGCTGCAGCAGCACCATCAACGCAAGAGAGCCATTGTATGCTCAGATCAATGGCCTGCTGCGCGTCCTGAAGCAAGAAGACACGACCAAACGGTACATATCCCTTGATTTCGACACAACCTCGGACGTGTGGGTTTCTGAACAGATGCCTTACATCATCCATACCCTACAGCAAAGCTTCGACTACAATCTTGATAGCGCAGAAGTTGACTGCGAGTATGCTGTCAGCAACGATTTGCTACATGTTCCGCGATTTTATCCAGATGCTGCTCTGGATAAAGTCTGTAGCGGTGCAACTGGTGCTACAGACAAGGTAGTTGAGCCATTCTTGCAGCCTGGTCGACATCTCATCTGGGAAACGCAGAAGAGCGGGTTGTTGAGTGATCTATACTTCGTGGAGCGCACTGATCTAGGCGGTGACATTCCCACCGGCATGATCGAGATCGAAGCCAAGGCTTTCGGTCTCAACTTCCGCGACGTTATGGTCGCTTTGGGTCAGCTTGACGAGACACTCATCGGACACGACTGCAGTGGAATAGTCACAGGTCTCGGTCCGGATACTGAACAAAGTGGACTCAGGGTCGGCGACCGAGTCTGTGGAATAGCTAAGGGCCGATTTGCTAATGTAAGTCGAGCTCCATGGACCAATTTCGCCAGGATACCGGATCACATGTCATGGGAGGATGCAGCATCACTTCCCATCGTCTACACTACGGCATACATCACCTTGTTCGACATTGCTCGACTTGGTAAAACTGACAAGGTCTTGATTCACGCTGCGACTGGCGGTGTGGGTCAAGCAGCTATCATGCTCGCACAACATGTCGGAGCTGAAGTTTTCACAACATGTGGTACGGAAGAGAAGCGCAACCTCTTGAACAAAGTATACAACATACCCTCGGACCATATTTTCTCAAGCCGCAATAGCTCCTTCGCATCCCAGATCATGACCCAGACCGGGGAAAAAGGAGTTGACGTTATCTTGAACTCCCTGTCTGGGCCATTGCTCAAAGCTTCATGGGAGTGCATTGCCCAGTTTGGCCGCTTCTTGGAGATCGGGAAGGTCGACTTGGAGGCAAGAAGACATTTGGACCTTTCACCTTTTGCACGCTCTGCCTCGATGACCGGCCTAGATGTCTTGCAGTATTCCGAATACAGAGGTAACGTGTTCCATAATGCGCTTACTGAGATAGTCCGCTTGTGGGACGAGAAATTCATCAAGACCGCCTCTCCAGTGACGGTCTATCCCATCTCAGATATGGAGAAAGCCATGCGTCAGATGCAAGCAGGCACACATGTTGGAAAGCTTGTCCTCGTTCCCAGTCTAGACGACCAGGTCCAGGTCATGTCTCGCCCAGGTCCGTTGTTTTTGGATGACTCAAATTGTACTTACTTGGTAGCTGGAGGTCTTGGAGGCGTCGGACAGGTCATCACCAAGTGGCTGATGGAGAAAGGTGCCAGGAACATCTTGGTCACGTCTCGAAGAGCTTCATCACATCCCGATGCCACATCTTTGTTCGAACACGCTCGGACATATGGCTGCAATCTCTATATTCGCAGCTGCGACGTCTCTGACGAGCAGAGTCTAACCAGTTTGTTGGCCGAATTCGTCGAGGATTCGCTTCCCNCCATCCGTGGTGTTATACAAGGAGCCATGCACCTAGACGTAAGTTTTTCCTCATATTTCCGCAGAAGTCCTCCTTTCTAACTTTTGTCATCCGGTTAGGACACCGTCATGGAACGCATGACATTCGAACAATGGCAGCATGCCATCCTCCCAAAAGTAGCCGGCACAATGAATCTGCACAGGCACTTGCCCGATGTCGACTTTNTTATCATGCTCTCCTCAATTGCTGGTGTGGTGGGAAATGTTTCACAAGGAAACTATGCTGCCGGTAACACGTTCCAAGATGCATTGGCTCGCCATCGTACTGCCAACGGCCAAGCAGCATTGGCAATCGACCTTGGTCCTGTAGAATCGGCTGGATATGTAGCCGAAGCAGACGAAGGACTTCGCAACCGCATCGAAAAGTCGTTCGGATCCAGTGTGGTCACCATCGACCAACTGCTTCGCCTAATCGAGTCAGGTATCCGACACCCACGACGCTCAAGTTTTGAAGAGAGTCAAGTTGTTACTTGTCTTTCCGACTTTGAAAGTATAGCTGAAGACTCGCCAGTGAAGAGAGACAAACGCTTCAGGACGCTACAAGCTGGTGTGGTTGGTCCCGTCACCAAGTCCGTGAGTTTGGGAACTGGTGGTCGTCTGGATGATCTGGTCCGGGCCTTGCCAAAGTCGTCAGGCTCGGAAGCTACGGGGTTGGTAGCAGCCGCCTTGGAGACCAAAGTCGCTGCTCTCTTCAACGTCCCCACTACGGAGATTGACACGGCATTATCGCTCTCTTACTATGGTGTGGACTCGCTTGTTGCGGTGGAACTGCGCAACTGGCTGAATAGTGCCATCAAAGCCAAAGTCACGATCTTTGAGATCCTTCAGGGTTCGTCAATTGTGGAGTTTGCAGACTTGGTTGCGAGTAGGAGTGCTCTGGTGTTGAAGTTGTAAACTGTGTTTGCCATGGTCTTCTGCGCCTTCCTTGAGGTTTTATCCGGGCGTATGTTATGGTTGACCGTTCACGAATGTTATGAAATAAATTATCTTTGTATCTGCGTATGTTCACTTCTCTTACTGCCCATGATATACACGATCTGAATAGTGTACGAGCCAATCACTAGGGCCACATCTCAGTATCAAGTCAATCATCAGTGCATCGAACTTGTGCCTGTGCGATGAGTCGTAGTTGACAATCTGATATTGACATTGGAAATAAATTTGACCCGCCCTCTGTGTACGCTGAACTCATATCGAATGTTTCTTAACTCCACCATCCCATTATGCTCTTAGCACCATAGTCTTTATGCATATTTCAATCAAACACTTTCCCGGCTTGAATTTTCTTTGATCGAAACCCTTCAAAATCTCGTTGCTCATGGGGCATATACTGAACATCTGCAAGGTAGAGTGCTTTTTGCTTTCGACCGAAGCCCGGATCTTGTGAGAATCTATCTGAGCTTACGAGATATTTACCAATTCCGAGCCATGGCTTGCACCGAACAAGGACTCGAGGTCGGAGACTTCGGCCCGAGCTCTGGTCTGCTACCCTAGTGGGTTCAATCTGCCGAGTACATGGCGATACAAAGCATACGAACTTCCAACCAGAGACGCATCCTGGTCAAACATCATCATGCCACGATCGTACAATGCTGAGGCGACCGCCAGTGGATTGGTTCGTGAGCTAGCGAGCGAGATCAAGGGCAAGGCCATTCTCACAACAGGGGTCTCGCCTCAGACATTGGGCTCTACTTTTGTGGAGGCGATAGCTCGAGCGGAACCCGCTCTGCTGATTCTCGCCAGCCGCAGCGCTGCCAAACTCGAACAGACGGCCAGAAACATCTCGGAGACCAACCCTCAAGTCCAGATACGTCTGCTGGAGCTGGATCTGGGTTCTTTTGCTGCCGTGCGTCACAGCGCCGAAGTTGTCAACGGTTGGGAAGATGTGCCATACATCGACGTACTGGTCAACAATGCAGGCATCATGGCCACCGAGTTTGAGCTCGCTCTAGATGGGCACGAGAGCCAATTGACCGTCAACCATCTCGGCCATTTTCTGTTTACCAATCTGATCATGGCAAAGATCTTGAGGTCACGGTTTCCGCGCATAGTCAACGTCAGTAGTGACGGACATAGGCTCGGTCCAATCCGATGGGCCGATTACGACTTCAGTGTGAGTCTCTTGTGTCGAGCCTTGTCGGTCAGATCTTCCATACTGATTTGGCTCAGAATGGTGAAACATATAACAAATGGCGTGCGTATGGACAGTCTAAGACGGCCAACATGTTGTTCTCTCTGGGCCTGGCCGAGAAATTGGGTAAAGAATACCGTCTGTCGACATTCAGTCTGCATCCTGGGGTCATCATGACAACAACCCTTGGTTCCCATGTCGATTGGACTGTCGACCTCCCAGCTCTGCGTAAGTTTGCATCCGGGACGGCTCCATCACTTAACTAAACAACTCCTAGACGCCGTCGATAAGAATCTTGGAAACCAAGAAGGCTGGGGCGAATTCAAGGTCAAAACCGCGGATCGAGGAGCTGCCACACACGTCTATGCAGCATTTGAGCCCAGTTTGAAAGGTAGGACTCATCTGACGCGACTCTTGCAGACCGCTTATTATGTGTCTCAGATCAAAACGGAGCATATTTACTAGATTCTCATGTGGCGGATCCCTTCACAGAGACGGTCAAGCCGTGGGCTACGAGTGTGGTTGAAGCTCACAGACTTTGGGCTTTGAGTGAGAAACTTGTTGGGCAAGAGTTCACTTATTGAAGTGTTTATGTGACCTTGCACAGACGCAGGAAAAGGCGAACTTGTCAAAATATGCATGAGTCTTTTGTAGAACCCGACAATCGGATAGCACTTGTCAATCTTACCCCTGATCAAGGGCATCATAAATAGGCCCCTTCGCTAGAATTTACTTCGTCAGTCGGAGGGATTTGCTTTACCTCATCTGGCAGTCTTCTCCTGAGTCAGCACCTGGGAGGTATTCTCTTATCAGGAGGAGAGTTTTGCCTGCACCGCGTTTCCACATTCTTGTTCGAAGCTTGCTTTCCAAATAGAGTGATGACATTTCTCTACCAAGCATAGACGCCGTTGCTCAAAAATGAAAGAAGGCAGCCGCGTAGATAGCTACAAGAACGAAACTTGCACTCATCATCCGCATCAGCCACACCGATCCCAAGCCTGATGATGCACTTACAACAGCTCGTTTCACCGGAGCTGCATCTTGGTCTTTCCAAGCAAGCCTTCCCTTACCAAACCCTGCTGGCACGTCGACGAAGTCTAACTTTGGACCAGCGCAGATGATGGCTCCGATCTGGTTTGCAACAGCCCGGTCAGGTTGGAGTGGCAAGACCCAATTAGCGACGAATTTATGCAGAGGTGTCGCCCAGGCCTGCACGCTGGTAATCAAGCCAGAAAACTGCATGATTTGTGTCATACGCTCTTTCCGTTCGTTTTGGTAAGCTCTCAGATACTGATTGAGGGTCGCAGGGCTGGGTTGGGCTCCGCATTGATGCTTCATCATCTTGTGCAGATGGTTGGTGAGAACGGCAATAGACTCTATAGAGGAATTACCACCCAGGGCAATGTTTGGTGTGACCTAACGTGTCAACATCATTAGCGTCATCTAAGCCAGGATCTGAGAAGTAATTCATCTGCCTACCTTGTGGACAGCATCACCGGCAAGGGCAAATCGTCCATGATGCCAGTGGTCTAAAACACCTTCTTCGAGTGAAATAAGTGATCCTCGATATTTCTTCTTCCAGAGTTCGCCGAACACCATATTCTGGCAGACTGGATGATCAGCCACACTGTTTGCCAACTCGTCAGCATCTGCTTCAGTGTAGCGTTTTCTCTTCGGCCAAGAAAACGACTCTTCCAGGCGGAAAAAGACGAAGAAGAAGACGCATTTTGGCTGAGTCAAAGCCAAAAACGAAAATCCATGGTCGTGTGTGACTGTCATGTCGCGCTCGCCTAGTCCAGGAGCCACTGGCCCCATCCCGAAAAGACATTTCCAATGCGTTTTGAAGGCTAGACGATAGAGGGTCAGTCAAACGGTACTCGCCGCAGATGTGGATTTCTTCCACTCACTCGTCTTTTCCTTTGCTGTGATCAGTCCTGTCGATACTTTGTCTGCGTGATCCCACATGGCATTCCGCACCAAGCTATGCACACCATCGCATCCGAGAATCATACTGCCAGATTCCGCAGTACCATCCCTGAGGTGGACACGCACACCACTGGGTAGAACTTCGATGTCTTTGACTGCACACTCCGTTTTGATGTATGTCTTGTCCGGCAAAGTATCATACAGAACCCTCAGCAGCTCGCGCCTTTCCAGCAAAAGCACATCTTGGCCATGACTGACAGTAATCAACATCAGTACACAACATTCAACAAGTAAGGCAAAACGNACACACTTCTCTTTGACATGCCCAAAGAAGCCATTGTTCATAATGGCCTTGCCATCCGGTCTTCGGCAGTACCACCGTTGACATGGCACACAAGTCTTCTGTATCTCTTGCAGGCAGCCGAGTTGATGCAGTATACGTGCTCCGTGTGGATAGATGGCTATACTGGCGCCCTCTGCCGGGGCAATTTCCGAGCGTCTCTCGAGGACAACGTGATCGATGCCGGCCTTTTGCAGACAGTGTGAAGCAGTGAGGCCAGCAACGCCTGCGCCGACAACAATAACGCGGAAGGGATCTTGTAGTGTAGACATTATTGCAGAATTGAGTTGGGCAGTCTCGATTGGCAGTTGCAATAGACTGTGCATCCTGGGGGAGTTTTGTCTTCGTCTTTACTTACTTTCTCACTCCAGTGTGCATATCTGCCCCGACCACTCTCTCCGACTTGTCCGCGAGGTCGCCCGCCGGTTCCAAACCTCGAACAAGATGAGATTGTGTCTCGGTGCTCTGGGTCCGAGCAGTGTAGCTGAGCGAGGGTTGTGCCGTCCGAGTCATCGAGCTCGCTTTTCGGGGTCATCGGGCCGCACACATCCCTTGTCAGACCCAAGGCTAAGTCTTTATCACTATCACTGGCGGTTGAAATACTCATTTTACGAGACTCGGCACAGAACGGGCACAAACGTAGCTATGTGTATTCTGTATGATGGGATTGGAGTTGCCATATGACCTGGCTGTGGGAGCTCCAACATCGAACGCGTAACCCAGACATCAAAAGACCACTACATCGAGCGTGCATCATTACAAGAGGCTTGTCCCGAAGAATTACGCTTGTGAAAAACATATAGACAGCTCAGCCAACCCCCAAGTAAATCGATCCTTGGTGTTTTCAATGAATTCAGACCCATCCTTGCCAGTAGGAAATGCAATGTCAAATCTAGTCACCGCATCAGCGACAACAAGACGAATCTGCATCAGAGCAAGGGGTCGTCCGATACAGCCATAGGGACCTTCGTCAATGTCAGCAAGCACAATTTTTTTGTTGTCACGAGTTCCCTTTCGTCCTTTTGACATACCAATGGCAAAAGGGGCATATCCGGCGCTGGTCTTGATCATGGAAGGCTTGGAATACCACCTCTCGGGCACAAAATCATGGGGGCTTTCATATGCGTCTTCATTGCGGCCAATGACATATTGTGGCGTCCAAACGTTCATGTTGCCAGGAATGTAGGTCGAGTCCACGAAAATGCCTTCGGGAGGTGTCTTGCGTACTACTGCCGTGGGTGGGACCGGGTATAGACGCAATGTTTCATTGATGATGGCATTGAGATGAGTCGCCTGATAAATACTGCGGTGTCCGAAAGTGCCATCTCCACTCATGAGTGGGAGTAGTTCTTGACGCAACTTGGCGATGTGGTGTGGGTGTTTCGCCAGCAGGTAGAACACATGCGACAGGGTCGCTGCTGTGGTGTCGCTCCCTGCCACGATGATTGTCCTCGAGTCGCTTTGAAGAGTCAAGGCATCCGGCTTCGAGGGCTGAGGACCTGCGTGCGCCAACAATACGCTCATGATATTCGGTTGGTCGGACTTTTGCCCAGCCATCTTGGCTGCCAGTTGTTCGTCACAGTATTGTATGAACTGCCAATACTTTTTCGTCAAGCCAGGTATAGCGATAAGCATGCGGAACATCCACGTCGGCAACTTGAGTCCTTGTACGGCCATTGCATCGTCGAGCAACTGAACGGCAAAGTGCTGCTCACCAGTCTTCAGCATGCCAAAGTCCTTGTCGAATGCCAAGTCACCCATGACATCGTAGCTGTAATAATTGAACCATTTGGCAGCGTTGACCGGCTGTCCACCATGTTCGCCCAACCGTTGCATGAGTGCCTTGTTGTAGACTGCGATACGGCTTTCGTAACCTCTTAAAGCCTTGTCACTGAAAGACTGACTCCATATGCGTCGCCTGTCTGCATGGAACTGATGATTCCGACTCGTGTGGATGGATTGTCGCGGCCAGTCTTCGTCGTACCACGACGCTTTGCGACATCTGCTCTGAGGTCCGTGGATTGCTGGTACGCCCGAGGGATGAACTATCATCAAGTCCGAAGATCCGACCCGGACAAAAGACCCATAAGTCTCGTACAGCTCGAGGGCTTTCCTGTGGGCGTCGAAATAGGTGACTTGGAGTGAAAACCACAAGCTGGAGACCTCGGCTCCCAGGGGGCCCGGGAATCGTCGCAGCGGATGCCAAACGAGTCTGTAGCTCAACAGACTTGAGTAAAGGCCCAAAGCCACAAAGCCAAAGAGCGTGCTGCTTTGACCAAAGGCTTCGATGAAGGAGTGTCTCGAACCCAGCGCCAACAAACTGGTCAAGCCGACGAAAAGAAGAATGGCAATCTGCAGATATCTGAGACCGTACATATGATGTTCGCCTCGCCAGAAGAATCCCAGATGCAGACAAACACCTATCAAGACTGCAAAAACTTGCGTATAACCATTGTGGGCCTGGAAGATCTCTGCAGTGAACATGATATTGAATGGCTGTACGATGCTTTGTTATTCAGTATGTGTCCGTAGCATCTTCGTGTGCGGAAAATGCAACAAGAGTTATACCAAAGTTGGATCAGTCCACTTGCGTGGAGTGCAAAGGATGAGTTCGGCGACTTCGGTCCGGCTGCACCGAAGTTACCTTGAATGAAAGTCCTTCGGAGCTGGTTTCCAGCAATTGGAGAATGACCGTCGAACATATCCGCCTCGACATCAACTACGACTTTGGCGCATTGCCACCAGCCTCCAGCTTCTCTCCCGAGCTCACCACCGACAGAAAGATACCCGCATAAAACCCCCAGGTAGCACCTAAAAGATATCCATACCACTCTCGTGGTTCCCCGAAATGCCACAGCACCACAAATGCAGCACAAGCAAACCATACACCCGTCCCTAGTGCTTTATCCTCCGCCGCTCCCGCCTCAGTGTAAAAAACGTGGAAAGCACTTGGCCAAGCCGGTATTGCGAGGAATCCAAAGACTATCTTGGCCACAGTCGTGAAGTCATCCGAGGAGGACTTTCGAACTGGCNNCGAAGGCGGTTTTGTGTCTGTTTGTTTGAGGACGTGGTTCATCGTTGCTCGTAGGGTTGTTATTTGACGATCGATGGTGTCGAGGCGAGTATTGTTTGAGTGAGTCGCTGGCGAGCCAAAGGTTTGGAAGCAGAGTGTTATTAATGCCATAGCGCCTAGAGCTGTCATGGCTTTTGGTGACAGTGTGGTTGCGATGGCCATGGTTTTGTGGTATGATCGTTGGTTAGTGGTGGATTCGTTGGTGTAGAGATGATGTACGTGATAGGAAACGGAGGAGATGTCCTTGGTCTCTATAAAAAGTGTTACGTACGTACAGCATCTCTCTTGCTCACAAAGTATGGTTTTGTAGCCGCAGTAGAAAGATCTGCGTAGGATTTAGGCGATGACGCCGAAATAGAGATCAATGCCTGATTGGGAAAGCGTTATCAAGCGTATACACTTTCCTGTCAAATGCACTTCCTATTCTCTACATCCAGAGATTTTAATGATCTACAGTGCTCTCAAGCATCTGCATCAAATCATCAAACATCAGCCTCGTGTAAATCCTTCTTAAACCTCTCGACTGCCCTCTTCTTGCTCTCAGCAAAATCCACATGCGGTTTCGGATACCCAAGTTTTTCAAACTCTTGCTTGCTCAACCTGCCATACGGATCAAAGATATCCTTGCCATTCAAGTCCTTCAACTCGGGAACCCATTTCCTGATAAAGTCTCCATGTTTGTCGCACTTCTCCGCTTGACTGATGGGGTTAAAGACTGTATAACTCGGTTCCCAGCCTTGAGTGTTGTTGGAAAGATCCCAATCGATGAGATGGGTGGCGAAATATCTTTCTCCTCTGCGGTAGTCGATCAACATGTTTGCGGTGAGGTACGAGGCAGTGTTCATGCGAAGGCGATTGTGCATGTAGGCTTCGGTGTTTAGTTGTCGCATTCCGGCGTCCACCCAGGGAACTCCTGTTTTGCCTTGACACCATTTTTCCCAGCCTTCTTCATCGTCTTCCCAGTGCACGTTGTCGAATTTCAAGTTTTGAGGCAGGTTCATTGCGTTGTGCGGGATGGCGACAAGGACTTGACGGTAGAACTCTCTGAACACGATTTCGCGGACCCAGGAGGCGATGCCGGAGTCACCTTCGTCAAAGTGTTTGTTATTGTTGTGCTTCTTTGCGGCGGCGAGGGCTTCGCGAACGCTGATGACGCCGGCAGAGAAGTAGGCTGATAATCTCGAGGAAGGATCTCTGGCTGGCTCTGAGCGGTGGCTGGCATACTCCGACACCTTCTCATTGAGAAAGTGTTGGAGGCGGTCCATGCCTGCTTCGTGGCCTGCAGGCCAGAGTCCACGGATGCGTTTCCTTTCCTCGTCGCTAGTGAAGTCCTTGTTTTCTGGTAGAGATGGCATTTTCGAATCGAAGAGTTTCTTAAGTTTATCGATAGCGGTCTTTTCGTTTGCTTCAGGAGGAGCCACGAGATCGAGATGTTCGGGGGTTTGTTTTGTCTCAGCAAGCCAGGCCTTGTGGTAGGGTGTAAAGACCTTCATTGGTGTTCCGCTGCCAGTCTTGAGCAGTCCTGGTTCGAGGACTGTCTGATCGTGCAAGAGTTCAATCGAGACATCCTTCTCTTCCTGGATGTGATGTGCAACTTTGATATCCCGACGAATCTCATCGACCTCGTATTCAAAGTTGCCATATACATGCGAGATGTCATTGTCCTTGACAAACTCAACAATCTTGTCCGTCTTGTCTGCCCGATCTTCGGCCGTCACAATAGCCATGGGGATATTCTTCTCGCGCAACTGCTTTTGCAGCAATGAAAGTGACTCGAGCAANAAGTCCGATCGAGCAGGACTGGTCCCATGCCATTCCAGATCTTTGGGGCTGTACAAGTACATTGTGATCAAGTTGCCATCTCCCTCTTTTGCTTTTCGCGATGCAGCATGAAGTGCGCGGTTATCGTCTGCTCGTACGTCCTTGGATCGGAACCAGTGCAACACATTGCGAACGGCATGGTCGGTCTTGTGTTCCGATAAAGCCTTCTTGAGCGTCTCAAACGGTGAGTGCTCGTCAATCTGCTTTGCGCGCTTTGGCGAAGGATGTTTGAGGTCCTCGTTGTAAATGGCCGAGTGGTCGCTTGGATGTGCGTCGTGAGGATGTGCGCGCTTCGACATGTTGCTAGTAAAGACTCTTGAGAATTGAGTGTTGGATGATCGGTTGATTGCAAAGAAGGGAGGTCTTGCTCTCCTTGAACAGGATAGAAAGTACTGTCTCAAGTAAACACAATTGTCAGTGGCAGGGAAACGGTTTCTGAGCAGAGTCTTCGACGTCATGGTCAATAAAGATCGGATGCCCGATTCGACCTTGCAGAAAATAGCACCAGTAGATAGGCGCTGGCAGACTCAAGAAACGGAGGTTCGGTCGTGAAGCTTACTACAATGATATGGATGGATAAATCATGACAATCCACCAGAATCTCTTACGCCTACACTCCCTACCTGATCTCTTCGGTCCATCATATCAACGTGTCTACCTCGTGCAGGCAGATCAAGATCAAGATCGCGGAAAAGGTCGAGGCTGAACTCTAGAATAAGGAGTGCGTCATCGTGCACGAGCGAAACCTTGTCCTGCCAAGAGAACTGCTGAAGGGACTGGCTTGAGTTAAACCCTTGATTCACCTCCTGTTACGGTGTATACCCTCGGACCTATCGTGCTCCCATTATGCCATATCATAGACCCGGAAATGGCCAGCTTATGCTATAGATAACTTCCCAGAATACATATATAGTCGACGAGAGAGAGATATATCCTCTTAACTGCCATCCGACTTCTTGTTCGCAAGGGCAAAAGGGTCTAGAGAATGTTTCTTTTCATTACAGAGCAGAGTCAGCCACACTAGAGAATTTCGTCTCTTCGTGTGGAACGACATGAGCCTGGCAGTGCTCTTTGAGACAGTGATTTGTTCTTTTTCCTTCCTTTCCAACGCCCGACAAAGAAACAATTTGGGGTTGATTTGCGAGTACATGCATCGCAAGAAATCGGTTAGGTATACAAATACATGTCGAAAAAAAGAAGAAGAATCAGCAGACGACAAGAGTTTTCAAAATTAGGTTGGTGGGGTTTTGCAAGTGCAAGAAAGAAAGGAAAAAGAGAAGTGTAAAAGAATGAAGGTATAAAGAAGAACCTGTGGAGTAAAAACAACAATTTGAAAGGAAAAGAATAGAGCAACGAATATAGGTAGGTAAAAGATTAGTAGGTGGACTAGGCACCCTCAGTAATCAAAAGTTCTAGAAATCCAATTAGAAAGTCTTTTCGTTCGTCGCAAGAAGCCATTGTTCTGTCTTTCAAATGGCAGGCTCTTCTTCTTCCCAGCCGGGCAAACCACGCTCAGCGGAGATGGCCAAGCCGTAAGGGTTGCTGTTGCCAAAGCCACCAATGCCTGCACCAAGACCAGCAAAGTGTTGGTTGTGCTGAGGTTGGGGCTGCGAGAAGACGGGCAGACTGACGGTGCGTGAGTGCTGTCCTCTTGCGGCGCTGTTCTGGCTGGCATGCATGCCATTACCGCCGCCACTGCCACCACCGAAACCATTAGAGAGACCATTGCTCAAGTTTACGGAATGAGTGGCGTGGTGACCGAAGTGTGAGGGTGCCTCGAGTGCTGTTGAGCGTGTGGGCATGCTGGAGTCTCCGCTGTAGAAGGCTTGCTGAGTGGTCATCTGCGGTTGCTGCTGCTGTTGCTGTTGTTGAGGCTGGGACAGACTCATCTGTGCGAACTGAGGGCTAATCTCGTTCGGCGAAGAAGAAGGCTGAGATTGGACTTGCGATGCAGCAGCGAGGTACATGGCCAGAGGGTTGTTAGCTCCAGCATTGAGGATGGTCGATGCAGTGGGTCCCTGAAGAGGGTTGTAGTTGTTTGATGCGCCTGCACTAGGAGAAATCGAGTTCTGGCCACGCATGCCGCTTACGGGGCTAGGCGATTGTGTGCCTTCTTGCTGAGACTGTCCCTGACCATTTGCAACTGCCTGGCGAGGAGGATTTCCGCAACGATCCTTGCCGAAATTGACCTTGAAACGCTTGTACTCGTCCTTGCTGCGAACAGCCTCGATGGCCTTGATGGCATTGGCAATGTTTGTGAAGTTGACGAATGCACAGCTCTTCTCACGAAGAGTGTTGACCAGCTCGATCTCACCGTACTCGGAGAAGTCCTGACGAAGACGCTCTTCGGTCCAGGTTTCGTCGAGGTTACCAATGTAGACATTGCGCGAAGCACCACCACTGACAGCAAGCGCAATAGCAGGAGGAAGGGCGCCGGAGTGCTTTCCNCAGCCGATCTTCAGGCGTCTGTTGTGGATCATGAGCCCCTGAAGGTTGGAAAGAGCGAAGAACGAGGCAGCAGAAGTAGGGTCGATGAAAGTGACGAAGCAAATGTGCTTGTCGGGAATGTAGCGAACATGGTGCAAAAGACCACCCCTGACAACATTGCAAATCTCCTCGATGGTCGTCTCGGGGTGGATGTTGCCCAGATAGACAGTGCGGTTGCCCAGGTTATTGACACCACCAGCAGTGGTCGCGACGGCAGCTGCAGCAACAGATTGCTGGGCTAGAGCGTTCGAGATCAGATCACGGTCGGCGTTGTTCAGCACGTGTGCATAACCAGGGGCGATACCAAGGTACTGAGCAGCGTTCTGCTGTTGTGTCTTGGAAACATAAGCGCAACGATCCTTACCGTAGTAGACGCGTCGCGGTGGCTGCCACTTGGGCTCCTGAGGAAGCTGAGAAACAGCCTTGATGGCGTTGCCAATTGACAAGAAGTGAACGAATCCAATAGCCTTTTCTCTGACAATCTTGACAGTGTCAATGGGACCGTACTTGGCCAGGTCCTCTCTGAGCTCATCCTCGGAAACTTCCTCGGGCAGGTTACCAAGGTAGACGTTACGGGATGCGCCAGACTGCTGGACTGCAAGAGCGACCGAGGTAGGAACCGATGAGGGCTTGCCCCAGCCAATCTTGATGTCCTGACCCTTGATGCACAGCTTTTTCAAGATGGCATCAGAGTGGAAGTGTGTAGCTGAGCTTCCGTCGAGGAAGGAGATGAAGGCACAGTTCTTGTCAGGGAGAAGACGGACCGACTCAATCTGCCCGCTCCGGACGTGGCTGAGAATTTCTTCGGCAGACGTGTCCGAGGGGATGTTACCCAGGTAGACGGTTCTGCTAGAGCTCGACATCAAACCAGGGGCAATGCCTAGGGGAGCAGTTGACAAGCCGTTGAGCGACTGGCTGTTCAAAGGGTTGTAGCCGAGAGTGGGAGACTGAGGGCCCTGGTACATTTGGGCGTGCATCTGAGGAGGAGACATCATGCCAGCGTACATGGGAGGAGACATGGCAGGGTTCTGCTGGTTCTGGTACTGGTTGTGCTGCTGCTGCTGGCGCTGAGGCTGCTGAGGGAAGCTAGAGAAGCTCTGGAAGCCAGGAGAAGCAAAAGCCGAAGGTGACTGGGGCTGGAAGGGGCTGCCAATCAACAGGTTGGAGGGAAGCAGAGGTGTAAAGTTCATGTCGAGGGCAGTACCAGGGGTCTGCTCAGCCTGGGTAGCCATGTTGGACATGCGGCCAGTATTGATAGACGGGATGTTTGTGCGGTGACGGTCCGAGTAGCTAGAGATAGAGGGCTGGTTGGTGGTGAAGGCGTTGTGCGAGAAGCCCAGGTTATCGCTGCTCATGCCCAGAGTCGAGAAGGACTGAGTTGGGCGATGGAACTTGGGCTGGCCCGAGGGAGCTTCCGACACCTGCATGTCCTAGGCTGGAAGAGACTAGGGGGTTTGAGTGGGCGGAGGGGAACTCGAGAGTTCTACTGGGGAGCGGTGGGTGGGTGGGCGAATTGGACGTGCTAGGTCGATGGCGGGGCGGTGTAATTAAAAGGGTATATGTTCCAGGTTTATCCAATTCAAAAGCTCGTATATACAGCTGGAGCGAATGCGTGTCCTCCTCTTGACGTGACGTTGAATTGTCCCTGTATCAGATTGAGGTTGGCTGGTCAAGACGCAAGCCACGGGGAGCGATAGGTCGGGCGGCGCAATTAAAGGAGTCGTATCAACGAAGGGAAGCCCGCAAGCGAAGGGGAAGGCAAAGGCAAGAAAGAAGAAATGCGAAAGAATGAAGCGAGTGACAGGACGAGACTGAGCGGAATCGAGCAGCGCGTGAAGAAGAAGAGGGCAAGGAAGAGCGCGAGACGGCGTTGGGCCGATGCTGCCACAAGTCGGCATGCTTAGCCCAAAGGAAATTACATCCACACCACGGACCTTCTCCTCAGCGCTTCTGCCACCACCGACCACCACCTATCCAGCACTTGGCCCATTCAGTCTCGCCCAGAGCTCCACGATGGCCAGTACACGCCGCTGCCAGAACCAGCGGACTGTGCAACACGGCTCCGTCTCGCCTTCGACTAGCAACGCCCTCTCTTGTGTAACCGTTGATACACAGAGCGAACGATCGTCAGGCACAGAAAGAGACGTCCGTGCCGTTCTGAGACGAACCCCATTTTTTAAGCGTCCGCACCTAACTCTCTTTTCTAGAAGGCCCAAACGCTTGCAGCCTGTAAGCACATGTGCCGAACAAGAAAGGGGTCTCTATTCCTGCATTGTTATACACGACCTTGCATGAGAGGGCGTCGGCACCCAAATCTGACATCGCATCTCTCTGCAGCCCTCGATCTGTGTCGCGTGTTTGCTGACCTCAAAGTCGCCCAATCCTCCCAAATACGCTTCATCGCCTGGAAAAACAGCAAATTGCCATCAACCCACGCGGCTTGCTGCCAATCAATTGCATCGCCATCCCTTTGCAAAATCTCATCACCACATTTTGTCTTCGCATTTCCTATCTTAATATAAACAATATGAAAAAATGCTTTTCGCCAGCCCACTTTTCTGTTTCACGTGCCATTTAAGATCCATCTTTTGCCTAGGCCAGGGTCCGATATCAAAAGTCAAGACACTGATGCCCCTGTCTCACGGCCGAGTTCAACATGTACGTGTTAGACACGCCATGTTCCCGAGTAGCAAGAAGGTCTTCAACATTCAATTCGTTCATTGGATCGACAGCGAAAAAAGCTGCCGTGTCAATAGCTATCAACTTCGTGTGTGCTGCACTCGACCAAGTCTTCTTACCATGCTTTTTCCCGAGCAAATCCTTGCGCCGCTTTTCATAACCATCTCGCTATGCTCCTGAGGATAAGATACTTGTACATGCTCCATGCCAAAAACTCCGATATAACAATACGCCTCCAAGCAAACATGATCGACCGTCTATTTGCCGTACTTCGTTCCTTGTCTCGTGGTGGGTTTACCCTTTGCGACAACTTTGGCGACGCCCTTGGCTTCCTTCCTGCCCTTCTTCTCCTTGGGTTTAGGCTGCTCAGAATGCAGATGGCCGTTCTTGTCCATAGCTGTCAAGTTTCTCCATCTGAGACAACGTTGACTGGACGCTTCGATATCAACGTAGGTCTTCTTCCTAGTCGACACACGAGTGACGGGCTCGTCGTCCACGTCCTCCTGGTTGATGCTATCCAGATGTGTCTTCAGAGTACGCATCTGACCAGTGATGGGCTCTTGCCAAGCAGTCATCTCCTTGCGCAATGCCTTTTCTCTGACACCGCGGTCGTCAAACCAGTTCAACAGCAAGGCAATGGTCTCCGGATCGTCGTAGTATCCCCACTCGCTGGCTGTTCGCAGACTGGTGAGGCCTTCTTCCTTGGCTTTGCGATCAGGAACAGAGAGTCCATGGTCTTGGGTGTAAGTGCTTTGCAGATCTTCAGGCAAGTCGATAAAGCCCAAGCGCTCCATCTCATCAGGTCCCTGTACCCAGATACGCGCGTTGGCATAACCATAGCTGCCAGTGCTACCATCAGTGAGTCCAGTGACAGGCATGCCGTTGCGTTCAAACCAATAGTAGCGATTCCAGAATCTATCTCTTCCAAGTACTTTGGTACGCTGACAATTAGCCTCGCGGAGTTGTTCATCGCAAATTGCGATCTCCTTCTCGCGTTTCGAGATCTCAACCTTGAGCTTGTCGATATCCTTCAGGAGCTTGGTGAACTCCTTGGACTGTCTGGGGTTGGTCTTTGCTTTCTTCTCTTCGCGCTGCTTTTCGCGTCGAGCTGCGTCTTCGTCACGCTTGCGCTTTCGCTCGTTACCACGTCGGAGAGAACGGCCACCTTCTTCTTCCGCATCCGAGGTGGCGAGATCCACCGTGTCCATGGTCTCATCAACATGACTCATACTGATATCCATAGGATCAGGGTGCTCCTCCTTGGGTGAGTCCGGGAGGTTGTCCGGGAGCAAGATTTTTTTCTGAGTTTCAAGGTCGCCCAGTTTTGCAACACTGNNTTCGTGAGTCAGCTAATATTCATTTGTCATGGACAGATAAACATACCTTTCTTTCTTCGATTTTTGATGCTCAAGCTTTTCCTTGCGAATCTTGGTTTGTTCCTCGCTCATTTCCTCGAGGTATCCTCTGACAGTCTTGGTGCTAACACATAGCAAGGTGATGAGCTGCAATGCAGAAATTCGAAGGTTGATGTCAAGGCGAACGTAGTTGATTCTGACACTCTCCAGGCTTGGATCTTCGTCCAATGGCACGAGTTTAGACAATACCTTGTCGCATTCTGACTTCTGGCGAGGATTCAGTGACAATTGATGTAGCAGGCCTGCCATGATTGATTGCCAGCCTCCATTAGCAAAATCACGAGCCTTTAGACGTTCAACCCAACCGTAGCTTGCTAACAGCTCGGGAGTACGATGCGGACGGTGACGACCTTCGGCGGGGGTTCTGCTAGATCTGCCATTTGTCTCTTCTGCTGCGACGTTGCTGATGTTGCTCATGCGGCTTCTAGTTGCGTGTGCAGGTGCGTCCAAGATGGGCGTGGCTGGCTCGCTTTCATCGATTTCTTCGTCAGACGACTCCTCCTCGACCATGTCTGGCAGAGTAACTTGGAGTGTGCCCTCCTCGTTGACAATTGTCTTGAGCACTGCACAATGTGCCTCTTCAAGCAGCTCGCAAGTGACCTCATCAGAGGTGAACTTGATCGCTTCCACGAAGTCGTCGAATGTAAAAGCATCCAGAATGAGTACCTCGGAGTGTACATTGAGAGTGTTCCAAATCTCCAGCAAGGGTCCGACATATTCCATACGAATCTCGCCCTCACCAGGGTTTTGCGATGTGATGAACTTCAAGTCAGGACGAACGAGATCATTCTTCCTTGCAGGAACATCCAAATCTTCGATGGGGTATTTGATGGGTGCGGGAGCAAGCTTCTGAGGCTCCGTCTTGACTGCGGCTGCTTGATATCCAGGAAATCTGGAGCCATTGAGTGGTGGTGTTGTGTAGCCCTGTAGTGAACCGTCTTGCTCAAAGTCTCCGATGGTGAGGTTCTTTCCTTTGCGACCGTTGACTTTGTTGAATATCGAAGTGCCTTGTGGTTGGCGAGGCATACCAGGTTGAGGTGAAGCTTGCATGCGTTGAGCAAGATGGGAAGGAATTTCCATGGGCAGTCTGTATTGCCTTGCGAGATGCTCCTTGACCAGCCAAGGTGCACCAGTAAACATGTCGCGTTGTATCGAGCTCTTCAAGAAGGATCTCAGGTTTTGCTTGGTAAAGAGTTTGCGATTTCTCTTGATGTGCTTGTCGTCCAGAAGGGCTTCCTCACCACGTTCGTCGTTGAGCTTAACAAAGTAGCGGGAGAAGGCAGCGCGTTGGATAGAGCCGTCAGGGTTGAGAAGTTGCGGGAACTTGGCCTTTTCGCGGATCACGCCCTCGAACTGGTCGCCGTTATCGAGAGAGACGCTCACTTCCTCACCAGGGAAGAACTCGCTGCGAAATTCCNNTGCACGAATCAGTACCTGAAATGTGAGAGACGAGGGAACAATACGTACCTCAAACACGAAAGACACCAGCTCATCTATGCGGGAGATGTCTGAGAACTGGACCTTTCTCAGGATGGGGTCGCGAAGAGCCTCAGGGAAGATCTTTTCAATGTCGCTGGAACTGTTGTTCTGTATTGTGTGAGAGTCGGACATGTGTACAGCCAGGAGGTTGCATACCTCTGAATCGATGGCGGCGAAGAAGGTCAAGCCGGACTTGCCATTGACGGCGTCTGTAAACTTTTTCTATGGTGGCTGTCAGGGTGTGGTCACGAGAGGGTATTTGGATCAAGGGAAGCGTACTCGGTTGTAGAACTCGAAGCTATAGTTGTGTCAGTTTCGAGCTGCGAGGAGGCATCGAGATGTAACATACCGAGACAGATAGGATTCGTAGTCTGTAAAGACTTCGCCTGATTTGGGCATGACCCAGACCNNTGTAGAAGAGTAAGTCGGAGGTGGATACAGATAGACCAGGGCAGATATGCGAACCTCGGTGTTGTTGTCGAGTTTGGCAGGTGCCGGAGCCATCGTCACCGGCTTTCTTTTGTAGAGAACCTGGGATATGGTAAGTCTAGTCCAGCGTTCACGTGCCATGGTTGGGGAGCAGCGAACCATGTTGGCGTGGTGGATGTGATTCAGGCTTGGAGCCAAGGAAGAAGGACGCGAAGAGCGAGCGAGCCGGGACGGGCGTAGACACGGCGGGGTGTCTGGACCTAGTGGTCGTCTTGTCGCATGCGAAGGTGGAGCGGAGCCAATGCCTTTCTCAATTAACGCGTGGTGTATGCTCGGGAGTCATACGGGGGATGATGGTTGACGATTGCGACCGAGGCGGCCGTGGGTGGACGAGGAAGATATTGCTGCGGCAGACGCGGGTACTACGCGCAATAAATTACGGACGAGGCTTCAGAAGTCGGAGAGGGTCTGCGGGGAGAGCGGCCGAGAGAGTGCTGAGGTATGTGTGCCGTTTGGAGACAGCCAGGTGTCGCGGTCGGTGAGAGGGAAGGAGGAGCGAGGAGGGAGCAAAGCTTTGCAAGAGGAAGGACATGACCTGTGAAGAGCCGTCGTGGGGAAGGCATCACCTCCGGCCACCATGAGCTGCCCATTCTAGTATTGCTTTGGTCGCGTTCCGAGCACTGGGCTGCCTGCGGGTCGGGCCGCGACTTTCTCTTCGCGACGCCCAGCTCCCATTTGCATGCTCCGTCACCTCTGGCTTGCTGGCCCATGACCCTGCGCATCGCCACTTGCACAACAACCAGCACATTTGGGCTCGTTCTGGTCGCGTCACCCGTGCGAGCAACATGGTGATGAGTTGATATAATTCGAGTCAGTTGTCAAGCTTCAATCTGGTGATATCAAGATCAGAGCCAACCCACATTACCATCCACGATTCGTCCGCCGAGAGAATGCACACCGCGGCCGGCCAAGTGATCCCTAGAGCCATGGTTACCGACACCAGAGCATTACACAGACTATCACATCGAACCAGGATTATGTTTATCGTAATCGCTTTCTTGGCACCTGTTTTGATACCATTCTTCATACTGCGCGATACTGTCAAGTCGTTACAAGAAGCACAACCCTGCCTATACCAGCGACTGAAAATTCATAAGGGCGATCTAGTTTATCATATCGGGTGCTTCTGCAGAAGAGGAAGGCTATCTCAATGCACTTCCTGTCTCGTCATGTCTAGTCTACTTACGAGGTAAAATACACAATCAAAAAACTTATCCAACTTGACACCACCCCCATCGCACAGTATGAACTGGTGAACATGAGCGGCAAGAACTCATACTTTGCGCCAAATACTAGCTGGTGGATCAGCGAGCAGTACGCGATAAGTGGGATTGCCACCGCAATGTATACGAAGGAGAAGCGATCGAGCAAGAACACTCTCGGTCGTGGAGAGCTACATTGATTGTCAGTATACCTGTGTTGAGCCAGATCTGCCTGCCGAGACTTANNCGCTGGAGCGAGCTGATCGAATGCCATCAGCAAGGCTACAAGCCAGAAGATGGTATATATCGTCTTGATCGGAAACTCCTGGGCCGTAAACAGCAGCGGGAAGAGCGAAACGTGACCAGAAACCGCGAGAGGTCTAAAAGCTCCGAGATATCTGCGATCTTTGAGTGCAATTAAGCTGAAGGGGATTATCACCAGCAAGACTGCCTTCTCGTGGACATGCCAGCCGAACAAGAAAGATGCATATCCGCAGAGCGTCAAAGCTCCCACGAAAGTATCCCACGTTGGTCGGAAAAAGAGCTTGACAAGCGCCGGCTGCATTCAGTCAGTGATTCGTCCTCTCGGCTTTCATTAGATTAACCCACTAATNTGCGCTGCCAGAGTCAAGACAAATGTCATTCGCGGAGAGATGTCAGGAAGTACAGCGAAAGATGTATCTCCAACCAATCCTCGGGTAACACTGTTGATGGCCGCCCTATTGACGGACAGTTTGAAGTATGGAGCCACTACCTTTATTAGATACCGTACATGCCGTTCGGGGAGGGCAACTCACAGNTAAATCAAAATTCTGTCCGCAAAAGAGTACAGTGCCCAGACGTTTGGAGCCCAGTAAGCATGACACAATCCTCGGGAGAAGGGAAACAGGCGGCTCAGGAGTTGATCTATCTGGTTCCAGTACACGAACGGTCCAAACGCAAGACCAAACACGAGCCCAATTCCGAGTCCAAGCTTGACACATTTGGCGAAACGGATTTTGAACCACGATCGAGGGTCCAGGCAATACACGCGTAGCAAGAAGACAAAGTATGCTGGAGCCAAGTAGAGGTAGATGTGCTTGAAGCAAAGCAAGATTGCGAATGTGATGCCACTGGCCAGAAGTCCCGATTGCCTACGTGCCAGCACGATGGAGAGGACGAGGATGCCGTACATGAAGCCATTGTACTGGAAGTGGATGTGATCGATTATGAGCAGACCTGGAGATAGGAGGATTGAGAGTGCAGCCGCGTGCGATGTCTTCTTAGCAGTAATAGGTGCACCACGAACATATCTGGATAGCTTAGTGGCCATGACTTTTAATCAAAAACATCTTAAAACATACAGCTGGAGTGCATAGAGGAGTACCAATTCAGTCAAGATCACGGTGGCTCTCTGGAAGTAGACTGTCTGCCAGCTAGAGTATCCAAGATTCTTCACGTGAAGCATATCGGCATCGAAGAGTCTGGCAGCTTGTGACATGCACCATTCGAATGCTGCAAAGAAAGGGGGATAATCGAGAGTCCATTCTGATGTTTTCNNTGACACGCGAATCAGCACTTTCCTCCGATTACCTTTCGGCGAACATACCTCATAGTACCAATCCTTGACTGGGAGAGAATTTGTAATAGCCAGCCAATTGCGATGTACCTCAAAATCGGTCGACTTGNNCTGCATTCGTGTTAAGGGGTGATGGAACATGGGGACCAATCCCGCTTACTATGCTGGCCACAACAGAATCTTGAAAGCAGTGGCGACAACCGCGCATTGTGTGAGTGATGGATATAGATCCGACATGCTGGCGTGCACTTTCTAATCCAACCAACGAGCTCAAGTCGACCTTTGCTTGCACCATGAGGCTCTAGCGATGAATTGGCCAGATCTCTCTCACGTGAAGACGCCGACTGCCGACAGAGCCCCACACGCGCCTAAAGCCGCCAGACGCGACGCGCTTGCGTGCTTGGCTTTGAGTGAACCAGATATTGTAACCGCCGAGACTCGGCAAGGTCTCTTGGGTTGACCGGTACCGTTTGCCGATTCCATCTATCCTCCTGGCAATCCTATCATCCATAAACATGTCCAGAGAGATCCATCTTTCTCAAAGATGTCGCTCATCCATACAGTCCATTTCCACGCTCTACTGAACAGAGTACGTACTTGTATCCTGCCAAGATGATCGGCGTTTCAGATTTCAGGGGAGACAGAAAGTCGAATGACGAAAGTACGAGTAAGTCGCGACTCGAAGGTCCTTTGCTAGTTCTGCTTCTGGACATCTTCGACCACAGCCTCTCTTGAGCTGTATTCCTTGGTGTATATTTCTATCATTACTGTCTGTCCTTTCCCACTGTATACTCTCATTTTTGCCTTGTTCATATATTCTTTTTCTCACCCTCACTCTGTTGATCATGATCTCCATCTCGCGCCGATGGATCCTTACCTGCATTCTGATTTGTGTAACACTTTCCCTCGTTTTCAACCTTTTAGAACAGGATGACTGGACACCGCCTCCGCCTCCTCCGCCAATGGAAGCCCCTCCCTTGCCGCCGGACTTTAGCTGGAAGACCCTACCCCGACAATGGCCATTGAACTCGTCAATGATCACGTTACCGAACGGACCACCTGCTCAGATTCCACCCATCCAACACAAGTTTGCCAAAGAAACACCAGTTGAGAGATACAAGAGACAGAAGAGGCTGGCGGCTGTCAAGAACAGCTTCAAGCATTCATGGAATGGATACAAGAAAAATGCTTGGTTGCAAGATGAGGTTAGGCCGCTATCCGGAGGTTACAAGAACGGATTCGGAGGCTGGGGAGCAACGCTGGTCGACTCCCTTGATACTCTCTGGATCATGGACATGAAGAAGGAATTCGACATTGCCGTGAAGGCGCTGGACAACCTTGATTTCGCCATGTCTCCCTCCAAGACAATCAGTGTGTTCGAGACGACCATTCGTTACGTAGGTGGCCTCCTGAGCGCATACGACCTGAGCGACGAGAAGTATCCAATCTTGTTAGAGAAGGCTATTGAACTTGGCGACATGCTGTATGCCTCTTTCGATACGGCCAACAATATGCCAGTGGTTGGGTCCTGGAACTGGCTGAAGTAAGTGCTACTAACATAGTGTCCGATCATGGCTTACAAGATGTACAGGGCCGCCAAAGGAGAGCTGCAACACGCGCCTTCCAATGCGCTTTCTGCCGACATAGGGTCCCTCTCCCTCGAGTTTACTCGATTGACTCAGCTTAGTGGTGACCCAAAATACTACGATGCGATCCAGAGGATCATGAACGTTTTCGAGGATTCACAGAACACTACAAGGCTGCCAGGGATGTGGCCAGTCTCTCTAGATGCTCGCAAACTAGATTTCACCAACGACAGAGTGTTCACGCTTGGTGCTATGGCGGACTCGTTATATGAATACTTCNCCAAAGGTTCGCTCGTTTTCCCGTAATCTGACGAACCCATTTGCTGATGACCACAGCAATATCTTTTGCTCAACGGCAGAGACAAGCAGACCCAGATCATGTATGAGAACAGCATGGCTGTGGCCAAGGAGCATCTGTTCTACAGACCCCTAAATCCTGAAAACCTGGACCTCCTCATCTCCGGTTCTGTTAGACAAGTTGGTGCAGGTTATGACCGAAAGAACGAAGGTCAGCACTTGACTTGCTTCGTCGGAGGTATGGTTGCTCTTGGTGCCAAAATCTTCAACGCGCCAGAAGATCTTCGTACAGCACAACAGTTGACAGATGGGTGCGTGTGGGCATACCAGCAAACGCCGAGTGGAATGATGCCTGAGATCTTCGAAGCCATCCCTTGTACCGATGACGAGGACTGCAAATGGTCCGAAGAGAGATGGTACAAGGGTCTTGTATTGGCTGTCCATCGAGTCATTGGCACGAGTACCACTCTGAAAGAACAAGCACAAAAGATCATCGAGAAGNGAAAACTTCCGCTCGGTTTCGCCAAGGTTGTCGACTCTCGCTACTACCTCCGCCCGGAAGCCATCGAATCTGTGTTTTACATGTACCGCATCACTGGGGACAAGTCGTGGCAAGACAAGGCATGGCAGATGTTCCAGGCCATTGACTCGCACGCAAGAACGGATATCGCGTATGCCGTCGTCCAAGACGTACGCGACGCGCAATCACAACTCACCGATACCATGGAAAGCTTCTGGACAGGAGAGACACTAAAATACTTCTACCTCATCTTTAGCGAACCAGACCTCGTGAACCTAGACTCCTGGGTTCTGAACACGGAAGCCCATCCTCTGCGCAGGCCGCAGAATTGAGAGACACAGATATCAGAAAACACTTTTCCTGGAATTTTATATAAAGTGTACCAATCAAAAGTACCTCAGCATCAATGATTTCTTCTGTTTTGCGTTTGGGAGCGTGGAAGCAATCCTGACCTCTCAACTTCGCAATTGACCAACTAGATAATCACGGCTACTTGACCAATCAGCACCTGCATGTTCACGCCAGATGTCTGTACTCTCTGTGGGAAGCGCAAAATCGACCTCGGACTGTGATGAAATACAGGTAACAAGTCCTGCAAAGTCAATCCCCGTGACGCGACAGGTCTATCTCGAACGCCTCTTTCACACCTACATCTTTCCAACAAAACCCAGCAGAGCGGTACTGTACGACAATTCCGGTCCTGCCGAAGACGTGGCGGCGGGTAGCGGAAGCAATCGACCCTGAAAGTAAGGTTCGTGGCTCGTGAATCAATGTCGGACAAACCAAAGTGACTCGCTGCCTGACAGAAAAACGACCTATAAATATGCATTGTTTGTGACAGGTAAGGGTTGGTCAAACGAACATGAGGCTGAGTGTTTGTTGTTTGAGGGCAAATGGCACATGGTCTTTTATGTGCGACCGACCATGTAAGTCGATGCTCTTCCACCTTGTTGTCAGCAGAGTTGTTTTCTTTTTGCTTTTTGCCTTTCTCTCTCTGCTTTGATATCCTTGGTATAGCTGCCTTGTCAGCAGTTTGCCACACTTTTGACGAAAACCAACATTTGCAAAACTCGAGTCTTTGACGTTGGCTGGCTGTNNTTGATTTTACAAGGCACCAATCGGACAGGTCATGTCCAGGCTCCAGGTGTAACAAATGATGCTGCACAGCGGTNNACTGCCGGACTTGAAGGGAGAAGTTGCAGCTCACCATGTATAAATCCTTCTTCTTCGTACATGGTTATAAGGTTTCCAGAACAAACGCATCCACAGACGCAAACAGATTGCTCGGACACACAAACCGCTTGCACACCTACAACCATCCTTGAAGACAGTCTTGGGGTCAACACATCAACACCAGCAATGTGTGAAAAAGGCATCCTCATCTGGACATGCGGCTGCACCCACATCCAAGACCCTCGCCCCTGCCACAAAGCACGCTTCCGCAACAAAGCCTGCGATGGCTACGCATTCGCCTGGGCGTACCGCTCACCCGTCCCCATCCACACATCTCTTCGCTGTCCATCATGCTTCCGCGCCGACGAAGCCCTCACCCTCAGAAAAGCAAACGAAGCCCTGCTCGCCAAATCTTTTGCCTATCCTACTCTGATCTCTGTGGCTGATGGGGATGACAGCCATAGAGTCAAGACGGGCAAACCGAGGTTCTCGCGTACGGCGTCAGGCACACAATTGGTGAGGGTACCCGACAATTGGACGAGCGAGATGAACAGGTTACCAAGGAATGCGAATGAGTATTCTGCGTTTTTGGGTGGGAGGTTTGATCCTTTGGTCAGATTGCCGGATACGCATATTCCGTCACCACAACCTTGTCGAAGCTCTCCGACTACACACACAAAGCAAGTAAAGGGAGCCAGAGAAATGCCTTTTACAGCGCCAGGGATACAACGATCGCGCTCGCATGCGCCGCCACAGTGTCTTCAGGGACCGGTACTGTTGAGCGAGGATGATTACCCTTATGTGGAGTTCAGGGGTACTTTGTCGACGAAACCAGGCGCGAGTAGACGTCCTTCTTATACGGGAAAGGTGTTGGATGAAGGGTGGGCGCCTCCGAGTAGTGGGACGTTGCCGCCGCAGAGTGATGTGGATACTGCGCCTCCTTCGCAGGTGCCGTCGCCGCAGATCAAGGTCTCGCAGCCGCCGGTTGAGGATTACTGCTTCTGAGTGATTGTGGAGGAGAATCGGATTGCTGTGCTGATGATATGATGGGAATATGATTTTCATGGTTGATGAATTATGATTTGATGATGAGGAGACCGACTTACCCGGGGTGTAGATGGCTGAAGGGTTCGTTGTGCTGTGGATGAGATGTTCTATACTCTAATGATTATCAATATATACTATCTATGGGGGAAGAGAGCAAGCGTCTGTAGTCTACCGTGTCTTTCCTTAGTTCTTAGCGTCGTCGATGGCCCACTGCACGGCATCGTATACATCGTCGACGATGACTGTGGGCTTGTGAGCGGGTTCGCCTCCAGCATACACGCCTGTACGGAGAAGTATGGATGACCACTTGCTGCCGAAAGCACTCTTGTACGAGTTTCCGCCTGCGATATCTGACTCTNNTTTTCGAGGTTAGTAAGTGCATTCACTCGCAGATATACAGCTCAGCTTACCTGGGTTGTCACCAACCATGTAGACCTTGCGCAAAGGCTCTATTGACTCGCCAGTGTACAAGTCGTTTCTGTGTGCTCTCAATCTCTTCTCGGCAAATTCGTACGTCTCGTGGTAAGGCTTGCCAATGACCTTCTTTTGCAGTTGTACACCAGCGTTCTGGCCTCCGGTGATGGCTGCCCAAACGCCCTCGAGACCCTCTCTGAAACCACCCTGACCTAGTCGCGGAAGGTGATACTTGGCTGCCCACCACAAGTCCGGGTTGGAGAAGTAGAGCTTGGGCTGGTTGTCTTGTTGGTAACCGTTGTTCGGAAGTGTCTTGTCTCCGTTCTTGCTCGATAGTGTGCCCATGATTCCCTCTCTTGACAGTAACAGATCTGTTATGATGGTGGTATCCAAACCCCAATCGCGAGGGTCGTTGTATACAAAGACTGCGTCGATCTTCAGAGACTTGTCCGGGTTCTCAGCATCGATGGGAGCGGGTAGAGGTTTGGCGAACTTTTGGTAGTACTCGGCGAAGATCTTGGTGAAGGGCCAGATATCGGGGTATGCGGTGACGATGTCGCCAGGAGTGACGACGGCCTTGAAGCCGTATTTTTGGGCAACGAGCTGGCATTTGTCGTGGTCGCCTCCTACTACGAGCACCGTCTTGTCGTGCAGCTCCTTCATGTCGGCAAGGGGNGTGTGGCTTTGCACAAACATCGAAGTGTCTAATTCGATGTCCAGCTTCTGGCTGAGCTCGTCGACTCTTTCCGACTCATGCTTGCCGCCGCCATTGGTGAGGAGTATGAAGGGGATGCGCTCGCTTTGTAGCAGCGATAGCGCTTTGTGGGCTCGAGGTAGAGGGTCGGACGAACGGAGGAGTACGCCATCAATACTGTGTTACATCTTAGTACCAATGCTACAGGGGGTGACGGGCGATGCGACATACTCAAATGCAAAGGCAAAGTCTGGGTGTTTCGCGCCTGGTCTGGACGTGATCAGAGTTCGCGACCACTGTGCTGAGCATGTCGGTCTGCACCAATGTGAGAGCACCGAAGGCCTAGCAAGTCTTCTCAGTGTCGTCGTCGCTGTCGTTGCCATGTTGCTGTTGTCTTGAATGGGCAAAGAGTCATCTTGAGCTATTTGCCGGTACTCCATACATTTGCATACGTCACTGCTATGAGCCCGCCGAACTCTTTTGTGCAACGGCTATACCGACAATTCTGACATATTAAGCTAGAGATTATACAATGTATCGACTCGTATCTTCTCATGTACAGTCTACCTCTTGGTGTAACATGTTTGCATCCATCTATCTCCAATGAATGGTATCACATGCAGGATGAGCCACCTGTTCGTCGACGTCATGGCTAGGAGCTCACCAACCACCCATGTCGATGGCCTATGTATATAAATTCAGACCAAACGATGACTGCTGCTTCGTGAGTCTTTTCAAACACGTCCAAATCACCTGCAAAAAAGTATGTTTAGAGGTTCTGCCTGACGGTGCCATGTTCTAACAATCCGGCAGCTTAATATTCATCACAATGCCTATCGGAGAAGACAAGAAGTCTGGAGTCGCCGGAGGAGTGACTGCAGTCACCTCGACCATCGGCAATGGTGTCGGTGGTCTCTTGGGCACTGTTGGTAGTGTCACTGGTGCTGCAACTCGAGGAAGTGAGTTTATGGTGTATGTCCTTACGTAGGCCTGAGCTGATAGTTTCTACAAGTCGGCAACACAGTGACTGGAGTCACAGGCAATACTGGAAAGCCACTCGGTGATGCCTTGGCCTCGCTCGGAAACGGTGTCGAGGATGGAACCAACAATATCGCTCGTGGTGTCGAGGCTGCTGGGCAGGGAAAGAAGGCTTGGTGAACGCTTGGTCTCACGAATTACGACTTTTAATCTTTTGAATCCTATTGGCGTCCTTGATTACTTGACTGTATCGCAACAACACACTTTCTGATTGAGCTTTTCTTCTGGCATAATTTCTCGCGTATCTCATCAGTTTCGTCCCGCGATATCCTCATGGTAAGTGAGCGTCCAAGATGCTCGAGAGTGTGCGAATGTTGACCCACTCGATAGGCGCTTGCAGACGATGCCCGTGTACAAAAAGGAATAGCCGACCTGTTGCACTCGCTGGCTGGCTTGATCAGATGCATATCCATGTGTCTGTTTGCATACACAGTGAAGATGGTTCTCACCGCTGTAGTCAGACTGTTGACCTACGACCCTCGGAGTGGAGGTGCTCACTATAGCGCGGACACTCGCGCAACCCCGTCAAGCTCACACGCATACGGAACAGAGTCGTCGCGTACAGGGTCAGAAGGGGAGGTGAAGGGGTGGTGAGGAGTGCAGTGTGCATGTCAGTCAGCACTGAAGTCGATCGCCCGCGGAAGGAAGCCGAGACTGAAGATCAACTTCGAGATACTCTGCCTCACGGTGGCCTCATACTATTTGTATCACTGCCACCCTTGTTCAAAAATTTCACCAATCAACCCTCATATCTTCTCCAATAATCGCAACATGGTAAGTCGGTGTCGTTCTACCATTCGAAAGTGCTCACATATTTCGCAGGCGGTCGCAGACGACGCTCGTGTCCTCTCAGAAGTGCCAGTCCTGGTACATGCAATAGCAATCCTGATCAAGTGCATCGCCTTTTACGTGGCAATGTGTGGACTGAGAGTACTTGTTGTCGATGTGCTGAAATTAGACCTCGGACCTGCTGTCAAGACCATGATGGAAAGCTCCCAAACCCATTTTAAAGCACCAACATTCCAGGCGCAAGGAGGAAATTGGTCAAGCGAAGACCTGGGACAGGAGAAGCGAGAAGTTTGAGGAATTCTGGAACACTTAGTGGACGGTAATCATTGTCTGTCTTCCAAATGTGTCATGAGTGAACATTGCAGAAACATGGTTATGTAGTGCAATCTGTGTGGGCTTCATGCCAGAACCGATGATTGTAGATAACAGGCGATGGCATCCAGGTTATAAGATGAACAAGCAATCATGAGCTGCTCCAATGTCGAGAGAGTCTGATACTATGCTACTCAGCAATATTTGGTCCTTCTCGGGGGATTTATAGGGATGATGAGTGTGTTGACAGGGTGATACCTATAGCCATGAAGCTGTTTTTAGATCGGCAGGATGTCGGCAAGTCAGTAGGCCTCAACCTAACCCTTCCCCGAACGCGGAGGCGGAGACTCCCTTGACGACGTATCTTGGCGCAATAGGTCTCGTCATATTGCTGTATCGTGCACAGTCAGGCAGTTGTTGTATGACAGCGCCCGATGGTTTAAAAGAGCCGAGGGACTTCTGTGGTTAGCAGTATGGCGCCAAATGGCACGGGTCGCAAGGGTGAGCGCCCATGGCACACAGCGCACGATGCGGCCGACAGCTAACTCTTTCGTCAAGCACCGGCCCCAGGCAAGCCAAAGACGTTCAAGTTTGCGTCGCGCTCTCGTGTCGACGACGCTCTAGGCTCCGATGCCAAAAAGCAGTCGCTCAAGCTCAAGGATGAGGTCGTCAAGAGGTTGCCCAAGGCATCGAAGCCGGGCAACTGGGACTCGGACGTCGTAGGAGGTGAGTCCCTCCAGGCAGCGCTCTGTATACTTGAGCTGACGTTGCGCCACATCANNGGCATAGACAAAGACACGAGTGGAGTTGTCAATCGCGTGCCCATGGATGTCGCTAGGGCCTTCGTCACAGGCCATCCTATGCAGGATGTTGCAGACATTGTGCGCTGCAACCATTGCAAACGCCCGGTACTCCGACACAAAGCCAAAGCACACATAGAAGAGTGCATACAAAAGAAACAGGAAAAGCAGCGCAAGAAGAAGGAAGCCAAGGACGCCCGCGACGCCGCCGCGCGCAGAGCCGAACGAGAGAACGCCGACAGTGAATCCGAAGACGAAGACATCACCATGGCTTCCAAGACGGCCGGCAAGACCGACGGCACCTCTGGCAAGAAGCGCAAGGCCGAGGACACGACCGAAGGCGCAAAGAAGAAGAAAAAGAAGGATGAGCCAAAGGCCAAGGCTCCTCGTCCAAAGGCTCCAGTCGATGTCGAGAAGCAGTGTGGTGTTCCTCTCGCCAATGGCGCTCAGTGTGCGCGCAGTCTGACGTGCAAGAGCCATAGCATGGGTGCAAAGCGCGCCGTGCCAGGCAGAAGCGCTCCTTACGACAAGCTGCTGGCCGAGTACCAGCGCAAGAACCAGGCCAAGCTGCAGAGTACGTCTTTTCCGCCATGTTCATCTCTCACTACAACATGCGCTAACTCTCACCCAAGAANNCAAGCTCTCGAAGCCCAGCAACCATTCCAAGACGACGAGTTCGCCCATGCCGGTCCCATCGACTCGGACGAAGAAAAAGACCTTGTCCTTGCCGCCATCGCTCGTTCACAGCCACGCCCGCTCTGGCAGGCTCAGCCCGTTCCCCTCAAACGCAAATACCAATATGTACGCCTCAGGGAGATGATGAGTAGCGCGTTGGGCGGAAAGGGGCATGGTCTCTTCCGTACCGGCCCTCCACCCGACGAGTACCACAACAATCTCATGAACGGCTTGGATGCTATGAATGCGACCCCAGACAACAGCGACAGAAGAATGAGCGGCGTGCAACGAACAATGGCAGGAACACACTCCCGCAAGACGAGTGGCGTTCTCTGAGCAGTGCATTATACATGATTGGGGGTTGGCGTTTTGAGGCTCTTCATGGAGAGACGGCTACTTGATGATTACACATGATACCCATTTTCTTTTTCACTGACGAGCGAAGGAAAGCGGTTAGGTCCTTCTCCAGGACTGGATACGCCAAATGATTATCTCAATCTGCCTCTGTGCCCTTTGTGCATCCTTTTGCCCTTCATCCGAAAAGTTTCCTGTTGCAACTCGAATACCAACGTGCTGACAGATTTTGTCATGCTCGGATATTGAGCGAACGTGGTTATCGATTCCAAGCTTTGCGGCTATCAACGGCAATGCTTGTTTTCAGCCGTCATCAAAACATGTGCGCTTGGATTTTGAACAGAACTCCAACAACCATCTAACACTTACAACTGGAACATCTTGACCTGCGAACGCCTTGAAGTCATTGAATCACTAACACGTCTCTTTGAAATTGTTCCAGAGGGCCAGAGTTTCTATGATGCCTTTGCCGTGCCACAATATCTCGGCACCCAACCCATCGGCAGTTACAACGTCTTTCTATCGACTCTTTTTGCGAAACTCTAGATGCTCATTCTCCAGGTTCTCACAGAAACTGAAAGTGAAACAATCCCATCTCGACCTTGGTAGTCAGTACGCATTCGGATAGATGCTATCTGCCGCTGGCAATGCCACCAAATACAACTACCACGCGGCAGAGAATTACATGCCTGCGTAGCTTTTAACTGCCTGTAGGTATAAAGACCATTTCCTCCTGTACTTTGTCATTCATCTTTTGCTATACCCATCTCTTCTAATCTTTTCAACCTTCACAATGCGGTCCACTACTGTCGCTGCTTTCCCTTTCTTCTCTCTTGCACTTGGTGCTGTCAACTGGAGTGCCCTGGAGTCATGTGTGACTGAAAGTGGCACTGCTTCTGTCAAGACAGTGTCGACGTCAGTGTCTACCACGACTGTTCAACAGCCTGATATTCTCGTCAAGCATACATTCCACCCTCAGCATTTTGTTACTCCTCGACCTTTCACCAAGACCTGGACTCATACCTTTCAAGAGACCGACACTGCTGTATCTACCGTCGTCATTCACTTGACGCACACCGAGTTTGTCCCAACCTCGACTATTGTAAACACCTACACGCAAACGCAGGTTTCTAGCGTGTACACCACGGTGCCAGCTCCTTCGGGCTTCCTACCTATCTCCAACACGACAAATTCCGTGTACCCCAATGGACAATCGCTCGGCTCGTCGGCTTCTGCATCAAAGTCTAGTGCTTTACAATCAAGCTCCACGCCTGCCGCTGCTTCCGGCACTGCTGCTGCCAACTTCAACATGACTGCTTCGGGTTCTGGCAATGATGGATCAGGTGCTTCTGCCGGCATTGATGGTTCTGCCAACTTGGACACAAGAAACCTTAAGAACCTCAAGCAGTTTGCCCATGCTGTCCACTGCTTGAAGAGTGTCCTTGTTCAAAAGACTGTTGACACCACCACCACTGGTACCACACAAACCAGTACGCTTGCTCAAGCCACAGTGACCGCTACTGTCAGCGCGACCATCACCGCCATGGTCCAGCCAAAGTTCGGCCATGGAAAGACTGCCTACACTACCTCGTACACGACCGTGACCCAAGGCTACAACGTTTACTCGAACAAGTTCGTAACTGCTCAGGTCACATCTACCGTCAAGGCGTATGCTGCATGCCAAACAAACAACGTGATCAACGCATTGGCTCCTCCTTCTGGCAAAGCAATGTCCAAGACCACTGTTGCAGGATCTGCCCAACAATGTTGCGAGCAATGCCAACAAACCAGCGACTGCGTTGGCTCTGCCTTCCAAGCCTTGCTCCCTCTCGGCGGTCGCTGCCTCATCTACTACGCCGACACTTGCCCTGCCCAATCCGCAAATTCTCTGCAGTACACTCTTGCCGCACCCAAGCAGTCCCTGGGAACCTATGCTTTGAGCAACGGCGTATGCGGCTACATGTTCTCAGCTGCTGGACAGGTGAAAGCCCATGGCCACGGGTGGTAGTTGGCATCTTGATATCTTATATAGTTAGATGGAGTTAATATAAGCTACTACAATATCGAAGAATCTATAATTTAAATCATAATATAGAGTTCCTCATATCAGGGCTCGCGTCATCTATGTGCCGAGTAGGGCTTTGTCGGATCCATATCAACCTCCCGCCTTCATGTAGCATACCGCATTTCAGTCTGGACATTATTTAATCCGACTTTTGAAGGATGAACGTGGGGTACACTAGATTTGTCGTTTCGAGGTTCGTGCAGCCATCACTTTTGATCATGCGTGGCCTGCAGGTGCTCGAAAGAGCAGGAATTTAGGAAGAACACAAAAATCATGATGGCTGCAGCAAATCCATCACCACAAATCGAGTGCCCCTGCTTGTTCTTGGGCGTGAGTCGCGACTGCCGGCCGGGCGAGAACGGACGGGGGAGAGAAAAGCTGTACTGTAGTATGTACGAGAGTGAAACATGCGCGGCGTGGTCCACTTTCGTTTCCTCACCATCTCGACCAGGCGATTCCAAATGGCGATTCCTCTTTGATGGCGCGATGGACGAACCTTCCATCGCTCTGTTATCCCTCGAGGCGAGTCGTGAAGGTCGTGTCAATTGAAGATTTTCGGGAGATCTCCCTCTGCGACGGTGCGCTCCGCAAACCACAAGTCAGGCGGCCAGCGCGGCTCTGCTTTGGCTGGTTCCTGCATCTCCTGTACTCTATCATCGACGGATGATATATTCACTAACACACCACGAGGCGATATGGAAGTCACTAGTGCATTGGAAGCAGATAGCTGCAGACTAAACTCGACATGGCTTCTTGGTCGCATCTTGCACAGAGTGACATGCAGACAGAACCAATCTCAGGGTCCAACAAGCAATGACACCCGGCCGAGCTCATGTTTACCACCGAAAAACTCTTTTCAGCAAGGAGGATGCAGTTTCACCAACAAGCAACTATAAGACTCTGATACTGCCAAAACTGTAAGTGGGTGCTTGTTTTACTGATGCCCGAATAAGACTGCGCCCGGCCAAATCGGAAGCCACAATCTTTTGGATCTCGGTGCCGCTAGATCGTTAATGTACGTTAATGTATCCTCAACGCTACCACGGCCGGTGCCTCCACGATTCGTAGTGCACTGTCGCGAGTCATCCAGACGCTGCTATTGCTTGCCGCTCGGGGTAGAGATCCTGCTGGAACAGAGCAAGAGGCGCTACGAGCTTCGGATTGCCTGAGCATCAACCTTCCACTTTCGCTTCTCGCCGTCGATCCATTGGTTAGTGCGCTCCACTGAGGCACGTGGAGATAGGTATTGATGTCTTTGTGCATGAAAACGGGCGTTGTCCCTTCTTTCTAGTTGATATAAGGGCGGAACTCCCAGTCCACTCTTGTCGTGGGCAATCCTAGTGTCAACATGTACGAAGGTGTGGGGGATTTGAGATCGGTGATTGTGAAGTTGAACGAAACACAGCAAGCGGCTTTGCTTGATCGTCTCTTTTCTCTCGCCAGAGATGATACGCCGGATGTTGACCAGTCTACTCCGGTGATCAAGATAGTATGGATCTTGCTTGCGATGTCTACAATCGTGGTCACCACCAGGTTGGCAATCAAGTTCCGGACAACTCGCCGACTCTATCTTGATGATGGGCTCATGGCTTTCGCTTTGGTAAGCTGGATCATACCTCTGGACCTTGACTCACTGTGATTAACCATACTGCTAGNNTTACTTGCTTGGGTTCATGCTATCTTTCTACAAGTCTCATTCTACAACGGTCTGGGCCGTCACGTCTTTTATCTGGAACCCGACAAGAGATATCTTGCTCTCAAATATGGATTCATCTCTCTGGTGTGGAGTTACATCTGTCCCATGTTTGGCCGCCTCAGTTTTTGTGCATTTCTTCTCTGCGTCGCCAAAACCGATCCTCTGACCAAGAAATGGCCCATCTGGACATTTATTGTCCTACAAATCATTGTCAATGTATTGGCATCTGTCCTTCTTCTAGCGACATGTGGAACTCATCTCGAAGACATGTTTCTCCTACACCTTGGAAACTACTTCAACTACTGCTTGAACATCGAGATTCAGACAAACTATGCTTACTTTGCTGGTGGTTAGTATACTCAAAATGAGCTATGTCAAATGACACAGGCTAATAGAGAAACAGCCTTCAACACCTTGACCGATCTCTTTTTGACCGTTCAACCTGCTCTCTTGATCATGCATACCAAACTGGCGACAAGTAACAAAGTCGGTGTTGCTTCTCTACTCTGTCTGAGTATCATGTAAGACATCCGTACGGCTTTGCATATGTCCTGGACTGACGAGATTTGATCACAGANNGCCATGATTGCAGCCATTGTACGAACAGTTGCCGCGCATACACTCAGCGACGTTGGCGACTACACCTGTAGGTCTACAAGAGAGAAATCTTCCGAAAGCATGCTGATGGAATGACCAGATGAACTTACACCATTCGTTACATGGGTCTCGGTCGAATTGAACGTTGTACTCACCGTCACATCTCTACCCCTCTTACGACCACTTGCCCAGGNNGGGGCCCGCCAACAAGCAAACAGACTGTTCTCATCTAGTCGCAAGATAAAGGAGCCGTGGGATGACACAATCTCGCTTCGTAGCATGCATACCACAGGAGACGAAGAAAGCAAGACAGGAGCTGGCGTGGGAGTGGTTGCTCTAGCCAGCCCAGCCAACGATGGCGGCTTTTTGGCACAACAAGACACGTCGAATGTCGTTCGAACGGTAGAGGTGTCAATCAGCTACGAAAGCAACGAGACACCAATGATACATGCTTGTCTGGTTGGACTGGTCCAAGGTCAAGCAATGGAACGTTTGGCTGGCCGATGATTCCTTGACATGGCTTTGGTATTTCATTTGTTGTTACCTTTCTAATGTATGTTGAACGGCCTAGAAGTTTGCCTATTTTGTTCTTGACTGTTGGTACCTGTGAACGACGGCAGAATCATGTTGTTGTCATTGTTGCAGACATGTCGACTACAATAACCAGACTCGTCAAAAGCTGCCTTGCATTCCTTAATATACTGGAACACGACAACAGCCAAGATAAACTTGGCCATGTTTTAAGCGTGATGCTTCCGGATCATGTGAGTTTCGTGATTGACCAAGGTTCACGGCCGTTTGGTCGGCAGAGGGATGACAGGTCCAACCTCCTGCAAGACGAAGTGGCTTGACACGATCGACTGGCAGGACGACAAAGTGGCTGAGCCAGACGGAAATGAGGCTTGCGTGGCAGACATGAATGGAGCTAGCTAGAAAGAATTGACGTCGATTGTGCGCGAGGCAGGGCAGGAGTATGACACGGAAGGATGAGAAGCTGGAAAGCCAAAAACGTCCAGACTCTCGTAACCGAAGCTTGCTCTGACGAGGCTCTGTCTATCTTTTGCTGCGTTTGGAACGTGCGTGCCCAGTTTCGCAGGTTTGGATGATAGATATTCACGCAGTGTGTTATGGCAACTTGGATAGAGGAGATAATCACTGCAAGAGAAACAAGGAAGCGCTCATGGAAGGGCAGAGAAGGACAGATCACTTTTGATGATGAAAGTGCAGGCCATGATGGTGAAAAATCGCGGACGCGGGGCAGCCTGTTTGGTGTTTGGCAGCTCCTCCAAGATGACGTGCGTTGGTGGGGTAGATACATCATACTTGGTACCGTCCTGGAACCTGTCGCTCACCACCACGCCTGCTTAAATACCTCGTCCAACGCCCTCCAGAACACACTTTCTCATACCATACCATCTTCTGTGAACACCTCTCATCTTTGATACTCAACCAACTCTCAACTTATACCCCTTTCCAACTCATATCCACATACAAACCACACATCATGTCGAACGTCCCTGGTACGTCAAGCTTGGAGCTCTCCAGCTCATCACATCTCAACCCAATCCATAGCTAACACATCTCCAGCCCATCTCCCCGGTGATCTTGGCGAGCACGACCCTCGCCGTGAGGCCCACCCCATCGGCAACGAGCCCGGCTCTGGTGGCCACGAAGTCAAGCTTGGTTCCAACGAGGCCAAGGGCATTGAGCACGGTGCCACTGCCGCCGAGCACAGCGACAACAACAACCCCAGATCAGACAACACTGCTGAGCACGCCTTCAACGGTGGCAGCGTCGAGAACATGGACCGTCAGAAGCGCCAGCAAGCATCAGACATTCCCGGTGGCCGCACTGGCCACGACGGTGTTGAGGACCACCTCACCCGTGCCGGTGTCCAGCAGGAGTCCAACCGCGGCGACAACTACGGCAGCGGTCTTACCGGTAACACCGGCTCCGGCCTGACTGGCTCCGGTCACCACCACGACCACTCTCACACCCACCACCACGGCTCGACTGGCTCGGGTCTGACCGGCGGTCTCTCTCAGTCTGGCACTGAGCCCATCTCTGGCGTTAGAGGTGCCGGTGTTGGCGGTGCCCCCTACGACGGAGGCAACCTCCAGTCCACTGGCTTCAGCGGCTCCGACCCCCAGGAGCGTCACCAGCTTCACCACGGCACTGCCCACCACGCCCACGACTTCAGCCACCAGCACAACACCCGCACTGGTGAGCTCCTCGACCCTGCCAGCGGTAGAGACACTGGTATTCCCGGCTACGCTGGTGGTGCCTCTGGCTTGACCGGCTCGCACACTGGCACCGGCCTTACTGGCTCGTCCCACACTGGCACCGGCCTCACCGGCTCGCACACCGGCACTGGTCTGACCGGCTCAAACACCACTGGTTACGGCCAGACCGGCACTACCGGCGAGCGCCTCAGAGAGGATGTCCGCGAGGGTGAGCGTGGCCTTACTGGCTCTCACACCGGCACCGGACTTACTGGTTCGCACACTGGTACTGGCCTGGCCGGCTCATCTACCGGCTCGGGTCTTACCGGCTCGCACACTGGTACCGGCCTCACTGGCTCAAACACCACTGGCTATGGCCAGACCGGCACTACCGGCGACCGCCTCAGAGAGGACGTTCGTGAGGGCGAGCGTGGTCTCACCGGCACTTCCACCGGCCACCACGGCTCGACCGGCTCAGGCCTGACTGGCTCCCACACTGGTCAGCACGAGACCACTGGTGAGCGCGTCAGAGACGAGGTCCGCGAGGGTGAGCACGCCCACAACAGCACCGGCACCACTGAGCACAAGAAGCCTTCGCTCTTGGACAAGCTCAACCCCCTCAAGGACTCTGACGGTGACGGCAAGAAGGGTTTCATGAAGTAAACTTCTGGAACACACCACACAGATACCCCTTGATGATGATTACAGTCACGAACGATTACTTTTAATATAGTATAACGAACCTTTCTGAATGAAAAATAATTCTTCAATATTTTGCTTGCCTCTTGCTTCTTTCAACAGTGTGATGTGAAGTGTTCGAAGCTTCGACGTGACCTGCCTTTGCAGTTGATATGGTGGTTGACCAAAGCAGTTGGTGTGTTTGACGAATTTAACCAAGAATGACAAAACAATGGTCAAGGTCGGTCTGATTGATCGTCCAAACGACCTTGTGCCGTCTTGGTGATGCAATCTGAAGGGGTCAAAGTATCTGGTATACTGTGTAATTTTCGACAATCCATAAACGCCGTGATTAATTCTTGATGAAATGGTTCCTGGTTGACTGACTTGTTGCCCTCAAATCGAGGCGTCGCTGCATCTCTGACTTTGCGTCACATCTCAAACTTCATCTGAGAGTCTGAGTCCGGTCGGGTCAGACGTCAAAGATGCCTAGCATCCAAGACAGCATCAATCAGATCAAAGACCAGATCCGCGATCATGACTACGCACAGCAGTCGCACGAACAAACGCAGCGCGAGCACGAGCGCATCCTGGACGAATATGACCGAATGACGCGCCACCGTTCAACACGCATGCGCGAAGAGAGGGACACACGCAGACACGATGGCAGTGAGAGACGCAGATCTAGATCACCTCGTTCTCTGCGCTTCCGCTTCAAGGATGGCAAGAGTGGTGGTAGTGACAGGCGCAAGAGCAAGCATTCATCACACAGGCACAGACACAGACACACCGAGAGACGCACCGATGAACACGACGAAGCCGACGTTCAAGGCTATACCGCCCACCCCTTCTCTCGACCGCATACCTCTGATTATCTGGACCCGTCCATCTCAGCCTCGCCCCAGCCCGAGCCTAATGCTGCCCAGGCCGTAGACCCCGATGTTGCTTTTCGGGAGTCGCTGTTCGACGCCATGGCAGATGACGAGGGCGCGGCATACTGGGAAGGTGTCTACGGAGAGTCTATCCATTCATACCCTCGCCCATCTCTCAAAGATGATCAAGGCCATCTCGAGCAAATGACCGATGATCAATACGTCGAATACGTCAAAGCCAAGATGTGGGAAAAGAAGAATCCGGAGCTGCTCAGAGAACGTCAAGCGCGTGCTGAGCGTGAAGAGGAGGCTCATGATGCAAGATCCAGAAGGAGACGACATGATAGCGAAGACGACGAGTATGAGGAAGACTTTGAATGGGTCGGCAACGAAGAAAAGGGCTACGAGAAGAGATCTACACGCACACGTCGCCCAAAGCCAGACACTCGAGATGCACCACGCGACAAGAGCTTCATGTCCGATGTCGACGCTGCTCTTGCTCGAGGTGCCAAGCGCAAGGAAGTCAAGAAATGGCAACAGGCCTGGTCCTCTTATCAACAAAGATGGCAAGACCTCAAAGCCAACTCTGCACAACTCCAGGGTGACGAGCTCCTCAAAGCAATTCCTTGGCCTGTCCAAAGTCTCGCTGCCACAGATGTCGCCAAACAGAATGTTGAAGACTTCTTCTCCAATGCTCCACTGGATTCTGAAGAGATTCGAGCCAAGACTTTGAAAGACGAGAGTGTCAACTGGCATCCCGACAGATTCCAACGTCGCTTTGGTGGAAGCAATGTCGATGAGGAAACACTCAAGCTGGCTACCAGTGTCTTCCAGACCATATATGAAATGTGGGAGCGTACAAGGCCAGTCAAATAATCAACCTAAGTAGCATTCTTGGTTCAACAACACATCGGCTGTACTCCTCATGTACCACCTCCACCATTCTTCTGTCTATCAAGATCCATATTGACGCCAATTCATCATGGTAGAGATTGTTCACAGCGACATGCGCATGCTCCTGGACCGACACGCGCCCAAAAACACATGCTTCCGCATGCCTCATCCATCAGCTGTATACCAACTGCCACCTCAGCAAGCCAGCAAGTCATACCAGTCGCACCTTCCACAACGCATGGTATAACAATGCCACGTGCGGTGCCACGCGCACACAACAGATGCAGGAACATGAAGGCACGATGGAGGCAATTCCGTATCTAACTGTTTCGCCAAACATCTTTTGCTCCTCGACCAAAACAATATCCTTCCATCAGCAAAAGATTGGGATTGAATCCATCACAGCTCAAAAGACATTCTTGCATCCACGATTCTTCTGCATCTAAAGCAAGGCCCATTCTTCTGTCTAGTAAAGTGTGAGGTATCCAATCGACTTTACTGATAGAGTCCATTGACTGATACCATCTCAAGCCTTCTACATCTTTTCGATCAGACGCCAATCAAGTCCATCGATTCCGAACAAGTTCGTCAAAACATCCACCATGTGCCGTGCCAGAATTACCACCTACATGCTTTGCGGCTGCGTTCAGAAACACTGTGACCTCTGCGTTCCTGCTCTTAAGGCGAGCACCGCAGTCGAGTGGGATCCCACACACACCTGTCCCAACTGGGACAAGAATGCTGCTACCGAAGTCACCGAGAGTGTTAGCAAGCGTTGCCCTACTCATACCAAGGAGCACCTTGAGAGAACTAGCAGAGCTGCTAAGAGATGAGCTTGTTGGCCAGCACACCTTGGGTTGAAGGACAGGGACAAGACTGGAATGGGGTAAGAGTCTATGCGAGGCTTTCTTTGATTGATTGCGATCGAGGATGAGAAGCAGAAGAGTAATGCGGCATTCTTTTGTGCGATTCCAAGGGATAAATGATTGGTATGGGAGTTTGAGTGTTACGACGACAAAGACGATGGGCTTGCATTACTGATTACAAGCTGGGCAAATGTGCCGGATGGACTATGCAAGAGAGTCGAATGTGTTTTGAGCAGAAAAGTGCAAGGAAAAGGCAAATGTGCTGGACCACAAAGACACTTGATAACAAACTCGGAAGTATGTCTTTCTCAATGCTTGTGCCTTTTTCTTTATCAATTTATGGTTTGTTCATCCGAACTACTTCATGCATACCCATCATGCTTCAATCCCTCAATCATACCTCCACTCATCAACGCCCATCTCAACACATTAATCCCTTGCACCTCACCCCCAGCAGCAGCCCCAAAACCCCTAACAAATTCCTCTGCCACCCTCACACCCCTAAGTACATCTCTTCCTTCTTCCGTCTTTTCCAAAAACGTCGCTATCCACTGCTCCAATTCTTTTTCCTCTCCACTACCAATGATACTCTTGTTGATGCCCACAGAAAACCGAATTAAAGCCTTCAACACCACAGCAGCTTTGGCAGCAAATTGACGATATTGTAGACCTTGAGGGCAGAACGTGATGGCTCTTGCACAAGGCAAGACATCTGCATATTCGACAAAACACTCTGTCCATTTCCCGAGTTCCTGGATTGAGAGGATGCCTCTGTTTACATGTTTGAATTGTAGTCTTCTTATCGTTACACCATTCTCTCGCATCCAGTTTAATGCTTTGGTCAGGCATTGTATACCTTCATCGAGTGGGGATCTGAGATCGTAGATGAAGGTTTGGGTGGTGTAGTGGAGTGGTAGTGTTTCAGTTCGGACAAGAGAACAAGTGTGGGATATTGGGGGAGAAGTCCAGGTGTTGTGGCTGCAGGATTGGGAGAGGAGGTGTGAGGTTTGAGATGACGAGTCCAGGACGTAAGAGTAGATCTGGAGACGAAGTTCGGCTGGGAGACTGAGGAGAGGGCTTGGTGTGCTGGTGGAAGCCATGATTTTGAAACCACGGAATTGTTTTCTGAGAAATTGATGGAAGTCTCTGAGAGTAAGAAAAGGTATAGATCAGAGCAGAGATCAGGATAACCGATATAGTAAAACAGTGAAGGACAATAAGTAGTGCTTAAGAATGCTTTTTTATCAGATCATCTAAGATTGTGGGAAATGGTCTGATCAATCTGATAAGATTTACCGCTTCTTTGCGATATCGGGCTTGCGTGCGCCCTGCCACGGCTTTCGTCCAAGGTCCTTTCGCGTTTCATGCCTGGAAGGAGGTCGCATCTCACAAACGTAAAGAGCTAGCAGCATGAGTTCGACAGTGTTGTCCTCAGAGGTATCTCAATTGTCGAACTGTAGACGGCGTGCTAGAAGTGAGAGGTGTTAGCTTGGGTGGATTTCTTCTCCACATCAAACGCGTCAGAGTTGTGCAAAGCGCATAGCAATGCATAACTTCTTCTCAAGTCCGACATCGTTCGTGGATTGATGTGAACAGACTCCCTCCTTGAGCGCTTTCTATATCGAACCAGTTTTGTGACCACTTTCAAACAGCAAATTTTGCTTCTTCTGTAGCCCGAGCGAGACAGTGTACTACTCGTGGATCTAACAACCCTACCCAATTCGATATCTGAATTCTTGTGACTCCCCGTCACACTCGGTGAAATCAAGTGGAAAAGGTATCCGGGTATATTCTCGCGTGCGTCTTGAAAGCACTGCTGACTTGTCTTTACAGGAACATACTTCACATTTCCTTGCAAGACACACTCTGGATCTCGAGGAAAACACATCCATCATGACATTTTCTCAGCCTCTCCCGCCAGATCTCTTGGAATCTCAAATCTCGACACTCGATCTTCTTCTAGCCATGTTTCCCGACGAGGACGAATTCGATATTTCACCTTCAGATCTGGAACTCATCACAAACATCCGCGACAATGGTAGCGAAAGTATAACATTACCACCCGCAGAGATCAATCTGGCTCTACATGTATTACTGGATCCCACACATTCCATCCAAGTCAACGTCACAGCACCACTAAGGACAACAGAAAAGGACTCTCACGAAGCACCCCCGATAACATTTTCTCTGCGTCAACCGACTTGGTTGGACAAAGCTAGTCTGGCATCTGTATCTTCAACCCTCCCGGAAGACATCTTTAGCGCGTTGGACTTCCTGCGCGATCAAGGTCCCTCCTTGATCCCCACAGCTGCCACACCGACAGAAACAAAAACTTCTACTGGTCCTCTGGTGCGTGTATGGTTTTACTTTCCTTCGCTGAGTACGCGCGAAAAGCGGCAACATATGGTTGACTGGGCACCCGCTTACTCGCTTACTGGATTTGTTCTGGCAGGCAAGCCAGGTATGCTCTGTCTCGAGGGCTCAGCGACAAATATAGACGCCTATATGAATGAGATCAAGACGGTGTCTTGGGGAGACATTCCCTCGCATCAGAAAAAGGTGTCGGAGAGGTATAGAGAGACTGGCGCAGAAGTCACCAGAGCATTCGAGTCAATGATAGAAATTACGGATTTGGTGGGAGAGAGGCATGGGGCTAGACAGAATAGAGGAGACATGGCTGCTATAGAGGCTTGGTTGAAGGATAAAGGGTTGGGAGACATGTTTGAGAGTGTGATATTGCAGAGTTAGATTTTGAGACTCAGTAATCAGGCCACTCGGGGTCGACTTCATTTCTCCATGCGCAGAAGCCGCCTCGTACGTCCTTAAGACTTCTGATGTCTGGGTTCATGGTTTCTAGCATTCGCACGACAAGCTGTGAGTCGTTGCCTTGTTTGCAGACGACAAGGACGTCTCTTCCCTTGAGGTCTTCGAGGATTTGAGTGTCTTCGCGGAGTCGGGTTTGCAGCCCTTGATAGGGTAGGTTGATACTGTTGGGGAGACTGCATAGCTCGAATTGTGTAGGATCACGAACGTCGAGAACGACGGGCGCATCATCGTCGTGTGGCGATGAAGTGGAGAGAGTGGAAAGTAGATCCCCGGCACTCATGCGGGACGAAGGTGGTAGTATGTCGACGGGGTCTGTAACACCACAGAATGCGACATAATCCATGGATCCAGAAGTCAGACTCGACTCAGTGACTGTATGGTTTGCTGAGCATGAAGCACAATCAGCACGTCTTGAGCGTAGCTTGACATTCCTGAATTGAGGCATGCTGTATGCAGAGAAGAGAAGAAGGGACGGAGGAGGTGCCGCTGCCTCTGGAGGGGAAGTGATGAGTTTGAGAGTCTCCAAAGCTTGGAGGATGCCCATGACGCCAACCACAGGACCCAGGATACCACCTTCGCCGCAGCTGACGACAGACTCAGCAGGAGGGGGGCGTGGGAAGACGCAACGGTAACAGGGACCACCATCCGAGGCGCCAGGAACTCGCGGAGGATTGTTCAAGACAGTCAATTGGCCTTCGGTACGAAGAGCAGAAGCTGATATGAGAGGCTTTCCTGACAAGACGCAGGCGTCCGATATGAGGTAGCGTGACGTCGGGTGATCTGTACAGTCAAGTACAAAGTCATAGTTGGAGAAGATTTCTAGAGCAGTAGAGGGGGTCAGGTGGGCTCTATAAGGAATATAGTTGACATTCGGATTCAGGCCGCGTAGAAAGGTAATTGCACTATCGACCTTGAAGACGTTGACGCGGTCGGTTGAATGAGCGATTTGACGATGGAGGTTTGACTCTTCTACAGTATCGCCGTCTACCAGACCCAGAGTACCGACGCCAGCGCCGGCGAGGTATGCAGAAGCAGGACAACCCAGACCTCCAGCGCCAACGATGAGGACCCGAGCAGCCTTCAGTCGCAATTGGCCTTGCAGACCGACCTGGGGCATGATGAGTTGACGGCCATAACGCTTGAACTCGGCATTGCTGAGACCGAATCGTTGTTGTGGTTGCTGATCCTGGTAGTATTGGTGTTGCGGGTTGTTCAGAGCGCCCAATATCTCTTGCTGCCAGTCTGTCTCGAGTTTGCCGGCATCTTGGGCGCGGTGTTGAGCCTCCTCGGCGTGGGCTAACTGTTCTCGGAGTTGTTCGAGCTGCTCCTCAGTAGCCTGTATCTGTTGGCGGAGAGCTGAGACGTGCGCGTCGACGGCCGATGTCGACAAGACGTCTGCCATTCTTGCAAGAGTCACTTCTCAAGGGTCTGGAACAAGGAAGGTGCAGCGCAGCGTGCGAGAAGCAGCGGGGCAGCGCTTGGAGCGGCGCTTTTCCGCGACACAGACAGGAAGTTTTTCTTGTTGCGCCTTCCTTAGCAGAACCAGCAATCATGTCGCAGCAAGAACAAGTCCCACAAGAGGAGGAAGTCGCGCAAGAGGAGGTACTACAAGAACAAGAAGAGCAGCTGCCCATCGACTGGCCCGAGAAGATCGAGTACCTGCGCCGTCCCAAAATCTCTCCCGCCGTACCTGCCCTCGCCCTCAAAATTCTCAACACTCCGACAGCTGCGACTGCTTCCTTCACGCGCTTCTCTGTCGATGCCCTGCAGTTCCCCAATCCTGACGTCCGCATCGTCCCTCTTAATGATCCCGAGCATCCTGCCAATGGCCAGTTCGGCCTAGCTGCCAAGAAGCACTTCTATCCTGGCAACTTCATCCTACCCTACATTGGTCTCATGCACACCAACAACCCCAAAGATACCGATCCCGACTCCGAGTACGACATCTCGCTTGACCGAGACCTTGATCTCGCCCAAGACGCTGCCAAGTCCGGCAACGAGGCTCGCTTCATCAATGACTACCGTGGCATCGCCGATAGACCCAATGCCGAGTTTCGCGACATCTGGGTCCAGACTGCTGAAAGAAAGTGGGAGCGATGGATTGGCATCTTTGTCGTGACATCCGGCAGCTCTGGCATGAGGAAGAATGGCATCAGACCAGGAGAGGAGATTCTCGTCAGCTACGGCAAGGGCTTCTGGAAAGACAAGAAGGACGAGTGGGTTGCGCCAAAGAAGACATACGCCCCAGACGCGGTACAAAGAGTAGGAAAAGTCCGCGTGCGAAAGTAGTTGGCGAACGACCTACTCTCTTCTTTGTCAGTGTCTCGCTCGTTTCCATGGACACGATTATTGCATCGCATCGCATCGCATCCCTCAGGCGCATACGTGGCATTCGTATCCAGTACGCCATGGCTATGTTATACCCAAGCTGCTGGTGTTGAAGAACCCTCTTTAAAGGTTCGTTTACGACTGCCTTCTGACGTCACTCGTCAATGGCTCGTCCTCGCATTTGAGCAACTGGCCGGCTCTCGCAGTCTCGACGCCTAAAGGACCATCACGCGCTCCAGAAACATGGAATTCGCATGTCCTTCTCCAGGTACCGCATCTGCTGACCTGCATGTGTCGAGTCTTGAACCAAACACCGGGTAATTTCCTGATGCGGCCCGGCGGATCAATCCCTCCAAACCCACATCAGGATCAACAGGGTCGCAGTGGATAAATTCAGAGGACCGTGATGGACATCTTATGTCATGTATGACTGTTTATGATATGAAGAATAGGTCACCATTGGGAAATTTTTTGATTGGTTCTTCCATCATGTTTATAGCATCAATTAAGTTGCTAGACACTTCAGCCGGGGGAGGCCAAAGTCGCGAAGGAACCAAGTTTTGTTATACGATAGATACAAAGTTACACCAAGACACTCGGCCTAACCACCTCCGTACGCAACTGCTGTTTCTTCCCATAACCAAGAATCCTCCACTATAACTCCTCCTTCTCTTGGGTGACGTTTCCCTGTTTATTTGTACTGTGCGTGCATTTACTTATTCTCCGACTCTGAAAAGGGCCAGTGCACTGCCATTACGTAGGTAGCCCGTTTGTTCCGCTCGCGGCTCTGCTCTTTTCTGACGGCGTCGGCAAAAGTATATAGACCACGGCCCCGGAACGCCATCGTCGGCAAGGGGACTTATACGTACCCGTACCTTCCATTCTACTCGCAAACTGTACATTGCTGGCGACCCCTCTTCTTGGATTTCATATACTCACAACCAATTGGCCATCTCTGACTTGCGCCTTTCCTGGACTGGATTGAACAAGAAGAAAACTCAACTGAGAGTAGAAGTGGAAAATGGCAAGCCCTTTTGCTTCAATTGCCAATCAGAGAGTCACGTCTCAACGACCGCCGCGACAAACACCAGAACTAGATTTTGACAGATGCGCTGCGTTACACAACACAATAGCCATCTATGGCTGGCTACGTAGTGGCCGTAAGGTCGCTGACATGGACCGCAAAACCTGGTGGCAGAAGCGCGGCAATTCTACTTTGGAAGTCCTCTTACGGCCGTCTCTGGTCAAATACCTCAAGAAAATCTTCGACTTACCTGGAGGAGACGGAAGCCATTTCTTTTACTACATCAGCAGAGTTTCCAAGCCGAGAGAGATGCTGTATCTTGGAGATTTGCTGAATGACGAAGAAANNAAGAAGATCAAGGGAGAGAAACATCGATTCATTACTTTGTACATGACGAACAAGGAGTTGGTCAGCCAACGGAGTGGCATTGTGTAAGAAAATCCCGACACTCGATGAAAAATTTACGCTTTCTCAATTTCCAAAGAAGTTGCAAGCAGATGATTATCGAACTAAGCAGAAGGAGAACAACGCTAATCGCGGAGTGCAGATNACGATCAAGAGACTGGCAAAGCAATCTTCATGCCTACTTTTCTACACATCTTCGACCTGTACGACCAAAACTTGCCATGGCAAAGACTGGAATCAATTCTTAGCGCTTATATCGACATGATCGAAGCAGGAAAAGCTGTGGCCTTGCACGAATCTATCGGTCGCGAGCCACGTCTCGGACCAGTTCAAGGTGCAGATGGTCAAACTTCCTGGCAAGAAATCGCACCTTCAGGGCCAAAAGTAGACCCTTATACTGGAGCCCGTCGATCACGCTACGACACTCACCCATGGAGTCTGGTTTCCTACACTCATGGCGACTTGACATCGTGTCTAAAACTTTGGGAGGAGCTGTTTACAGTGATCGAGATCAAGAGCGGATTACGAGATGAAGAAGAAGATCCAAACACCACGCCTCTCTGCAGTCGGTCTGGTCTTTCCGCAGCAGGCGTACCCAGAGGATTTGCCTACGATCTGCTGTCCCACGCCCGTCAACCACGAATCTGGTATGTAGCGCCAGGTATCCGCCTACCTCAAGCTTCCGAATTCGTAAATCAACCCTTCAAACACGTTGCTGCAAGATACCCAAAAGAGACTGAAGGCATCAAGATGCCATTTCTGTTCTTCCGCGCCGAGGGTACGGTGACCTCAAAACAAGCAAACTTCCGCTGGCCGTTCAGCACTGTGCAGGAAGTACCTTGCGGTCTCTACCTCGACTCGTACCCGAACAAGGAGAATCCATTCGAAGACGCCTGTCGTCTCGTTCTCCCCCTTGCGGTAGGAGGAAACAAGAAAGCCAAAACTAGTGATGGTAGATTGATGCAGAAGAGTCATACAGAGGTCTACGCTCATGGCATCAATCCATTCACTTTGCGCCATGGCCCCAAGTTGACAGCGATATTGGAGAATTGGTTGATGAATGTCAAGAGTGGGCATTGGACTGTGGACGAGCAGGGTGTTTCTGGCGGTGTAGAGGCATGGAAGCAGGCGGACACGGAAGAGCATTGGGACAAGTACGTTTCGGCGCATTTAGCATTGTAGCATGGGTAGCATAGTACGAGCATCTTTTCGCATTGTGATTTGATGTCTTCCTTAGAAACAGAGAGCACTCTTGAGTGCCAAGACTTCTCTCGAGACGAGGGTCTGCGCACATTGTAGTTCGGGCTTGCCGTGTACGACGTCACCTAGCTCGCTCGCTTTCGGCTTCCACTTCCATCTCGAATTTCCTTCTCAGTTGCCTTCGCGTAATATAATNCTCGACATACCTTTTTTTTTGATCAGATACGGATTCTGGCCCTTAAAGGTCTAGGAACTGCCAGCATGTCCTACCTGGATGCCGCCCAATCAAGTCGGGTCAGCCAGGCATATCGGACCCTTGGCTTGGTACCCATCAGTTCTCAATACCACTCGGGTGCAAGAACATTTACAGCACATCGACGCAAGATTGCCATCCAGGATGAAAAGCTGGCATTATCACGAGAAGACGTAGTGAAAGACCCGCGAACAAATACCGAAGAGTCGTTTCCGTTCATGGAACTGCCCGCAGAAATCAGAGTCCGAATCTATCAATACGCTCTAGTACGACCACGAAGATTGCATCTCGAGGTCGCACGGACACCAGCTCTGGCTTGCGTATCCAAGCAAATCAGACGGGAATGTCTTCCAACCTTCCTGCGGGTAAACAGCTTCCAAGCTTCATACACAAGAGGCCTAGACAGAACCTTTGGCCTGAGTTTCGCAGACGAAACCCTGGCATGGTTGCAAACACTATCCTTCACAGCAAGACTGATTCAAGACCTCAGAATCACATTTCAAGGAGATCTCGGACAGGGGGGCCACAGATCGATTGTCTTCCAAATTCTCGCCACCGCAAAGGAGACCTGGGTCAATCACTTCAATCGCTGGTGTCCGTTTTGTATAGACGGCTACCATGGCTCCTATTACCATCTTCCGCACCCAAACTACGATCACCCATGTCTGAAAACCAACCCGCTGAAGCTCAAAGGCATGCACGATGAATTCGTGGCTGCTGTGGAGCGTACCTACTTTAAGCTTTCGGACGACTGGGGCAGAGGCGGTCTCTCCATTTGCGAAGTCATTGATCTGGCGAAGGCGGCGGATGAGATAAAACAGAACCCGGATGTGTTTATACCGTTTTGCTTTTCGATACAAAAGTTGATCGAGCATACGGACAAGATTGCAAAGTGGGCGGGTGTGTATAGTGATTATCTGGCATCGCAAAGGGCGCAAGAGGCTTTGCTCGAGGCTGATGGGCTTGAAGAAGAAGAGTTTGCTCTGCAATGAAGTTGGCCTGATCGAATGGCTTCATATTCGAATTGGAGGGATGTGAATATCTACTACACAGTGGAATGTACCTGGACGGTACGACCATACGCGCTGGACGTGTTGTACTATTGGTTTCCTCGGGGTGCCTTTGACATCGGTCAAGTATCCTCTCTCCCTGTCCAGCCTTTCGACAATGGTTTCGACATCCACTCTGGTCTCGTTGGCTCCACAAACCACCTCTTCCGCTCGGAAGGTCTGTTGTAGATGAATCCATCCTCCAAGTCTTGGATCCAGAGCTGCCGCAGCCGTCGCCAGCAAACTGTTCGATCCTGGAAGGACCCCACAGTGCACGTGTCTAATTGGAGGTAGCGACTGCCTCAAGCCATGAATTCTGGCAGCAGCTTTGTCGTTGGATTCGACGAACGCGACCAGTCTGGTCTTCGAGTGCACCTTCACGGCCTTCTCTTCGGCCTGATCTCCATGATGGACTTGGATGTTCCACCTGTCCCTCACCGCGCCTCTTCTCAAGCCTTCTATACTCCAGGGATTCGCGTCCCAGCAAAGAACTTTTTGGACGCCAGCTGTTGCATAGCTGAAAGCGAAAGACCCAATCCCTGCAGACAGATCCACCGCTGCACATCCTTTGTGGGCGTTGTGAGGGTTCGCTGTCGCTTTTAGGCTGGACATATGCAGTATCCTGGCACTTTCCGAGGTGTTGTAGTGGGGAGAGGTGGTGTAGCGAGGGGCCCAGTATTGTGTGATGCCATTCTGCTTCATGCTGACCCAGACGGCATTGTCAAAGTCATTTTGTGATGGCTTCTCCTTGCTATACACGATTGTAGTCTCTGTATGTGCAGTGGAGGCCTCCTCCCAGCGTGGTCGCAAAAGCTCGATACTCGTGTCTTTTTCTGCAGGTAGACCAGAGATGGCGCTGTCGTGTCTTGGGAGCTCAGAAGGCGGATCCGTGGTTTGGGAGGGATGGTTCAGGCGACGGTCACAGGTGGACAGGAAGATGCTTTCAATCTCGTCGGACTCGAGGTTGCTCAAGAGACTGCTCCATGACTCCATCTGGTGTTGGGATGCGCAGTTGTTGTTGCTGCTGCAGTGCAGCAACCGATTGCTGTAAGAGACGTAAAGATTGTGGCTTCAGACTTCAACATTGATTGTGTGTAGTCTAGAAGAGAGAAGAGAGAAGAGAACAAGTCAAACCGGAAGGCTAGCACGTTCTTGGTCGCAACTTAGCTAGTCCCCCAACTTATCGATCCAGAGGCCTAGAGATTGGCGGTGCTGGAGATCGGGGGGCCAAGGGCTGTTTTGGGGATGTGAGGTGACGATGATCTTCACGCGAACCAATATATCTCCTGTAGTTTTCCCACGGTCGCTTTCGGACCCTTGGGACGCCTGGACACACTCCAAGGGCTTCTCTCTTCGTCATATCTCCTGGTTTGTCACCCTTGTGCCAGCCCTCCGGCATCAGGATTCCGCCTTGGGCACGTATATTATTCCCATAGCTTGGTAGGCATTTTTCTTGCTGCTGCTGTGTTTACGTAGATGCTCGGTTTGAACGACCGTCTATCATATCGTTTTGTTCTGCATGATCCCTCCTTCTCATCAAACTTTGTACAAGGTTTGCGAAGAGTTTCCACGCACATGGGTTTCGCGTGTCAGGCGGGAAGAAAGCTTCCAAACTGCCAAGGGGTCCAGCGGATCTGTCTCCGAAGCCGTCCGGCGCGCCGAAAGAGTGCAACTTTGCCGAGCAAAAATGATTGCATGTTTTTGCTTGCCTGTGGGAAAACCAACTCAAAGACATTACGCGGCGACATTAAAAGCTCAAAGGTGCTTGGAAGACACCGCGGATATTCAACTCCAATCGACGATACGGAATTTCAAAGCATCTGTCAGCAACTGGGATGCCTGAAGTTCCCGCAAATCCCAAGTTCAAAAAAACGAGAGTGGCCCATGACTCTTGGTTATGAATCGGAACACGTGTGTGTGGTAGGCATATTCGGAAAGCAGAAGGAGTAAACCCGGGTCTCTTTTGATTATATGGATCCCAAGACGCGGCCTTGTAAGGAAGGCTCCAACTGCATTGCCTGTTTTCGTAAAAAAAACATCGTCTCTTACCAAACGACGAAGCGACGAACGAAGCAGCATCTTTGAATCACTTTATGCGCGCTTGATCTCCCACTTTTGACCTTGAATGCTGACTTCTTCGCTGGCCTTTTCGTCGTAGTCGTACCAATCGCCTTCTGTCAGATCGATGGCGTCGAACTTTGTGTTTGAGTCGATGCCGGTGGCTTTCCACTCTCCNCTGTCTTTACATTAGTACTGCGTTCTTGGGAGCATGTCGGTGGAGGATTCAGATACATCTGGCTTGAACTCGACAAATTCGAGACCTCTGCAGTCGAACTCGATGATCTTTTGGGCCTTGGGGGTGTCGCCGTGGATGTAGGGCTTGGGTGCTTCTTTGATGGTTGCAGAGTGTTCTCTCNNTATTTGCAGCAAATAGTCAACATATTAGGTACCAGAAGAGAGGATCAAGAAGAATGGACAAACCTTGCAGTTCTTGCACTTCCAGACAAAGTTGGCTTCACCCCTGCTGCCGGACACCTCGTTTTGTTCNCTAGTTTGAGAATGTTGGTGAACGAAACATGATGGTAAACTACAAGCACTTACAAATCTGCTCACGCTGACCCAGTTTGGGTGAACTTCACGACATGAAGTACATTGCACTTTGAATGTGTAGTAGAAAGGGCTGTCCTCGGTGTCGATGGGGGCCAGATCGGTTACGCTGTTTGGAAGATGTTGGTATTTTGAAGTCGTGTTTATACACCCACAGACACATGACCTACCCGTTGAGCTCGGCGGTCAAAAAGAGCGCCAACATGATCTGATGTGAATGTTTCGAAAAGAGTCGAATAGTCGTCTAGGAATACTCACAGCAGCGAGCACACAAGCAAGAGAGCAACGGAAGAGAGTGCCAAGGCCGAGCGGGACAGTCGACTCGCGGGACCCAAAAATTACCGGTGATCAGATCATCAGAGACGGCACGCGCAAGAACGTCGACAACACGCCCTCCTCTTGAGTTACCAAGGACCTGGTGGAAGGGGAGCGCGATGCAGCAACGATAACAATGCAAGCACTTTGGTCTCGAATAGCACAGACCGGACTCAGCTGCCATTGCCCGTCATGTGTGTCGGCCGGTGCCAGCGGACTTGCTAGGCAGTCCACCAATGCCGCCGGCAGGAGGCCGGTGAGATGGGCATTGTCGTCGACTTTCGTATACTCGGGCATCTTTGCCGCCGCCGCTACTACCGATGCTGGATTCAAACAAAAGAGACGCGAACAATGGGATCGTGCTATCGCAGACATCAAACACGATCTGGACGATTCTCAATTGGACAAGAGAACCCAAGCCAGGCAACAGACGGAAGAACATCCCCAGGCCGGGAAAGAGCAGGAAGAGTTATACAGGTGGAAACCGCTCTTTGACGACCCGCAGGACGCCGTTCTCGAAGATCAACACCAAGAAACACATCTTGATGGCCCAGTATGGCCAGAGAATACAGGAGCCGGCCTACATCGACCCTTTGTCGCTCCCACGTCTATCTATGCAAGGCCTTCCGCCCGAGAAAGGGCACTCGCCGCCCGCTGGACGACAAAGAAGATACGCACAACCGAGTTGGCTGTCGACAAGCTTATTCTTCGCATGCTTTTACATCTGGATGAACTCAATGCTCGTAAAGATATAGCTGCTGCTGTACCCGAACAATGTCACGATCTCTTCGGCGCCCCTGCTTCTCGCCTCAAGGCTCTTCTGCTATACACCAATGACCGACACATGGAGGCCACCACCTCCCCAGATCCGCATGCGCACTTCAACGATCTCCCACAACAACACAAACATGGTGTCACCTATCGACAGGATGGGTTTGGTGAATACCACCAGACTGCACAAGATCTGAACTCTGCTCTGGGCCTGCTGTTTAAGAAGAAAGAATCAGGCCAACTAGCCTATGAGCAACTTGTTGCAAGGATAGCCTACAATCTCTACATCTCTTCAGCAGCTCCCAACTTGGATTGCTGGAATACCTTACTTCGCGGCTTCATGGAATGCGAAAACATCGGCCTGGTGAACCCAACACTATATGCTATCCAGAATGCCAATGTCCGTCGCAACGAGACCACAATAAAGGCTACGCTCAAGTATTATATCATGATCAACCGGTCCAGCGAGTTCACCGCCTTCGTTGATAAAGTTCGTGGCTCGGGAAAAGGTCTGATGCTCGCAAAGCCCACCATCACTGTCAACGACTCAGGTCGTTCTCGTCTGGTGGTGAAAGAGAATGGCAAGATTGTTCAAAAGCCATATCACACGCCAGCAGTCACGGAAATCATTGTTTATGGCGTCTTGCACTTTATCGGCTTCGACGCAGCCGTCCGCATTGCAACAGACATGGGTCAAGAAGGATGGGGTCTATCTATCCGTGGTTTGACTCCACTACTTGATGATCGAGCGCGAAAAGCAGACTACAAAGTCGGATGCCAGATATGGGATCTGATCAAAAGGCTTCAAGAGGAGAGCAGAGCCAAAGGCAAGCCAGAAAGATTGTTCGCCCGCACGTACTCGGCGATGATGCGTTTGTGTAGTGCTTGCAACGAAATGGTCCGCTTCGACGAGATATTGCGCGAAGCACGGGCTGCCAAATACGAGCATCGAGAGTTGCTGAATATGTTCAGGCAAGAAATGCTCAAAGGATCGTCTCCAGTGCGTCAATTGGAAGACCCCAATTCGAACCTGCAGCGATATACGCGAGGGGTCACGCAAGCGGACATTGAGAACATTGAAGAGAAGGAGCCTGAAAAAGTGGATGAAGAGGTCTGGACGGCGTCGGAAACTCGTTCTGTAATGCCAGCACTCAGTGCTGACCCTACCTCTGGTTCAGATCTGGACTTGGACGATAAAGTTGGTTGGCTACCAGAATCTCCTACCATCACAACATCCCCCAGTGTTGACTCTAGCTCTGGTCTGGATTACCAGGATGAGGATGCTTGGCTGGACAGACCAATGAAACTAAGCCAATAAGGAACGAGCATACGAAATGTGTACATATGGCAAAGAATATTGCATTGGTCGCGGCGTTTACAGGTTACTGGAAATAGGGAATGCACAAAGTCAGGCATATATGGTCATGGGGAGATCATGTACAAGACCATTGGGAACACGATAGAAGTTGTGAATATATATTTCATCAAGTTGTCCATGAGTAAGTACCTTTCAAGAAGTTTAGGCAAGAGCGACAGCAGCCTTGTAGATCTGGTAGAAACACAAGGCCAGACCTGCCGTCCATGTCAGCGAACGAGCGTGACTGGCTTGCTCGGACGATGTGTTGATNCTAACCATCAAAAGTCAGCACAAAAACATCCCAGGGTTGATGCCTAGAGCACATACGTAGAGAAGAGTGTAGAGCACTCTGATGCCCAAGAAGATGGCAGAGAATTGGGCATTGCCAACATCGGTTCTCGTAAGCTTCTCAGCAAACACACCAGACAGAGTTGCAGCAATGAACAGAGGCAAGCTCTCCATGCTGTTCTTGTGTGCAGCTTCGGCGCGTTCAAAGGTTGCAAAGACGGCAGGAGGGAGGGTCTTCTTCATGTGCTGAACGTTGCCCTCGCCTCTGCTGTTTGCATTTGACCATTGGGTATGCTTCTTGACGGTGGAAAGTGCATANGCTACGCGTGGAATGTTTAGAACTCGGGAATTGAGTTGTGTCAGAGCTGCTTACGCGTGAGGGACCACGGCCAGGATGGTAAAGGCCGGGATGGCGAGGAGAGAGTAGTCTGGCATCCTGTTGGTTGCGATATTGGAGTAGATTGGGTGAAAAGCGTAAAGATGACAGGTGAGGGGGAGGGACACTTGACTGTAAGCACCAGCTATCCCTTCGCTCGTCGGGCTCGGATCTCCTCTTTATTCGCGAGGGTACTAAATTAAATGATGACGCCGCTACATGTGAATATGAATACGGAAGGGACTCTTATCTTATCGCTTGGCGGCGTCAGAGCGGGGTGTCCCTCTGATTTTCTCCGAAGTCCTTGTGGCGGCGTCGCTGACTGAAAGAGAAGTTCCTTCGAGAACAATTTTGGTGACAAGAATCAAGTCCTCTTGTTTCCTGCATCCGCCCTTTGGCCTTTCGTCGCTCAATAACACTCTTCAGGCACTCAAACAAAGTGCTCATTTGCGCCCCTCGTCAACTCAGCGGCGTAGTTTCTCGACCTTGATCCAGTTTTTTACTTTTATCAGCAATTCACCATGTCGATGGATCTCGACTCGGTGTCGATGGCACCCTCTGCCCAGCGTGAGGTGACCAACGCTACGTGAGTTTGCCTCCCACTCTCCTACTGAGTATCCAAGCTGACAAGAAACAGCATTCTCTGTTGCAACTGCGGTGCTCCCATCGACGGCACTGTCGCAGCCGGCGCTCTCTGTTACGACTGTATCAAGCTCACCATCGACGTATCGCAAGGCATTCAAAGAGAAGGAACCCTCCACCAGTGCAGAGATTGCGATCGCTGGTTGTCGCCGCCCAACCAGTGGCTCGTCGCCCAGCCCGAATCGCGTGAACTCCTCGCCCTCTGTCTTCGCAAGCTTCGTGGTCTGAACAAAGTCCGCATCATCGACGCCTCCTTCATCTGGACCGAACCTCACTCTCGCCGTATCAAGCTGAAGATCACCATCCAACAAGAAGCTTTCCAGGGAACCATTCTGCAGCAAACCTTCGAGGTCGAGTTCGTACAGGCCAACCAGCAATGCCCCGATTGTCAAAAGAGTTTCACACACAACACATGGCGTGCCGTCGTCCAGGTCCGCCAGAAGGTCACCCACAAGCGTACTTTCCTCTACCTCGAGCAACTTATCCTCAAGCACGGCGCTCACCGCGATGCAATCAACATCAAGGAAATTCACGACGGTATTGATTTCTTCTTTTCTGCAAGAAACCATGCCGAGAAGTTTGTCGATTTCCTGAGCAGTGTCGTACCCATGAAGAGCAAGAAGTCGCAAGAGCTGATTTCGATGAACGTCCACACTTCCGAGAAGACCTACAAGTTTGCTTTCTCTTGCGAGATTGTGCCCATTTGCAAGGACGACCTGGTCGCACTTCCCATCAAGCTCGCCAAGCAGATTGGAAACATGTTCNCCCTAGCTCTTTGCTACCGTGTCGGTACTGCTGTCAACTTGCTTGACCCCAACACTCTCCAAACCGCCGAAGTCGCTACTCCCATATACTGGCGCGCTCCTTTCACCCCTATCGCAGATATCCCTCAGCTTGTCGAATTCATTGTCATGGATATTGAGATTACTGGACCCACAAAAGGACGTTTCGTTCTCGCCGACTGCACTGTTGCCCGTGCCGCAGATCTCGGCGTGAATGACACAACATACTTCTGCCGTACTCATCTTGGTGCCCTCCTGAACCCAGGTGACAGCGTTATGGGCTACCTCCTTGCAGGCACCCAATTCAACAACAACGAGTTCGAGGAGATTGAGCAGAGCAAGACATACAAATCTGCAATTCCCGACGTAATTCTGGTCAAGAAGCACTACCCTCGTCGCAAGAAGGCTGCTGGTCAGAAGAGAAACTGGAAGCTCAAGCGTATGGCCAAGGAAGAGAGCGATATGCTTCCCCGCAAGCAGGACCAGGAACGCCTCGAGCGCGACTTTGAGCTCTTCTTGCGTGATGTCGAGGAAGACGAGGAGCTCCGTCACACCATGCAAGTCTACAAGGCCCAACAAGAAGCCGCCAACGAGATGGAGATGGAGACAGATGACGAGGATGATGATGAAGGCCCTCAAATCCCTATGGAACAACTGCTCGACGAGTTCGAGGAGATGAATATGCAGGATGCCGAATAAGCTCTCACATATCCTTGACTACGTGTTTTTGGCATGGTCAACTCTGGGCAGTCGACCACAAAAAGGGGTATGGGATGTTTCCATGGCGTTCATAGCATGTAAGGCGTTTTATGTTCGTTGTTCTTCTTATGGTTCTTATCTTTCTGGACGTTTAGAGATATCCATCAATGTCAGTCGCAATAAAGCGGCACACTTTTGTCACATCACGCGTGCCTTCCTCATTTGTGCAACTTCGTCGCGACTTTCGATTGCTGCCTGAGGCTTCCACCTCGCACTTTCCCAACCTCAATCTCGAGAATTCGCATGCTTCAGCCGTTTGACATGAATTCTGCTTGTCCTGCTGTCTGCTTTCTGGGTTCTCTTTGAGACCTTCTCGTCTTTCTCCATTGCCTTCGCGGCCTTTTCTCTTCGCCTGAGCTTCAACACCACCTTTCTAACGTGCTTTGCGCACCCTTCTTCCTGCCCACGTTGGCTCTTTGAATCGCAGTCTCTTGTATGCCCACCAGCCGACTGTGCTCTGAGAAGTGCAGCCACCTTTCCATCCACGCTCATCAATCCAGCGAAGCATCCTCACGAGCGTTGTTCTTGTCTGCCAGCTACTCACAAACCGACATACTCTCCAATAACCCCCTTCAACAATATCTCCAATCCGAACGATTCGATACTTCCATCATCGGTCCAAAGAACACCATGAAGCGCACTCCAGACTCCCCACCCACTCCATTTCAGGAAAGCACTATGCGCGGATCCACCGAACTCGGCTCGCTTTCGCTCGCTTTCAATATCGAGGTCCCACGCAGCGATTGCCTCCNNCCTGACAGCGGTACTCCACTCTGGGATTCGTTGTCGTTGCCCAGCAGTCCTTCGCTCAGAGCTCGTGTGCCTGACTCTACCATGGATCTCAATCGTTGGTCCAAACGTGGCTTCTCTGAGGATCTTGCCCTGCCGCCTCGCCAGATCGAGAAGCCTTTCCGCTTCCTGGATCTACCTGCTGAGATCAGAAACATGATCTACGAACTCACCTTCTTGAAGTCCTGTCTAAATACTTACTGTGATGCCTGGGGATGTTGGTGCGCCTGTGGCTGTCCTAGTTGCTGGGACGATAGAAAACATGCATGCTCGCGCATAATGAAGCGCCAGTGTCGACTTCCTACACTCGCTTCGGCGAACAAGTGTATTCGAGTCGAAATCGTGTCTCTATACTACGCAACGACCGATTTCAGATGGTTCTGGGACCCACTGAATGTCTATTGTAACCCCAGAGACTTTCCTCTTACACAATCTATCCAGCAGCTCGCACACACCTTGAACCTCGCTGCAACAAATAGCGTCCAGATCAAACGCATCACTTTGTGCAAGTCTCAACGGAATCACAGCCCTACCTGGATCTTGGAGGAGATCCTTGGTTCGGTGAGCTACCTCGCACCACTTCGAAAGGCTCTCGAACAGACCGGCAGAGTGCATCCCACGGTGCGTGAGTTCAAATTCGAAGACGAGTCTTCGCTGGCTCGTCGCCTCTTTGACTTTGCTGGCTCCCTTGGATCGTTCGAGCTCAACAACAAGAAAGTGATGGACCGGGAGCTCCGAAAGTTCTTGTACGGTGATCCACAAGGACAGGATCTGATCGAGATGATTGAGTATACAGAGGAAGAAGACAGATTCCGCGCACAGCAACGTCGAAGCAGGAAGCGAAGAGCAGATCGAGCTGTCAACAGGACCATGGGCGTGGTGAGATGGACTGGCGTTCTTCGCAGCCGCCCAGCCGCAGACTAAAGCTGACGTACGACTCGAGTGTATGCACGAAGACTCGAAAATGAAGCTTGCAGAGGAGAGTTTGCACATCGAGGCGAAACCGCGGTCAGCCCGCTTGCTCAGACGAAAGTTTAGCTCTACGACGTTTCTTGATCGTTGCTTACACAACATGGAGACCTTTTGCTGGTGGAGACCTGACGAGCATCTTCATCAGCTAGCGTGTGCTTTTGCTGGACACTAGAAACTATGATTTTCTCATGTAGCTTATGGCATAGCCAAATATGATAAGATATGGCTTCTTCTCTGATCACTTGCCCCACGATCTCCAATCACTCTGGTCGAAACAAGCTGACAGTCAATCGGTCCATCATAGTTGGACAGGAAGGTATAGAGGAATCATGTCATACCTACGCAAACACCCCCATGATAGAATGGTCGATTTTCAAGGTTGAAAAGAAGATCTTGAAGTAAGGGGAACCGAGGTCATGAAGATAGTCATCATGTAAATTTCAGGCACAGTCCATCAATTCGGATCAAATGCCAAGAACATGCAAAGGGACTTCACAGGCTTCCAAGTCGGGTCAGAATATTACAGATGTAGCGAACCGAGGAGAGAGAAGCGACATCTTCTGGAGCGAGACATGAAACGACTGTTTCAACACGCGAATCTTTTCTGTATCAAGTTCCAGGGATATGATTTTATCTCTTTTTTTTTTCTCTTTTTTGATGTATCAATCATCATCTCAAAAGAGCCATGTCGATTCTTGGTGCCTTCACTCCTTGGTTAGTTATCGTGATCATTTATACTCTCTTTATTGTTTTGGGAAGTCCAGGGAGATGGAGCGGTAGAGGAGGTCCATGAGTCCTTTTCTCCTGTTGCCGTGTCTCAGTTTCTTGCTTTTGTATCGTCTTGCGTTGTTGCATCAAGGGTAGGTACCATGGACAGGAGATGAAGACACATGGATTGGGACCAATGACCTGAATGTTTCTTCTTCACTACTGTTGATGGATTGTCCAGGCAATGTGTCCAGTAGTTGCTCCAGATTCTCGTTGCATCTGGTCCATGCTTCTTGTCCGAACTGCTCAAGGTATGCCTGTCGCCACAGTTCGTCCCTGTGGGGGCGATGTGTGTCTTTAGCGGTGTAGACGGACAAGATTATGTATGCACATGTTGTTAAGGTTCCCTATCGATGAGGTGTTGTGATGGCGTTTGTAAGATTCCGAGTTGGTATAGTTATCGTTGCTGTGAGACGAGAACAAGGAAGAACCAACGCTGTTCTGCTTTTCCTTTGCATCTTTGTATGTTGTTGACCTATTACTTACTAGTCGTACATGTCTATACCAGCGACCAACGCCATTTATAGGCTCACCATCAGCAAGATGTCTTACTCGGCAATGTGACGGGTAGCAACCCGCAGTCATCTGCCATGACAAAGCCTTATTGGAGCTTACTTCCGAGAGCACCGAGTCGAGGACGGAGCGAATCAAGGCTATGACACTGTAGAGTGTCTCCGAGATCTCAGAGGCTCTCGTTTGAACGGAGTGAAACTCGCTGCCGGGAGAGCAACATCTTTAATCCAGATTCATTGACCAGATTCGGTTCGTTCTCGACGTTTGGGTCCATGATCAAAATGCTATGTATAGGGGAGCTGCAATGTCGCGCACAAGGTGCAGGCCCGAGGAAGACGGACTTCTGATATGAGAAGAGAAACGCCATCTCCGTGGTCTAAAAGAATGCTGTTGCTCTGGGATGATACCCCTATACAGGTGGCCGGGCTGGACATGAGCAGTATTTTCGAGCTTCCCCTAGACAATGTCGAGCTTTTGGATAGTATCTCACGTTTTGATAGGTGATTCATATTCTATTGCTAGAAACGGAGACCTGACCTGTCAAAATCTGTTCTCGTGTCAGAGTATGCGACTAGACATATCAGTCTCAACTGACTCTAGATGCCTGATCTTGTACGCCATCTTTTGGAGTTCGATAAAAGGTAAGAGTGATGAACGCAAGGAGCAAAGGAGCTAGAATAAGTCTTCGGGATTAAAAAACAATCCCCGAGGTCAACCCCTCATTGATCACGTCAAGCTCTCGACCCCGAAGCTTCCCAATTGCTTTCAAATCAACCTTGATGAGTCAACAACAAACATATACTCCTTGAACTTGACTGCAAACCATCAGCTTGAATCAAACTCTTCTGCTACCGTGAGCAAACCCCTTTGTCAATAAACCACTCAAGACACCACCACCATGTCGACAGCATACGCAATCATCGCAGGCGTGGGTCCAGGAACCGGCGCCTCTCTAGCCAGAAAGTTCGCCCTCACATATCCAGTCGCCCTCCTCGCCCGCAATCCCGACAACTACACCTCTCTCGTCGAAGAAATCAACAAGTCGGGCGGCAAAGCCATCGGTATCTCCACAGACGTATCCTCGTCCTCGTCCATCGATTCCGCAATCGCCGAGATCAAGTCTCAATACGGCGACAAGTGTGCCGCAGCAGTCTTCAATGCCAGTGGCCCTTTTGCCAGAAAAAGCATTCTGGAATTGACGGAAAAGGAGTTTACGGGTGGCTATGAGGTTTCCTGTAAAGGCGCTTNNTTCTTGTTTTCGCAACAGACGCTGCCGTTGCTACTTGAGCATACCAATGATGCAGGGGCAAAGTATCCGGGTACTCTGATTTTCACTGGCGCGACTGCAAGTGTCAAATCGAATGCGTTGATGAGTGCGTTTAGCACTGGCAAGTATGCGATGAGAGCGCTGTCTCAAAGCATTGCGAGGGAGTTTGCGCCTAAAGGTGTTCATGTCGCTCATGCTATCATCGATGGCGTGATTGATATCCCGAGGACAAAGGAGTGGTTGAAGGATATGCCGCCAGAGGCAAAGATTGAGGCCGATGCTATTGCAGAGGCGTATTGGAATCTGCATACGCAGAGCAAGAGGGCTTTCACCAATGAGATTGACATCAGACCTATGCTGGAGAAGTGGTAGAGTCATGTATTCGTTGCTATGAGATGCTTTGCGGAAAAGAAACTGGGGTATCATCCATGAATTCAGAAAAACGCCGTGTCCAAAACCAAAGAAAGTGCTCGTTCAAGAGATGTGTTTCTCAGAACAGAAAGGTGGGCAGTTCATGCTCCTCTTGGACTTCAGTCATGATCTTCTTTTCTTCTCTTTCACGCTTCAATCGTGCTTCTCTGCGTCGAGCGATTGCCGACGTTGCAGACTGACAAGGTTGTGGGATAGAAGGGAAGCCAAAGTCTGGCTCCGTCTTGATTGTTGCAGGGCGAGAAAGCTCTGCTTTGACTGCGGTTGGCGGAGCAGGCTCGCGTACCGCGCGTTTTGGTGGACGGGAGATTTCACGGTCGACGCTTTTGCGCTTCGTGTGTGGGGATCTGTCCGAGAGGTCTGAGGAATAGGTTGTTGAGGACGAAGGGTGATGCGATGATCGTCGAGCAGTACTTGTGTTTGCGGAGCGCGGATTCGCAACCTGTTTGGAGACGTTGTTCGGACGAGAGGGTGTAGGTGTAGTTGGCTGAGTGTGTGATGGGCGAGACAGGGCTCTGGTAGGCTTTGGAGCGTCGAGGTCGTCGTCGGTCGTGTCTTCTTCAGCCTTGACCTCCTTCTTGACATCCGGACTCTTCTGCCCTTCTAGTGGTCTCCCTCGTAGATCCAGTGGTTGTGCTCTGTCAAAGCCTGCAGCAGCTCTGGTACTGCTGCGTCCAACGACCTTGACCGGCTGCAACCTCTCTCTTTTNCTGGGGCTCGTCATCAAGCCTGCCAGTTGTGTGCCCATCCACGGGTCATCATCATCCTCTTCCTCCTCCTTCATGACGGCTTTGATGGCCGCCCTCTGCAGTTTCCCCATCTTCTTTCTTTGCCCGTCTTTACTCAGCTGCCCAACCACGGGTCTGGCGATCGCATCTGCACCTCCTAGAGCCCTTTCTCTTTTCTTGGCCAGCTCTTTCTGGCGTCGGTACTCTGCATGCGCGAGGTGTGTGGTGAAGAGTTGAGCGGTGGCCATGAATTCGTCCGTCACCATCCTCCAGCCGTCATCGGCGTCCCATCCGGGCCGCATAAACTCCTGCTTAGGGGGTGCGGGCGGTGGGGATGTCGAGGGCGAACGTAGTGATGCCGCCGTCCGAGAGACGTCCTTGGGTGTGCGAATGAACTCATCGAGTCCATCCGGCGGAGAAGATGGCGGTGATGAATCGACCTTGCGGCGTTTGACCGACGCTGTAGTGGTCGTCCGTTGCTTGCGATCGGGTGGAGCTGGATTCGCGAGCCATGGTAATGTTCGCGGCATTGGAGGTTTCGGTTGGGACAAGATTGGAGTGAGGGAAGACGCGTTGAGTGGGGAATGTTTCGCGCGTGGAGGCGTCAAGAAATGACATGCGCCAAGTGGGAGTCAAAGAGTTGGACTCTTTGTTGCAACACTCCCATCACTTGATTGTCTACCAACACATTGCATACATGTCAACAAAGAGAGATTTACTTCTAGAATGCTTTGGCACATTTTGGCTATTCAAGAATCTTCTATTCCATGTATATTCATCAAACTCAACCAAGCTTCGGGCCCGGCACATCGGACACGAAATGTTTCATCAAGGTCTGATTGTTCTTCCTTTGGAGTCTTGCTTCAAAAGCTCTTTCCTGTCGTCTGGCCGATTGTAATTGCTTGTGTTGGGCGAGCAGTACTGCACGTTGTTGGGGAGCCGGAAGATGTGCGAGGGCAAGACGGTCACTGGAGCTGAGCGTGCTGAGCTGTTTATCGACTCTTAGAGCGCGCACGTCTTGTCTTGTGAGTGCTTGCTCATGATTAGATTGGCCGGACGCCGAAGGAGTGTCGAGACCCGAAGCTTCGGTGGGTGATGAATTTAAGAGAGACAGCGGCGTTGCACTCGATCCTGACGATCTGTGATGATGCTGCGTGGTCCGCACAGAACGAGACGTGACCACTCTTCCCGAAGGCAGAGTAATGTTGTCGCCGTCGATTTCGAGTCCTGAACCTTCTCCCTCCAGATCCCAAAACTCCCGATACTCGGACTCTACATCAGAGATGTCGAAAGCACAATGCTTTTTTCCAAGCATGTGCTGCTTGATCGCTTGGGCATTGCGTCTTTGTGTGCCGCAGGTCAGACATTCGTGGTAGACTGAGATGACGAGGTTCAAGTATGTGAGCAGAGTTGTTGGATCAACAGTCAATTGATGCGGTGATGGGATCATCATGCCATGGGATATGGCCATGTGTTCGAGATTTGAGGCGATGCTTTCACAGGTCTTGATACAAAAGAGACAATGTGTTGGGTCGAATTCTATGTCGTGTGAAGCTTCTGAAGCATCCTCGCCATCACCATCGACATCGCTTGACGATTGGTGGCCGAATTCGCTGGTTGGTGCGCCTTGAAAGGCTTCGGGTTGGGCCAATGGCTCGTGGGTCGAAGCCTCAGTGGTGACACCAGGAGAACCAGACGTGTTGCTGACTGCGAGCATTTTTGCAGAAACCAGATTGACACTGCGAGGAAGAGAAAAGAGAAAGTGGGATAGAATACACCTATCTTTGGGAAACAAGATGCCATGTTATATATACAGCATGTGTGGCTTGTCTTCCACAGTCATAGAGCCATGATTGGACAGAATGAATGGCGAAGGATGATTCGTCGTATGGATTCTGGTTGACTCATGCCTCGAGGTATTCAGACAGATCAATATTCATCAAGCCAATACCTGAGCGCCTTGCAAGCCTCAGTCGACTCTCATCTCATATCCTTATGATGCTCGTCACATTGGATTGTTGTGATAGGTTGTTGTTGTTGTTGTTGTATGGAATGAGTCAGAAAGTCGAGCAGCCAATAGACCATTGCGGGGCCGAGGCTGACCGGGCTTGGACTTTACATAACCCTTGCATAAACTCGGATGTCAGCCGTTACAACGCTCGACTCGAACACAACTTGGCAGTCGCATCTCGAAGCCTTGAGATCTTAGTGGCAGCCACTAATCGTCGATGTCTTCGGATATGGTTCGCGTGATCGCGATGAAGTGAAAAACAATAATCCACGAAAGCCCCTTGGGACGCGTGAAGTGCATCCAGACTCTCACTTCCTCCAACGATGACATGGATAGAAACGACAATCCGCTAGGGCCTGCATCGCCCGACGGCATAGACTGGACGCTGGATATTCCTGATACCGATCACGTTCGCTTCTTCCGATCTATACAATGGCATGAGACGCTCTTAGGCCCGGTACAATCTTGGGGCACTGCTCTTCGCCTCTATGTATATCAGGTTTTTGCTGACAAGCGTCCGAGTTGCGTTTACTGGTATGTACAGGCTCCATTCGACATCCATCACAACTTGGTCTAATGTGATAACAAGGNNGGACCGGAGAAGGTCGCCGTCTACAATGAGGGCTTTGCAGAAGCTGCTGGAAGGGCACATCCTTTCTTGATGGGCCACACCTTTGCAGAGGCGTTTCCTGAAATTTGTGAAGACATCATGCCTGTATTTGAAATGGCCAAGAAGACGAAGAAAGACGTTCCAGTCATAGAGATGCCCCTCATGGTCAGGAGAAACAATTTCCTCGAGGAGACACATTTTACTGGAGACTTCATTCCACTAAGAGGAGACGACGGCAAGGTTCAGGGCTGGTACAATTCGTTGGCCGAAGTGACGAGACAGAAGATCGCTGACCGCAGGCGAAGAATGCTAAACATGATTCCGGTTTTGCCCAAAGGTTGCACTTCCACGACTATTGGCTCTCACTTCATCGACTGTTGTCGGACGAATCTGTTGGACATACCACTCGCTCTTATGTGGGAGATAGACAACGCCTCGAACTCGACACAGCCGTCCCGCAAACTGAAGCTCAAAGGAAGGATTGGTGTGCCGGAGAGCCACTTACTGGCCGAACAAGAGGGCAGTCTCGACAGCGACGAGAGCATCTATTCTCTATTAAGGGAGGCAGGAACCGATCCCATCACTTCACCTTGTGGACCAGAGTTTGATGGTGTTGAGTGGGAAGGCTTCAAGGAGCCATCGGAGCATATCTGTGTCATACCACTCTCGAACGCTGGACGCCTATATGGATATCTGCTAATCGGGGCGAATCCAAGAAGACCAATCGACGACGATCATGAACAGTTCATGCGCGATCTCGGATCGCAAATGTCTTCGTCTATGGCATTCTTAGTTTCGATGGAAGAATCGAATGCGCGACAGTCTCGCTTAGAAAATCAATTGGCCGCGAGTGAACACCATATCAGATACATGGCTGACCATCTTGACATCGGTTTGGAACATCTGTCTCTCTCAGGGAAGGTGCTTTGGGCCAACGAGCATTATTTCAACCTCATCGGTCAGGAACCCATTTCCGATTTCGCCGAGCTGCGACTTCCGTTCAAACACCACGTTCTTGAGGAGGACCAACCAAAGATGCAGGCAGCCTGGGAAGCGGTGTTGAAGGGTGTGATAACGACCACGACTGAGTTCCGAATGAAAAGGCTGTGGAACCCTCCGTCCGGACCACCTGTGCCCGCTACTGTGCTCATATCAGCTGTGCCATACATCGAAGATGGCGAAATCAAGTCCATCATGGCTTGTATGACAGAAGTCAGTCGTCTCAAGTGGGCTGAAGGGTGGCAGGCCCGAGCAGCACAAGAAGCACAAGAGGCAAAACGACAACAAAGCGAGTTCACTGATGCTATCTCACACGAAGTCCGGAATCCCTTGTCTGCCATGCTGCAACTTGCGAACAGCATTTCTGGATCTCTGGAAGACTACAAAGAGAAAGAGACTAGCGCTGAGGAATACCTTCACGTAGTCCAAGAGAATATCGAGGCAGCCAAGACGATCATCTTCTGCGCTTCTCACATGCGCAAAATATTGGACGACGTGTTGGTTCTTTCCAAGATGGACTTTATGCTTTTGTCTCTATCACCAAGCCCGGTTCAGCCACTCGATCTTGTCGAAAATGCTGTGAAGATGCTACAAGCAAACATCTCAGCGGCAGAGATAGAGATGAAGATTGAGGCGCATGAATCAGTCAGCGAACTTGGAGTTGATTGGGTGATGTGCGACCCTTTGAGAGTCACACAGATCCTGATAAATCTGTTGTCTAACGCGATCAAGTTTACACGACTAGAGCGTCATCGCTGTGTGACTCTGCGATATGGCGCTTCCATTGAGGAGCCANAAAACTCATTCCAAGAAGGTCTATGCTGGGCTCCAACAAAAGAAGAACATGAAGACGTCACCCTCGAGAAAGAATGGGGCAATGGCAAGCAGATTTACCTCAGCTTCTGCGTTACTGATACAGGACCAGGAATGACCGAGGAAGAACGTGCCCGCCTGTTCAACAGGTTCCAACAAGCCAGTCCCAGAACTTCAATAAAATACGGCGGTACTGGTCTTGGGCTCTTCATATCTCACTCGCTCACCGAAAAGCAAAGTGGAAGCATGGGTGTTGTATCACAGCCAAACAAAGGTTCTACCTTTGCATTCTACGTGAAAGTTCGCCAATCAGCCAATCCTCCTGGAAAGTCTTCGAAACATAGTCTTCAATCAACTCAGGAATTGGTGCTTCGACAACTAGAGAATACACAGGCGTTGAAAGTTATTCAAGATACAGCGGTCATGAAAGAATCTGAAGCAAAGCAGCGCCGAGCAACTCTGTCGAGCCTAGAGGATTCTCGAGAACACAAACCTTTGCCTCAGGTAGCGTACCATGTTCTTCTGGTGGAAGTAAGTTCATCCCATACTGCCGGCTCGTAAACTCTCATGCTAACCTTCCTAGNNGACAATTTAATCAATCAAGCAATTCTCCAGAAGCAGCTTACGAGAGCTGGCTGCATTGTCTACGTTGCCAACCATGGATTAGAGGCGCTGGAAACTCTACGCCGCGCCGATATCTGGGAAGCAGCCGCTGGTTCTGGCCACAAGTTGGACGTCGTACTAATGGATCTCGAAATGCCAGTCATGGATGGACTTTCCGCAAGCAGGGAGATTAGATATCTCGAAGAAGCTGGAAAACTGACCAGACATGTTGAAATTATTGCTATCACTGCCAATGTCCGAAAAGGCCAGGTCGATCGCGCGTTGGCTGCGGGTATTGATGCAATCATGGCAAAGCCGTTCTTGGTATCTGATCTGCTAGAGACGATCAAGGCGCGACTGGGAAGATAAGCGCGCGTTTCAAGATGCATCGACTGACTTGCAGCACTACGCCGCTGGAAGCGACGTACGATGTTCCTGGCAAGCATCTCTGTCCCATTAGAACAATGGAGCACGAGCATCAGCAAAACACCTTCCAACTCCGTCCAGATTCTTCGGCCTTATTCCTAGCGAGCCAGCACGATATGGACGTACCAACACGTATAACCAGGCCGCTGTACGCAGACGGACAGCCCGTCAGGACAGGAGTGATCGAATTTGGTATGGACGGATGTATCACCCCCATGAGCCCCACTAGCGTCATGAAGATACCAAGACTAGACGCGACACTTCTTCCCGACGGATCTCTCGAGCCAGACGGGGACAACATCTGGCGTCGCGATAGTCTAGAAGTCGAAAAGCAAGTCTATCGCCGCCTGCATGGCATACCAGGCCTTGCAAACTGGGATATCTCGATCAATGGATAGGAGCTCGAGTACTATCGGAATGGAGACTTGGAAGACTACATCAAAGACAACTCCGCACCCCCATGGACCCAGAGACTGGATTGAATTTTGCAAATTGTCGACTTTGTGGCTGCGTGTCATGAGAGGAAGGTGCTATGGTTCGATATCGCACTACGCAATGCATTACTTGCAGATGACTGGGCCATCAGAGCCATCGACTTTATCAACAGTACAGCACTGCCGATGGATACGAATCTCGATATCACGGAGTGGGATAGCTACACGGCAAAGCTGGAGGTGACACATGTCACTAATGTTTGATACTCAATTTCTCGCTGAGAGAAGTTTCAAACAGATTGTGTGTATGAGGAGGAATGGCCGGCGATAGACTCTTTGCCAGGTACAGAGGGTCTTGTGCTTAGTTCCATCATTCGCAAGGCATGGCAACATGAGTTCAGCAATGTACTGGAACTGCGTCGTGCGCTGCGAAGTCTGCAAGTCGGAGGAGAATCATCGAAGGAAGGGTAGGGATGAGACCAATTTTGTTGCACATTTCTCTATACCAGGTTCTTAGAGACCCTCATGTATTCATATATACAGCACGTCTCAAGGATCGTTCGTTCCGTCATCGTCTAAAGGCTCCTTGGTTCGAGCCAACCGGACTGAAGCTGGTTCCAGCGCCAGCTCGACCTTCGATTTCCCAAACTTATACCGGCTAAGTTACACGAAAGTCGCGGCAAATTGACACATCGTGTAATCCCTCATTCTCGAATCCCAACCTCTTTCGGCCGCACTTCTTGGTTCCCTTCTGCTCAACTTTCCCTTGTCTCCCTTCTGATCAGCCTCCGTCTTGTCTACCTGGCCATCATCCTCATACTCCATGAGATAGTACGATATACCCACCTCGACGCCAAGCCATTTGTCTCTCAACCAGATCATGTGCTTAGTGATCCCGTCATGATGTTGCATGTCCCCAACACCCACATACATACACACGTTGCCGTTCTCAGAGTATTCCAGGCTCAACCATGCGTTATGGGTATGAAACTCTGCCCAAGGCTCTTCACGTCGCATCTCTTGGAAGCGGTTGTAGATGTGCATATGGTGAGGATGGAAGGGCGGTGTGTAGTAGTGTGTTTGTCCTTCGGTCTCTTTGGCTAATGTAGTGAGGTCTGGATAATGGATGGCATCTGGACTTTCATCATGCTCTGGTGAAGTGTCTGGAGCAGGCAGTTGATTTATAAAGTTTTTGATGCGATTGTGATTGTAAGCTGCGGTGTGCATCTTGTTCGTGGGCTCTAGCATGGCTAAGGCTTCTGCTGTCAGGGTTGTGGCTTTGGCTTGTTCCTTTTGCGATCGTGAGGCTTGTGACCTTAGTAGGCAAACGGGTTTGCTGAGGCGGACTGTGGAGTCGCTGATGAAGCTGTCCCGAGGCGATTGAGTGCTTGATGTGGTGCACTGGTTTGCCATCGTGTTGTAATCTGGTAGATGGGAATTTCTTTGATGGCGAAGATGGGTTTGAAAGTGCTGAATTATACTCTCAAGATCGAGTCATCGCGATGACTGGTGTGTTTGCTGCCTGAGCCTTGGAGAGCCAGTCTCGTGCACGAGAAGGAAGAAAAAAGGAGGTATTCAGAAGTTGTGGTAGTTTGAGGTCATTATAGGTAAATTGTGATTCATGCAGAAAAACGCGGCGACGGCGACGAGCACTATTCATCCATCGTCTCTTCACCACGAATAGTCCTGTACGCTTTTATGCCGTCAGGTTCCACAAACCAAGGATGCCTGTGCGCAGCAAAGCTTGCCATCTCTGGTTTGGGGATTACTGGCATGCAGCCCATTGAAATAGTGACCTCGCCAGGCATGAAATCGACTTTGGAGAATATAGGACTGGAAGCAGTCAGCAAGAAGCAAACAGTCTTTTGCTTTCTTGACGCGAGTCTCGGTATATCAATGACTCACTTTCCATCCACAGCGCAAAAATATCGATATATCGGGTTACCGCTTTTGGTAGCTTTATCTGCATAGAGCTTGAGCGTGCCATCTCTGTCCTTGATATCGACTTTTTCCTCTTCGATGTTGAGATTTGTGGCTACTACAGAGCCGGTCGCTTTTCGACAGTTTTCGCAATGGCAGAAGTGGCCGCGTGGTTCTGTGAAGAGGTTGTCGTTGATTGTTACTGTAATGCTTCCGCATAGGCAGCTGCCTGTTATAGAGTCCTTGAAGGAAGACAGATCATGTCGTTTCGGGTCGCCTGTAAGATGCGACATTTGATACAATATTTGCAAGCTGTAGACGATGAGGAATGAAGACGGGAGATGCTCCTGCCTATGTTGTCGCTTCAAGATCCCGCCTTGACTTCAACTGCATCGGGGATTAGTAAGCTTCACGATCTTAGAGGGAGCACTTGGATGGAAACTACTTGATACAACTCCATCGGTCATGCCTCGCATTGGGTTGCAAGTGTTTGTAGCGCCATCGCCCAATTTGAGCAAGAGCTACCTAATCCGAGTATGAGCTCCAGCAAAGGTAGGCGCCATTACAAGGCGGTGAGATTCTGCCACCTGTCTGCCAGTCTCGGCATCCTGCCGCGTCGACCTTCGTGAAGCGTCATTTCCTCCTTCGAGACATCTTGATGGTACAATCATCTGTGAACCCGAGCAGAAAGCGAAACTGGAGGCTATCAAAGCAGTGCCTGATGACAGAAGTTCGACACAAATCCATAACCAACCCACCAAAGCGCAAGATCTTTGGTCGGTCAAAATCCGAAGCTTCAGTACTAAAAGGAGGTGTAAGGATCCATCAGGGAATGGCGGCTGCAACCAAATCTCGGACATTGGAAGGTTCTTGACGTGTCGCCAAATGCATGAAGAGCCATCAGACGCACTCTGATCTACACACACAACGATAAGATCACACGATGATTCTGGTCTTTTACTTGGCGATGCCCTCCAATAGATATGTGTGGTTGATCTCTATTGAGCACGATCGCTCATGAACTTCCCATCCTCTTGCTACCATCAACGCATCATCATGTCTTGACCGATATTTGTTGCAAATATGCTCGTGGTGTTCCTTAGATCGCTATTGGCACGTCTTCCGTCTTCTGAATCTGCAGTCACAAAAGATACTAAGATATGCAATGGCCGCCCAGCTACTAGCATGGACTCGACCCTGGCTCAAGATATCAATGGTCTCCCTTAGACGACATACACGACCTCAAGAAAGATCAAAGAAAAACTGAATTGTCATCAAATCTACTTCCGCCGCCGATGTTCTTCGATCTCAAGCACAAGACCGACCAATAGCCTCTTTCCAAGGCATGAATTCACTGCTACTTCAATCCATCCTATCCACCCTCGTTGCTCTTCCTAGCTCCTCTCATCTCGATCGCGCTCCGAGTGTTGTTTAAGTCTGACTGCCAAACTTCTTATTTCTCGATCATCAAGTCCTTGTTCTGCCTCACGTACTCATCTTCTTCCTGGGTACCGCCCTCGTTCTCTCCACCATCCTGGTTGAAACGCCAGGCCAGTCTCAAAGCTCGTTCACTGCATCTGTAGACAATACCGATGTCGGTCTCTCGCTTCAGATAAGATTTCATGACCAATCCGACAGCACCTTGCTCATCCTGATTGGCCTGGAGTTCCTCCCATTCTCTGTCACCCTCAGCGTCTTCACGAAAGCAGACCATACCGAAGTCGATCATCATGACTTTGCGAGTCAGAGGATCCGCCATGAAGCTGCGGGTGTTGACGTCACGATTGAGTATGCCGCAGTCCTGGATGTTGCTGAGTGCTTTGATGGCCGAGTCGACGGTGGATTGCCAGTGTTCGGTGGGCAGGTGCTTGTGCAGATCTGTAAGGTGGAAGCCATCGACGTACTGCATGAGAATTCCAGGAATGGTAAAGATGCGGGCATCCTTGTCGTCAACATCTTCGTGCTCGTTGTCTTGTTTGGTGGTGGTTGGCTGGTCCAGCATCACTTCTCCGAAAACCTTGGGCACATCTTCTCCTTGGAGATGAGACATGCGTTCATAGGCTTTCTTCTCGGTCTCGTAGGTCATAGTCGAGTCCCACTGAAGATACGCCTCGCGTTTTGCAACACTCCATCGGTTGCGATTGTCAACGTAGGCCGCCGACCAATAGTCGTTTCGCTCCTTCTCCGCATCCCAGTAGCTGAAATACTCGTCGGCATCACCGCAGTCAACGAAGTCATGGTATGTCTTCTCGATCTCAAGAGTCCAGGGGGCAGCATCCCAGTCATCACGGTGCTGAGTTGAGAAGCGTCTGTCATAGAGTTTGAGCACGCATTGCGACGCGTTGTTGAAGCTGGCTGGATCGACAAAGCGGATGACCATGCAGCAGGAAAGAGTTGCTGGGAAGTATTTGGTGATCACGGCCTTGATTGGAGTGCTTTCTTCGGATGTTTTGAGGAGAATTTCATGGCCAGGGGTATAAGGGCAGNNCTGGATTACCGGTCAATCGGAGTTCAATTTCACAGTGGAGTGAAAGGCTTACAAAGGGGACACAGTGTCATTAGGGTTGTTGCAGTCAAATCCTTTGACTTCGGCATCTTCTGCAGCTTTGAGAACAACAGGGTTCATCAAGTCTGTGTTGGAAGCAAGACTCTCGCAGTCGTCTTGATCACGATCGCCACCATCGAGTACATCGACAGGCAAGGTACTGTATTGGTCGACTTTGATCTTATTGTTCCCGCTGATAGCTGCCCATGGCTGAGGCGCGTCAGAGTTCATCTCGATACTGAGACGCTTGTCGCTATCTTCATACCCCTCGGCCGGCAAGACAATCCTGATCGGACCGCTGAGGTGAACCATCTTGACGCGTGCGTCTTTGTGGAGAGGTGAGCGCACACCAGTGAGACTGGCCGTGTTGTTGTCCATGTTCGTGGCGTGAGATAAAGGCGAGTGAGGCAAATCAGCCATTATGTAAGTGGACGTGTTTGTCGCGCCGGTGTAGTGTTGTTTCTCCCGGATTAAGAGGAAGATGAAAGAGAGGCGATGGTGAGATTACGTGTCGTTGGTTGTTGTTGGTGTTGTTGTTGTTGTGCGGCAAACCAATTCTCCGTTTTGTATGGAACACGTTGGTAGGTGATGTGAAGCGATCGAGGAGCTGCCGCTACAACACTTTCACTTGTACAACGATACGTGAATATCTGTGATACGCCGGATGGGTAGGTGCATGAACCCATGTAAGGTTCACGAATAGTGTTTTTACCTGTTCTCTATCAAGTGTGTAATACTTTTCTGTCAAGTACTTGTGTAGAAGCTCAGGATTTCATCCTTATTTGCCTGGATATCTCTGGGGTGGCCTTTTTATAACCTCGAGTCGTTTTCTCCCGGCTCGCTTTCACTCCATGAAAGCGTTTGTAGCAATGCAGAGACTTGATAGCGTATACGTATGTCCTCGTTGCATCTCACCTCTTGATATCTGCTGACCATACAGGTTCACGACAAGTCAACGAACACGTCCCATAACGACATTCGCTCATCACCCAATCACGACGACGTTACTTCACATTCCTTACATCGATCAAGCTCTCACTTTCATTGCATCAGGAGGAGCTCTCACTTTCTTCACATCAGCGCGGCGTTCAGGGAAAACCAGTGATACCCAGGTCTGCTTTTCGGTCTTCTTCACTCAGGGGAAGGTTTGGTTGGGGTTTCTTGTACATTAGTCATTGCATTCACTCGTTCCGATCATTGCGTTCGCTACAATCGCTTCAATAATACTGTTCCAGTTCTCTTCATGTCAAGCCCTCTGTGAACATGCCTCGTTGGTGATACGTACTTTGCATCGGGATAGCTGCATATCAATCGCAAAGCTTTCCAGGAGACAGCAATCGTGTGATATCTTGGAGTGACCTTCCCATACTTCTCTAGACCACACTGCCTTGCTCAACTACCCTTCTGCATCGGCATAGCTGTATGCAGACCACTACTTCACAATCGAGATGGTGGTTACCAGATAATGCTTCTACACCCTGTGATTGAATGACGTAAAGCCAGGGACATGCTTTTCTGTATTGCACCTTCTTCACCTTGTCGGACTTTGGCACTGTAGTCTACTTGAAGGATATCACGATACGATAATCTCTGCTATCGGGTGGGGAGAACAAGTACAGGCGGCAAATCAAGCAACTACGTAGCTTATTGGTATGATACGACAAGTGGACATGAAGACAGGAACGTTCTTCAAGGCCGCCCGGATGGATTCAGGGGTAAGGTGCACACAAACGTCGACCTTCATATCTTCGAGGACTCGCGGAGCGATAACCCACGCAACGTCTTTTTCCTTTCATAGAACACAAAGCACATCCACAAAGAGTGGAAGAACAGATACAAGCGGCGGGATAGGATTTCCTATCCCGCGTATCCACGTTTTTTCTACCTTACACTCCTCTTCTCGCCTTCTTCAACCCCATCTTCCAGCCTCTCTCTCCCTCTCAACTCTTTCAGCTCTGGCTTCCTCGCCCTCTTCATCTTCATATCTATAACTAACCTTTTCTTCCTTTTCTTCCTCCCTTCGGCCCCGTCGGCGCCTCAATGGATCCCCGTCTTCCTGCTTCATCGCCTCTACCTCTTTTTCCCATAGTGGCACTTTCGCGGCGTTGCTGTTCTTTGGCCATGCGCTCTTTGATACGTGCTTCACGTTCCTGGGCGTAGGGGTCTGCAGACGAAGTGGCAGTGTCTTGGGGCACGACGACGGATTGCATGCTAGGGCGTCTGGTGTTCTTGTCGTCGTTGCGGTCTTTACGGGGACCGGTGGGAGGAGCGAAAGGTTTGCTGCCAGTGCGAGAGCCCTTGATCTTGAATCCTTGGTCGTCAGTTGTGGATGCTGGGTCGTCGCGACGTGAGCGGCGGGAAGACGAGTAATGGTCGTTGGTTCCATTGGCTGAGGGCGAGCGATCTCTACGAGAGCGTTTACGATCACGGTCGCTTCTGTCGCGATCAGAGCGTTCCTTTTCTCTCTCACGGTCGCGGTCCCGACGGCTCTTGGTGCGGGATTGGTCGTCGCCATTGGTGCGATGGTCCTTGTCGCCACGGGATCTGCTGCGACGGCGGCGGTGATCGCGGTCTCTGCTACTTTCGCGAGTTGAGCGGTGCTTTTCTCTGTCTCCTCTGCGGCGGCGTGATCTTCTAGATGCATCTTCGTCGCCGGAGTCGGATCTTGTCACGTCCTTTCTGTCAGAGTCTGCAGGCTCGTCGTCGTACTTTCTCTCATGACGACGACGTCGTTCACGTCTGCGGGCTCGTGCTTCGCTGTCTTGCGACTCGACGCTGTGCTTACGCTTGCGGCTGTGCGAGCCTGATCTTGAGTGTGAAGGCGAGCGGCCACGGTCTCGGTTGTCGCGAGCAGGTGAAATGCTGCGCTCCCTTTGTGGTTGAGGTGACTGTGCTGGGAGAGATTGAGGTTGAGGGGTAGGTGTGGGATGGGCGTTCCTTCCTCCTTGGTATCCGCCCCTGCTGTATATGCCACTGTTGGGCAATCCCTCACGCATAGCCTTGGGGCCCTTGGGAGCATCAATAGGAGGCCCTTCTGTAGAGCCTGCAACGACGGTGAAGTCCTCCGGAGGCTGCGACATGTGTCCATTGAAGCCGCCATGCATGTTGTTGAAGCCACCACGACCGCGGAAGCCGCCCCTGCCCCTGTAACCGCCCCTTCCTCTTCCACCAAATCCTCCGTTGAAGTTGTTCTGCGGGATGTAACCGTTCTGATTACCAAATGGCATCATGGGTGTCATGGCAGGGTTGAAACCACCCATACCCACCATGGCCGGATTAAAGGCATTGGGATCCATCATGGTTGGGCCTAGATGTGTGAGTGACTGGCGTGAGGACTATTTGCTTGATNNACGCTCACCTTCATTGTTCGAGTTCATCATCTGATTGTCTTGTTCATTCTGCAATCCCTGCATCTCGTTGCCATTCTCAAGATCTTGACCTTCTGTTTGCTGTTCACCTTGTGGGGCCTGTTCGTTAGTGTCCTCATTGATAGCATGTAGCTGTTGCTCTAGGGCAGGAGTATCATCTCCAGGCATCTGGGAAACAGAAGCTACAGATTGGGAGTTGCGTCTTTCGGCACCAGCTTCAGCCGACTCAGTGCCGGCTTGCGAGGGACGACGGTCGCCCTGTTCGGCATGTTGAGGATAAGCAGCGTCGTCTTGCTGAGTCTGAGGGTTAGATGGGCCTTGATTCCCACCAGCAAACGCAGCACCGCCTCTCCCACGGCCAGCAAAGCCACCACGCTGTTGGAAGCGGTTCTGGTTCTGGTAGTCATTATGATTGGGGAACTGTTGATTGGCATAGCCTCCTTGGTGCATTTGCGGTTGATTATATCCAGCGTGGGGATAATAGCCAGCGCCAAAGTTTCCGCCCATTCCCTGCTGTCCATTCCAATTGCCACCGAAACCGCCTCCAAAGCCCATCCCCATGTTCATACCACTCATGTCTTGCATGCCCATACCGCCGGCACCGAAACCGCCGAACATGGACATGGGGTTCATTCCAGGCATGCCTGTTGAGTTGTTAGTATATGTCGAAGAAAGACGGACAGCAGGAAAACTCACCCATCATGCCCATCATTGGGTTGAATCCATTGGCCATGTTCATCATAGGGTTGAATCCGTTAGCGGCGTTCCAGTCCATGTTTTGGAAGTTTTGCTGAGTGGCGTCCTGTCCATTCTGGTTTTGTTGTTGGTCTTCGCTCTGTTCCGTCTCGTTCTTCTGCTCGACNNATCAACATTTTCAGAATCGCCTCCTTCGATTGACTGCTGGACAGTATCTTCCTCAGCTCCAGTTGTTTGTTCGGCTTGGTCCAGATCTGAGGGCTCTCCATTTGCTGGGTGCTCAGANAATCTGTATACACACGTCAGAATGTCATATTGGCTGGTGATTCGTCGCAATCTCACCTCCTCGACCTGGGCAAGAGGGTCAGTAGCCTCTGGCGCAAGAGCGCCTTCAGTCGCATCCGTGGAGGCCACATCTTCTTCTTGCGGCTGTTCGGCAACTGCCTCGATCTGAATGTCGGACTCTATTTGTGGCTGTTCTGTGGGTTGTTCCGGTACCTGGGCGGCGGTCTCCTCTTGTTCGGCTTGTGCGGCTGCAGCAGCCTCAGCGGCGGCAATCTTCTTCTTCTCCTCGGCCTTGATGAAAGCACGAACAGTCATGCGCAGAGACTTGTTGGGCTTGCACATGTCGGGGTCCAAAGGTGAGTGACTGCATACCGGGCAAGCGTCGGGAAGAGTAGCCTGGCAGTCCTGGCAGATGGACGAGTCACAGCATTGGAGCTTGAAGGCATTGACGGCGAGCTTGCTGCAGGTGGCACATCGTAGCTTGGTAGGGATTTCGGCTTGGGTGAGCGAGCTNGAGCAGCATGTGAGTGATTGCGCATGCTGTAAAAGTTGTTACAGGTCTGACCTGGCGAAGTCGATGGCCGCTTGGTCCTGGACGGCCGCCATGATGCCGAATCAGTGTGCGCACCGAAGTGAATGGACCGGCGGGAGAGAGAAAGTCGTGTCGATGGTGCTGCAAGTCGTGATAATGATGCGCAATAGATTTGTGAAGTCAGAGGAATCAACTTCAATCGACCAACGCGCAACCGCGGCTACTCCCGCTGGTGGATGTTCGGGAAGCTTTGCCGAGTGTGACACGTTAAGGTCTATAAACCTCCTTCGTTCCTTCATTTAGAGCTCGACATGAAGATAGTCAAGCATCCTGATGTGTCTAGCAGAGACCACTTGGCCTTCTGCTCGACCAGGAAGTCGCTTTTAATTCTGTTATCTAAAGAAGATTCTGAGCTTTCCTCGGCCTGCAGCGCCGATCATCTCCACAAATGGAAGACCCTGAGAAGCATCAACTACATCATTGGTATCTTCCTCCAAATCATTCAACTCAACCATTCCAATTGTCCATACCACTTTCCTTCTATATAAACAAGCAAAAATGATTTTGAACCAGATCTCGTATTTGGATTGCATAGCTTTCCTCATCTTTCTCGCTCCTCAATTGCTCATCAGGGTGGGTCCGGTAGAGACCATCTCTTGTGTCATTACTGCATTGCCCTTCTTCNTGTATGTGTGCTGGAGTCCAAGAATTGACAGTTACTAATATACATTCACAGTGGTGCAGCTACCATATCAATTCGTCAAGGAACGTTTCTTTACAGCATACGAACAAAAGTCGGCTTTCAATCAGCACGCCACTCCCTTCCAGGACTTTGTCATTCGCTGCGTACGCTATGCTTTTGCTAAGATCCCAGCCAATATCGGCAAAGTCTTTTTCTCCAAAGGTGTTGCATTGCCCTTTTTCTGGTTTCGCATGTTGAGACATGGATACCGTAAATCTGCTATTCCATGGCGTGAGGTCAAGAAGCCTGGTCTCCATGGTATCTGGATGATTTGCGATGAGAATAAGAAACCAGATGTTGTGGTTTACTACTGCCATGGTAAGATATCGAAACATCTTCAAGATGAATGGCGCATGATAATGTTATACANNGGTGGTGGCTTCTCCATGGGCAGCAGTTTCTTCTACCTCGAATTCCTCCTCGCATGGGTCAGCATCCTGAAAGAGTCCGGCTATGAGAACCCAGCCCTCTTCGCCCTAGAGTACACCCTCGTCCCCGAATCCACCTATCCAACCCAAGTCCACGAGACCCTCCTCGGCTACGAATACGTCCTTTCCAAAATCTCGGACTCATCAAGGATAGTCGTGAGCGGCGACTCGGCAGGCGCAACACTAATGCTCAGTTTGCTTCTTTACATGTCAAAGGAACCCAAACTACGCACTCAACTACCGGGCTTGGGCGTCATGATTTCTCCCTGGGCTATTATTGTATCGCCAAAGAACAAAGACACGGCTAGCGATTATCTCAATGCCGAATCTTTGCATCTCTATGGCAGCCAATACGTTGGCTCTAAAGCCTCTGCGTCTGATCCTATGGTTTCGCCTGGAAAATGCAGAGACAAGGAGTGGTGGAGACGGGCTTCACCCAGCAAAGGCTGGTTGTTCATCTATGGTGCCGAAGAAGTATTCGCACCCGAGACCGTCGGATTGGTTGACTTTTTGAAAGACGAGGTCAATACTGAAGTGAGTGTGCACGAAGAAAAAGGTTGGATCCACGCATGGCCTGTGGTGAAGCTTTTCCTGTCTGATGGGCAGAAAGAACGACAGAGCGGTTTGAGGAGCATGACCAAGGTCGTACGGGATAGACTGAGATAAAGCAGCTAGACATAGATGTCGTTGTGCAGGACTTCGCATGCTGAATTGTTTCCTTTGAAGAAGATTATGAAGAATGTTCAATGCTTGCTAGACTAAACAATGATATGTGATAATTTAGATGACAGAAAAACAAAACTATGCTATAATGCTATAATGCTATATACAAAATGCAATGAGATTTCCATGTGGCTGTCGTATGAGTGTTTCTAAACGATAGATGAAGGGTATCGGCATATTAAGCGAGCGAATGTAGACTCAAAAGACCGTAAAGTGTGTGTTGCCAACAATAAATGGACAGACCGTAAACAAAAGCAGGAATGCAAAGATTCAAGGAGAGCTGAAGTGGACAGAAAAGCCCAAAATCAACCTCTCCTGAAGAACTCCTTGAAACTCTTGCTTCGTGATCTTCCAGTTGTGTTGTGCTTGATGTCGCCATCCTCGCCGCTAAACACTGCTTGACGTTCCTGCTCTTCGATTCTAGCTCTCTCATCATCAAGCTTCTTCTGCGTCTTCTTGTCCACAGCCCAGCCACCAGTCTTTTCCACATCCACACCTTCATCCTCGGCAATCGTTTGCGGATCAAAGATTCTCTGGCCCCTAGGAGCTCGTCCAGGCGACGGGAAATCAGGCACAGGGACGGGTTCCGCAAAGCCGTCTTTGTTCGCCTCTTGCTGTCTGCGAAGAGAAAGACGCGGCGGAGGAGGCGCACGCAACGACTTTGATCTACTCGGCGCAAACCCAGTGTTGGGGATGTTGTGAGCGACGTGGGGAGCCTCTTGACGCACACTCATTGCTCTGCCCAGTGCTTTCTTCATGGACTTTGAGCGTGACATGCCGCCGCCTGTGGTCTTGCTGCGTGCAGGCAGTTCGTCGGGTATCACTACTTGACGGCGGGAGGGCGAGGTGGAGTTCTCGGAGCGGTTGCGGGTGTGCTCGGTGGGAGGGCTGGTGCGGTGGATGCTGTTCTTGCGGCGAGCGGCGGCCATGTTGCCCATCTGGAGAACGCGGTTGCCTTCGTCGGTAGCCGTCATTCTGCGGGCGAGAGGGGTGATTTGGTCATCACCCTCGTCGAAGGAATTGCGCGACATGATTGCGTGTGATGTGATGTGAAGTGATTCGGGCTTGTTGTGCGTCTTCTTTGACGAGTTGATGATTTGCTGGGATGAAAAGGTGTTGTGTACTCTTCCCAGACCTTGGAATATTGTGAATGTCTTGTTTCAATGACGAAGACTGTTTGGTTGACTTTTGCGGAGAAAAGTGTTGACGTGTGTTTATGCGGTGACAACGGCGGTGCGTCTGGATGTATGCAGGTGACGAACTGCTGCGATTATGGTGTAGTTGTTGAAAAGAAAAGGTCCGCAAATTATCCTGTATGTTTGCTCTGTATGATGCGTCGTTGAATACAAGAGTGAGAGAAAAACAAGAAATTCGTAACAACTTTAAAAAAGGGGTCCTGTTTTGTTTAATACGAAGAGATGGAGAAAAGAGACCAGCGGCGCACTTGCACAGCGAGCGCGGCGCTTTTTGGTGTGCCTGCGACTTTGTTGAAAGTGGCACGCTCACTGCCACATCTATTTGTGAAATGATGGACCATCCAACCTTTAATCTGAAACGCACGTTTGACGAGACCAGACTCTGGCTATCTCGAGAGGCCGCGCGTTGATTTGCACTTCTTGACGTTCCAGACTTATAACATGCAGTCACTGCCCCCTTCTGCTCGTGACCGCATTACGCAAAAAGTGTCGCTCTTTGCACTGGGTTTTTTCTTGCTCGTATCTTGACGTGGCAGAAGGCTTGGACAGCCGTTGAAAGCTCGAGGCAATCCGTCAAGCCTCTGTCGACGGTGGCTTGCTTCATCCTAGCTTCCCCACACACGCTAACCTGTGACGCTGACTGAATTTAAGATGAGGCAGGCGGGCGTCCTTGTTGGTAGATGATGGAGAAGGGTGGCCTAACATGTCATGCCTATACTAGACATTGCACTGATGTGCGTCTGTGATTCTGTCGCTGATCGCGAGGCTTGACCTAAGAACCACCGAGCTGCTCTGTGGTCGTATCAATTGGGCTTCAGACGATGGTCAAGACAGCAAGGTATACCATCATGATAACAGTAATCAAAGCACATCTATGTGACTGGATCGATATATTGCCTTGTGAATATCTGACATAGAACGACAAATGTAATTGTACCCAGCAGGATTTGACGAAATTGCTAATTTTGGTCAAGATACCAAGTCATATGAATCGCCATGGCCAGAACAGCCTCTCGAACCACAGCTAGGCGAGAAGCGCAGTCTTTGAAGCACGTGTGAATGAGATTCCAATACCAGAGCAATCTGAATTGGAGTGTAGAAGTGGAAAGAAGGAACACAATTCATGGTCGCGCTAAGCACCCTGACCCAATTCTATCCTCTATGCTAATTCGAACGACAGACGATTGTATGTTGACTCCTATGATAGAAGCCCAGGAAGAAGCACACATTCTGCAAGAGCAAGGGACTGAAAATGGAACAAGAATCAAATTCGCTAAATCTTTGGGGATATCTAAAACAAAAACAATCCAGCCATCAATGACATTATATCTTGACATCATACTCTCACAGACTTGCTCTGTCAGCACCACCGACCTTCTTGGAAGTAAAGGTCGAGAAGTAGCTGTTGAGAGCATCGACAGTGCCAGCACCCTCGACAAGCTTGACAACACAACCAACGTATCCATCAGGACGGACAACAACGACACCACCTTCCTCTTCCGACAGACCCATCTTTGCGTGGGCAGCAGCCTTGGCGTCAGGAACCTTCTGGTCCCAGATGTCGTCTGCATAGACGTGGTCAAAGTAGCGAGCGAGGACCTCGGGGAGCAATGATCTAATTTCGATCTCAGGGCGCTTGGCGTTGAAGATGGTGTTGATGGTGAAGAAGAGACTGTGAGGGTTGTGCTTTTCGTGGTAGGAAATCTGGCCGAGGTTGGGGTGGCCAAAGGTGCTGTAGAATGAGCCCTTCTTCGACAGGCCGGCGGCGAAGTCTGAGATGGCGCGCTTAGTCTTGCTTGGCTCACCGCCGAAGAGGTAGATGCGCCAGCTGCCGTTGAGCGGAATCTCCTGTTCGAGATGAACAACGTTGGCGTCTGCTACTCTTGTGACAGTGGCATTTGTCAAGATACGTCCAGTGCGTTGCGTGGTGGTCTTGTCCTCGTTAGAGAGGAAGAGCGGAGACTTGGCCGGGTGGTCCTTTGACCAGTTGAAGATGTTGGAGTTGTAAGCAACACCGTACCCTGAGGTGAACTCGCAAGAAGACTTGAACATCTTGATGAACTCGTTCTCCTCGACCTGCTTCTCACCGTTCTGTTGCGTTGCTGAGCTGACCTCACCAGCACTAGGCTGGCGTTGTGAGAACAGCTTGGCATATGCGTTGTCGAAGTTTAGAAGGTTCTCTGCAATCAACTTGCGCTCCGACTCGTAAGACTTGAGGATGGAACGGTCTGCGAAGCCGCTCTCGACGTGGTGGATCTTCCATGCCAGATTTTGAGCGTCCAAGAAAGCAGTGTTCATACCTTGACCGGCCTTGGGAGAGTGGGTGTGGCAGCAGTCGCCGCCCATGAAGACACGCTCGTCAAGAGTGTAGCGGTCAGCAATACCTTGACCGATAGGGTAGACCGAGAACCACTCGACACGGTCCCATTCAATCTCGTAGGGCTTCAAAATTCTCTTAGCTGCATCCTGAACTTCTTGCTCTGTCGCTTGCTTGCGAGGGTTCCAGTCTTTGTCTGTTGATGAAGCAATCTGGATGTAGAGACGGACCATGTTGTCCTCGCGAGGAATGACCATGATGGATCCAGCGTCCGAGTGGATCGTGCACTTCATCTTGATGTCAGGGAAGTTTGTGCGCACGACACCATCCATGACACCCCAAACGTGCGTGATGGGATCCTTGTGTGTGATGCCAACCTTGAGCTGTTCGCGGATGAAACTGCGGGCACCCTCACCACTAAAGAGGTATTTCGCTCTGACAGTCTCTTGCTCCTTGCCATCGACGTGTGCAATCTTGACTTCCACCGGGTATTCCTTGTCTTTGCCATCGTTCTCGAATCCGGTAATCCTCCACGGTCTTTGCACCTTGACGTTGTACTTCTCCATGTCGGCAATGAAGACGCGCTCGATCAGGCCCTGATGGAGCAGGGTGGTGAAGGGGTAGCGGGCGTCGAGGAAACTAGGACATGAGGGCCATGTGCCAGTACGGTGAATACCCTTGCTCTGCTCTGCGGGATCCCAGAAAGCAACCTCGTAGACCTTGGCGGGCTCGTGAGCCATGATGGCACGCTTCAGACCCATGTTGCGGAGGAGGTCGAGTGATCGTGGTTGAATACCGTCGGCTCTACCAGTGAGCGTTGGCTCGGGTCGCATGTCGATGTGCTTGATCTTGTAGCCCCATCTTGCAAGGCAGGTTGACAGCAGGAGGCCAACAGGACCAGCACCTACAATGACGATGTCGTAGTTCTCGGTCGGCATGGTGATCGAGTCTTGAGTATATGTGAGGATGAGAGAGTGGGCTCGAGGCCAAGGGAGATCAATGTGAGCCGATGAGAGGAGAATAGATAGACAATGGCAATTGAGGAGACGGCGATCACATGGCTTATGTAGAAGCTCGACTTGCCTGTGTACTTAGCTACCGGCAGAAGTCTATAACATTTTCGGCTGCCTGCCTGCTACCGAGTCCGCGACTTGCCTCTGCCGCAACAAAGCAACATGACATCTGCGGGGCCTCGATACCCCAAGTGCACCAATCGCAAGCATTCCTGGGGTCAGATTAGGGTCAAGCTAGAACGATTTGGTAGGCCGAAAAGAAGCAGTTGTTCTGCCGTTGGTCGTGTGTCCGTCAGAGCCGCGGCCGGCACAAGTCGACGTACTTTTCGGGAGTCTGGGGAGCAGCTCGAGTCGAGTCTCTTTGATCAGTCAGCCGGGCCCTCCACACACGTCTCCATCCCTTGGCACCACCCCGCGTCTTCATCCATCCACCGGGTCTCGGTGCGATTGGCATCCGTTGTGCTCTCTTGCTTGCTTGCATCGTGCCTTTGTGTTTTGTCACTCTTGCTACACAGATCAGCCCTTATTAACCCTACACGAGTGAGGTCGGCGGTCCGGCATGCACTGTTGCAGATCACAAAGCTTAGAAAGACGTCAAATCATCTGCTGTAGAACCCCTCTTCGAAATCCGCCCCGCGGCTATCTTTGGGCTCACGATACTGTATAAAGTGCTTGTCGAGCCTTTTCGTCTTTTTCGCGCAATCTTTATTTCTAGTCAGATTCTCAATATTCTAGACAAGATGCCTGTGATCGATTCACCAACCATTCCTCTTGCTGGGCAGGCTTCGAACACTGTCCTGCTCGCTTTCTTCTTCACAGCTTGCCTGTCAGCATATACCATATACCAGAGATTTTTCCATCCGCTCGCATCAGTACCCGGACCTTTTTGGGCTAGTCTTACTCGATTATGGATCACCAAGCACAGCTGGGATGGCGACATGCACAGGACCATGATCGCCTTGCACGAAAAACATGGTCCCATCGTGCGCAATGGCCCCAATGAAGTCAGTATAGCAGATCTATCAGCCATCAAGACAATCTACGGCGCAGGTACAAAGTTCCGCAAGAGCGACTGGTATTCCGTTTGGCAAGGTCATAGAAAGTTCGACTTGTTCGCAGAAAGGGACGAAAAGCTGCACGGCAAGCAAAGAAGCTCTATCAGTTCGGCTTACGCCATGACTAGCTTGAAAGACTTGGAGCCATACGTGGACGACACTGTCAAAAGATTTGTGGATGCGATGGGTGAGCGTCAGAACCAAGTCGTAGATATGGGTAAATGGGCACAGCTCTTCGCTTTCGGTGAGCAGCACCAGATTTCTACAACCAATGACTTGACTGACTTACCATGTANNGATGTCATCGGGGAGATAACCTTCTCAAAGAGCTTTGGTTTCATGGAAGCACAAGCCGACGACGGGTCCTTTGCTCAGATCGAAGGCGCCCTAAAGTCTGCCTCGTGGATTGGACAAGTCCCATGGCTCTACTGGCTTCATGACCGCTTCATGCCCCTGATTGGTAACCATCTGGCTCTCAACAACCGACATGGATCGCTTCGAACTCTTGCCGCCAAAGAGATCTCTGCAAGGATGGATCGTGGCAGCGACCGCAAAGACATCTTGTCGAAGCTGCACGCAGCACAGAAGGACAAAGCCGAACTCGACGACAATGGTGTGATCAGCATGGCGACCTCGAACATCTTTGCTGGCAGCGACACGACTGCCATCTCGACCCGTGCTATCATCTACTACTTACTCAAGAATCCTCAGTACAAGCAGAGACTGGTCGAAGAGATTGACGATTTCAAAAGACAAGGCAAGCTAAGTGATCCTGTCAAGTTGACAGAAGCGGACTCGATGCCTTACCTACAGGCTGTCATGTACGAGGCATTGCGCTGTCATCCAGCGGTCGGCATGAGCTTGCCTCGAGTAACTCCAGCCGGCGGCGCCACCATCGCCAACACTTTCATTCCTGCAGGAGTATGTTGCTTGACACCCAAAGTCTGGGAAGATGTGCTGACGCAAGAGTAGACTGTCGTAGGAGCCAATCCTTGGGTGATCCACCGCAACAAGGAGGTGTATGGCGAGGATGTCGAGGACTTCCGCCCAGATCGTTGGTTGAAGGAGGATACGGGAGATATGCGTATGTTCTTGTTTCGATGCAATTGTTGATGGTGCTGACTTTATCAGGACNGTTTCTTCTTCACGTTCGGTTCGGGTGCTCGTATGTGCCTGGGAAGAAGTAAGTACTTGTTGTGCTGAAAGCTCAGAAGGGTTGCTGATCTCTCTCCGCCAGACATAAGCTGGATGGAGATGTCCAAGCTGATACCGACATTGTTCCTCCACTATAACCTCGAGCTCGCAGACCAAGATGCCGAATGGACAGAGACCTGCNTTGTGAGTTGTTGTGCTATGTTGATGCTTGTCCGCCGTGCTAACCCTCCGGCTAGCTGGTTCGTGATGCAGCAAGGCGTCAACGTGCGGCTCGTCAAGCGCGGTGTGCCAGCATAGAACGACCGGAAGCACTGCAGCGACTTGTTCGTCGCAGAAGCTTTGGTGGAAGATCGTCAGAAGGTGTCAAGTGTGGAATGAGAGATGCGCAGGAGCGCTTGGTGAGCGGGTAGGAGTTGCCCTTCAGCCTGAAGTACCGGAGGCAGTAAGACGTCTACGGCCAGTAGATTCTGCACTCTTAACCTGTGCGGAATTGTATCCATCAGGCGCTATGTTTAGACAGACAGAGAGGGGGCTCGTCCGAGGAGCAGTTCTCCTCGATTATGTCACACGTTCTTGTCCCAATTCTTGTAATCCAAAACAAGGCGCTGCTCTGACTTATTGATTATGCAGGACTGGGCAGATGATCGATGTAAGGGTTTGAGGATAGCGTTGTGCAGAGGCTCTTGCTAGGAAGCTGTTCGGTGAGCATGCTGTTGTGGTTGGGCTTCAGACTCGAGCATCAAGATATGTCTGCAGACGGTAGCTCTTGCATCATGACTAGGTAGGTCTGGAGACATGCAATGGGTAGTAGGTGCAGAGATAACCCCTGCCCCAGAATGCATCCTCGTCGAATCGTGCCAAACCTGCCCATCTCAACCGTTGAGTCTCGAGTCCCAGCGGTAGTAGGGAGTCTACAAGCAGTAGCTGTCGCCTTGCAGACATGTCTTCGGTAGACATAGTGGGTAGGTGGATGCAGAGAAGAGTCCTTGCCAGAACCTGCCCTCTTCAACTCGTGCCAGACCAACTTATCCTAATCAGATGACTCTTCTTGTGGGCAATAACTTGACGTCGACCACAGAAAGGACTTCACTGCCGACGATTGCATCATCATGTGCTCGTTTGCAAAGTGTTGGATCGACCGTAGGTGAAAGTCCGTTCGTGCAGCAAGTGATCGAGCGAAGCTTGGACCGCCTATATCAGCAACCAAACCACTCTCTTCTCCTCTCATCCACTCTTCCTCCTCCACGCAGTCTTACCTTCTTCCACGACTCGCGTGCGCATTCTTCTACCACTACCATCCTCAACCATCTTACAAACCTTCATCACACTCTTCTTCTTATACAACATCCACATCATCTCATCATCAAACATGTCTTCTCCTGCCTCAAAGACCACCGGCACCAAGTCCAAGAACGCTTCCATGGACTCCAGATGCACCACTTTCTCGGACATCATCAGAGCCCTCGACGAAGCCCACGACCGCATCGCCTCCATGGGGGTTGACGAGATGGCCGTCGAGCGCGTCAACAGTAACAACTCCCTGCTGATTGACAGCGAGGCTAAGTTCATGACTCCTCGCAAGGCCTTCGACGTCAAGAAGTACATGGCCGACCTCGAGAATGGCGACATCACCCTCCGCCAGATCCAGGTCGCCGCCAATGCCATCAAGCTCCCTGAAGAGCACCTTGCCGACCACATCCGCGTCAACGGCAGTGAGTCTTTGACGTTCTCTTCTTTTGTAATGTCGACGATGCTGACAATGTCGCAGNAGCTTCCTGAGCCCAAGCCTGGTCCCGGCAAGTGCACCTACGACCCTTACCCTCTTCCCCCTAAGCGCAAGCGCGATGCTCTGTCCGACAACATCGAAGACGCTCTCAAGAAGGTCAAGAACGTCTCCAAGTGAAGCCAAAGGTACGTGTAGAATGCTTTGTTACGTGCAGTAGACGTGTTTCTGACGTGCATTCACACAGTGTTTCATCATCATCATCACGAGACAATGAATGATTGGGAGGGTGTTTGCTGCTGGTTCTGCTTTTCCGGATGATACCCCCAACGTTATTCGTATTCAAATCCTTCTCTGATTCACATTCTGCCTCCTCTATGCTCATGTGATTGTAGTGTATCTCGTGGTTGTGACCAGGTTGTGAGTAGCCTATAGAAATGCAGGATATCATCTCATCGACAGAAGTGCCCACTGAGATACACGAACCAAGCAGTGTTTCTCTGGTCTCTTGCAGAAACGGAAGACTATCGTGCATTTCTACTGTTGGAAAATGGCCGTCACCGGTATACCGGATCGCACCTTCCTCTCGAGCGTTTTCGACGCGCCTGCCTACCCCGTCAACGAGGCGCACTTGACCCTACATCAGCCCCTCTTCCTCTCTCCTCACACCATCTCTATGCCAAAAGTATGTAGTGCATTCCTGCACTTGCAGACAACCCATACTAACGATGATAGAAACAATGATCGAAGAAGAAGACGAAGGTCCCAGTCTGGCCAACCGCTGGGCGAACGAACACGGCGACAACGACGAGAAGCTCCCCGGTCTGGCCAGCCGCGCATGGGGGCTCGAGTCTCACAACAAGAGGAAGATGCTGTTGAGGTGGCTTGCTGTGAGTGGCTTCAAGGACTTTCTCGAGGATGTTGCTGACTGGGAGGGTAGAAGATGGATAAGGCGAGACGGGCTCGTTTGACAGGCTCCGCTGCACAAGATCAGGAGGTATGTTACTGCTCTCGTCCTCTCCAATCGATGTATATTGACATCTGAGTAGCAGCAGCAGCATCAGCAACAGCATTAGCAGCGCTCCCCGGGAGGCTCTGGCCTCACACGCTTCGCGGGCAACATCAAGCCCGACGACAAGGTCAAGGAGAGGGACGAGAAGGAGCTCGACGAGGCGGAACAGGAAGAAAAGCATCTCTAGAAGAAAGAGAATACAACCGCTTATGTTTGGTGCATTGCTCCCGTTTCGGAAACCCAAACCTTCTGTGTGAGACCCGATAGTATGCAAAAAGCTGAACGACATGCTCGATATCTCGATGGACACTAGAAAGATACACTTCCATCCGTGCCTTTTTATAGCTAGCGAAACAGAAGGCATGGCCCGGGAAGTCTCAAGTTCCGTTCGAGTTTCAATCGAGTGACGCCCACTTCCGTGGCCATCTCGACATCCATATAGATGTTCGTGCATTTCGAGAGCCCTTTGGAAGGCATCTCGTCCGACCCGGAGATGCTAACAGGCATTGCTCGGCTTCGCCATGTGACATCGTTTTATGTCGTCAAACCATCTGACACAGACGAACCAGCGCGCAGGCCTCCATTACGGCAGGTGATATGGAACGGCGCCTTCCCTTCTTCAAAGGCTTTTTGTTTTCGTGTATACTGATTCATCTCGAACAGAATCGCCCTCGCCCACTCCACCCTGTCAAACGCCCGCCACAGGACCCAGCCGTCATTAAGAGAGGTTGGTCACGATCAGACTCGTCTTGGATCTATCATGCCTGACGTTTATTGGCAAACAGAGCGTCGCGCGTACGAGATTCTGAGAGCGTCCGACGAAAACACATGACAAGAGTTGCGACGCCCTCTTCGCCCGACCGCAAGCCGTCAACGTCGAAGGTATCCAGATCTCAATGTTGTCCTGGTGTCCATTTCGTCGTAGGCATGTTCGGGCAATAATCGACATCAACATGTAACGACAATTACTACGCCACCTCAGCCCAGCAACGAGCCGTCAACGACGACGATGTCCATATCCCAGGACATGCTGGCCCTAGCTCGCCTCGAGTAAGCTCAGGACTCGGCAGCACGTTTTCACGAGTACCACGAAGAATTCCGATGCATTCGTCGACGCGTCAAAAGCCAGCGAGATCGTACAAGACTGACGGAAGACGCAAGGCGGACGACGTCTCTTCCTGCTGGACACGAGTGTAAACTTCGGTCGATTTCGACGTCAAAAGCGAGCTGTCTAGTCAGACAAGGAAATTTATGGTACCAGCATTCGATGGCACAGCAGTGGCCCGGAGAAGAAAGAACGAAAAGCCAGAAAATGGCACCATCGGTTTCCAGTGCCCAATGATGAGGTGCGGAGGCCGAGTAGATGAACGACACCGTCAATGTCCAGTGGCCAGAGAACGACATGGAGTTCCTCAGCGTGGCCGGGTGACTTGTCCAACCATGGAGCAGCGGACTATGAGGAGCACGAAAACCACGCACTACACACACCCATCATGTGCGCCGGATCTCGTGCAAGATGGCCATTTCGTGCTTCAAGTACACCGGGACGACAAACGCGCCGCAGCCGTCAAGGAAAGTCTCTATACTGAGAGTGGCTACACTCCACTCGCGAGCTGTCGGGTGCAACAGGATAAACGTCTCCGCTGATTTGGGTGAAGTGCTCTCCGAGAAACAATGACCTCATCAGATGCCGATAAAGATCGCGGGCGAGATATTACAGCCCATGAGAGTGATGAGAGTACTCCATGTTGAGGCATTGCCATATGTACCCCAGCTCGAACAGTAGTCAAACAAGCGTTCTCTCAACCATATGCGGGAAGACGCATTCAATGGTCAAAGAAACCCGCAATCCAAGAAACCCGGACCTGTCTGGCCAGTCAATATGCGACAAAGGAAAGCAGGCTGCCGAACTACGCTTTGTTCGAGCCTATGTCGAGTAACCCTCAAGTCGACTTGCAGTACCCTGCATATGCCGAGGAATGTACCTTATTCGGCTGGAGCGACACAACTTCGCGGCTCAGACTATGCAGGCTTTTTCCTCCAGAATTCAAGATCCGGTCGAGTCAGGTGGAAAGCTCCAAGTCGTCGCGGCCAGAAGAACACCCACAAGCTCGTGACCGATGCACAGGAGATACGCATCCTGCTAAACTTGTCCAGGTGTGGCAACGACTGCTGAGCGCCGGTCTTTCCAGCATTGCCGAACATTTCCAGCAACTCATGTTGCAATCCCGCAATACCACCGATGTATCGATATTATCATTTACTTGCCCACTGATTGATGCTCTCTACAGATGTTCTGTGCAAGGATATTGAGCAAGGACCTGCTCAAATACTACTCGAGGCTGTAGCACAGCACTAGAGATATAAAGCATAACCATATGGAGGCAATACCAAAGAATCTCGATTTCTGAAGCCAACGTCGAGATTCTTCATGGGCGATGTAGTACCATGCAATCCCACGATACGACGGTATGTCGTCGAACTTTCAAGGCTTCCAGAAATAGTGTGGTGTTGCATAACTGCTTCGGCGGTCTGTGTAAGCGCTTCCTGTCGGGAGGTGAATCTGCAACGACACATGTAGCGGCAGATCCAAGAGGCATCACTTCACGCTAAACGCAATTTTGCGGCCGATTTCGAGAAAGACCAACCAGGCTGAGAAGGTCCAGATATCATTTCTGGTCGGAGCAATGGACGTTTGCTGTTTCGAAACCAGATCATCTCATTCAGGACCACGCGGAACCGTTGAACCCTGTTCGACAGCGAACTGGTGGAGGGAAACAGCCATCTTGGGGACCGTTTTCCAATCTGTCAAGCCTCGTATACTCGGTGCCGGACCATTGTGTCACCCTCGCCAGAATACGTTTCATATTTTTCCTAGATTGAAAGAAAATTTCTGGAAGAATTTGAGAGGTGGCTTCCATCTATTCTGAGGGCGCTAACAGACGTCATGGCTCGAGGACTAATTTGGCAGAACGTGTGTCGCGCGTGTCGTCCAGGAGATACACATTGAAGCCTGAGAGGCGATGGGAGCCCAAGGTCGAAACTGATGACGCTCACAAAGGAAGGTGCGCTCAGACAAGAATTGTCCTTGATGCAGGAGAAATTGGGCATCCCTTTGAGCCCCTTGTCGTCCTTCGTGGAAATGAGACAGAGGGATGAGGCTTGATGACGGTTTGCAGCGGAAGCGGGGAAAGCTCATCGGACCGAACCTTTAGTCTGGATCACTGCAGTAGATCAGCGAGGAGGGCAGCGAGGTTTAAACAAAGCTGTTTACCATTGTCGTGTCGTCTTCTGCGTCCAAGACAGACGCCGCTTTCGTCCAGCACAGCCCTCGACAACATGGATGACCGTGGACGGCCAATTCGGTCGTCCTCGAGGAGGTCTTCCACTCAGAGAATCAAACCGCGTGCCCGAGCATCCAACCAGTCGCTCCACAGCGCTGGCCGACCGCAGGAGAACACGACCTTCACCTCATTCGAACCATTTTCGCCGCCGAACAACGTCACGTCGAGTTACAGCAGCAACGCGAGCACCACGGCGAATGGCCTGAGCCTTGCGGTCATGAACGGCAACGGCAGCAATCACGCTGGTCGAGATGACGCCTCGGTCCGCTCCTATTCATCCAGCAAACGGTCCCGCTCCATCTACGCTCCTGATAGGCAAAACTCTCTTGCCGAAGACGTTTATGGCGAGGTGGCCGCCAGTTCAGGCAATGAGACCGAAGCCGAAGCTGCCTCTGGTTCCGAGCACGACACACGACCACTCGAACAAGTCTCGGCGGCGAGCCATTCTCTCATCAACGTCCTCAACATGGCTCCCAGGGACGAGTCTCGCCCACCGCTCTTCAACGACGTCAATGACCAACTTAACAACCCTCAGGTCCTACAAAAATCCGACGACAAGACCATCGTAGCCTACGTCAAGCGTCAAGGCGGCGCAGGCAGGGTCATCCGAAGACTGGCCAAAGATGTCAGCGATCGTGATGCTGAGATATCGCGCTTGCGCAGAACGGTGGAAGAGTTCGGTACACTCTTCAAGGACCACTTAATGGCCGTCCACGAAATGTCAAGATTGGAGGCCGACAGGACAGTGCGCGACTCGCCAGTCTTTTCAAAGCCATCCGCAAACGATTTACAAGAAGAGTTGGAATCTGCTTCATCGGACAATCTCTTCGGCGAAAGCCGTGCTGCTCTGGCTAGCGATTCGTCCACGGTCACAGCCAACACGCAAGCCTCTGTCTCGCCTCTTGTCAGGAAGGATACCTCGACTAGCCCAGGCTTCCCTTCTGGTTCCTCGACTATTCGCGCGCCACGCAATTCTGCTGCCAACTTGAAGGTCGACACGTAAGTTCCCAACATTGTACAATCTGCACATCTCGCGTACTAACAGCTTCATAGCAACAGGATGCCTAAGCAGCGAGGTGGTCTCTTCAATCTGTTTGGTGGTGGCGGCTCTGTACGGCAGCCAGCGAAACAACAAAATCGACACTCAATTGCTTCGATGCTGGATCCAAGGATGCTGAACATTCGCAGTCCGAGCATTGCACAGGCTCCTCGCTCAAATTCTATGTCATCGTACAAACCGCTAGAGATGGAACAAAAGATCGAGAATGAGGATCTGCCACCACCTCTGCTGGACATGAAAATCATCAAAATTCTATTCCGGGCTTTCATCGCTGACAATTATGGGTTCATCATTGACGGTCCTCGTGTTCAACAGTGGCTCTGGTCTCTAGAGAGACACAGATTCGTCTCCAAGAGCCGCACTACTTCGATCCTCACTCGAGCTACCTCTAACACCCGTTCTGCATCCATTACATCCATCGAGGAAGGTGACAATGAAGAAGCCGTCGATGTCACAGCCCAGGAGGACGGATCCACCGAAGCGAACGAAGAGTCTCGCCCATGGCATGAGTTTCTCAAAATCGAAGTCACCAAGCAAGCTTTGCTTTCACGTCTTCCTATTCAGCTTCACGGGGCTAAGATGACCGACAGCGCTAGCATCTCTTCGGTCGATACTGACGATGGCGTTCCACGACTGGAAGAGCTGTGCGATCCTGCAGATTTCACTACACATGCAGAACATCTACGTGATGAGATTTCGGCAGAGTATACTCAGCTGCAAGTTGCTCGAGAGCAAGCATACGACCGCTTGATGGCCAAGGTCGAAGAGCCGAAACTTGCTAGTAACAGGTTCTCACGTATCTTTACCACTGCAACAGAGGCAGTACCCACAAATCGCGTCGAAGCAATGGGTACCAGTACCGTGGGCATTGCAAATCTTGCGCAATCAGGAGTTAGTGGTCCGTTCGTGAAGTTCGTCCTCGACGGTATTCCGATGAAGATGCGTGCCAAGATCTGGTTGGAGAGTGCGCAGTCAAGCATTCATTATTCGCCAGAAGACTTCAGCATGTTGGCAGCCGAGTACAACACACACCCAGATGACCAAAGATATCTACACGATATTGAAATGGACACACCTCGTACACTGACCAACAATGTGTACTTCCGAAAGGAGAAGAATCAGGATGCGCTGGCGCTGTTGCTGGGCTGCTTCGCCATCAGAAATAAAGATATCGGGTACTGCCAAGGCTTCAACATCATCGCTGGCTACCTGTTGCTTGCTATGCCAACTACCGAGCAAGCATTCTGGGTCTTCTGCTTCCTTATTGAGAAAGTGCTACCCGCGTCTTACTTCACTGCTGAGCATGACTGGCAAGGCCCGCGTGCGGATACTATCGTGCTGCGTCACTACATTCAGGCTTTGTTGCCGCGTCTTGGTACTCACCTTGACGAGCTAGACGTCTTGGATGAGCAGACAGTACCGATCAACTGGTTCCTCACTGCCTTTGCATCCACACTGTCAGTGGAAGCACTGTTCCGTGTATGGGATGTTGTACTGGGTATCCCTGGACAGAACCAACAAGTCTTCCTGTTGCATGTGGCCATCGCACTCCTCAAGCTCAACGAAGAGGAGTTGTTGAAGCTAGATTCGGCAGCCGCTGTGTACGATTACATGGACCGTAAGATGGCTAGAGGTGTAGTCACCATTGATGGATTGATTCAAGCGTCTTCGAGGCTGGGTCCGATCGTTACGGCGAAGAGTGTTGAGAAGAGAAGAGCCGAGGCTGCCAAGACGCTGTGACTGATGCCTGACAATAGCTGCCATCGAGCTTGCTGAGAGGATATCGTTTGGAAGGAGATGGATGTTGCATGTTGCTATTTTGCTTTCGCTTTTTTTTTCTTTAACTCGCTAGATACCCCCTGCCCTCCCATTCTCGGATCAAAATGTTATGTTTTTCAAGAATCGAGAGCATACATCTGCTGTGAAATGTGTCAAACACATGTCAGATATGGTCACGGCGTCACTTTACAATGGTACAATGCTTGAGGCAAATTGAAAAATAGTAAACATGTTCTGGTATCATTTACAAAGAGAAAAATCAAGGTGTAATGGCAGCGGCGGCAGCGGGTGCCTCGGTGCCACTGCCCATGCCAGGTGCTGCTACAGGAGGCATGAAGAGGGGAAGATATGCGACTGCGGTTGACATGACTGTTTGCGGGGTTAGCCAGGGAAATTTGCCATTGAGAAATGAGGACGACATACGGGCCATGCCGACGGTCATGTAGCCAGGAGTGGAAGCAGTCTTCTGCGACTCGGGAGTTTCTGAGAGCCAGTTCTGGACGGCGAAGATGACAGCGACCCAGCCAATCATCCTGAAAAGAGTATCACGTTAGCATGAGCTTTATCTTGCCATGTTTGAATACATGTTTTGATGCTTACTTGTTTCTGGTGAAGATCTGGCCTCTGGTCAGTCGAGTCATGTGATTGATGGTTGAAATGTGTAGGTACTTACAGCGGCCATGGGGAGTGTGCTTCCNAAAGACACCTGTGGGACCACATGTTAGATCTTAGTCCTAGGATAGAATACCCGCTTGATTATACCAGTGACATCGGACTCGCTCTTAGCATTTGCGGGCTCGGCGTAGGGGACGACNTGTCGCGTGGTCAGCTCGGGGATTAAGTGTTGACAATGGCATTAGGTCTTACCGAGGTCGCCTCTGCGCATGTCCTTCTTTGAAACCATTGTGAGTACTGGATATTGATGATGCAATGAATTAAAGCTACAGCATTCACTGACTACAGAGGCCAGCGACGATGGTAGCGGGCTGTCGTCGGCGGTAGATTGTCGGAGATATATACAGCTAGCGCCGATTGGTCAGACAGAGCAACAGCGTCACAGACAAAGGAAGGCACGCGCGAAGAAAGGAAACAGGGAACGGTTGCTTTCACCTTCTTGTTCGGAAGTGCTCTCAATGCGTCTTGTGAGAACGAGAAAGCATCTTTCTTATCTATACGAAAGATAATAATATTCTCAACAAGAAAAGGAGAAAAAAGAGAAACCGGTGGTCATCGATCTCTCTGCGGGTCTCCTTGAGCTTTGACGCCTGGACCACTTGAGTCTTTCATCGTCGTCAACCAGTTGTTGAACACCACCGCTCTGCATTCTGCGCTGCCGCCATTCTCTCGCAAACTGGCTCCTCCCGCGCGACAAGACCCCCGACTTGCAGCGCACCTTTGTTGGCCGTAGTACGTCAGACTCGATTGACGTGCGGCGACCATCTCCATCTCGTCAACCGCCGGCATGATGAACCATCATCTGCCGGCAGGGCCATCGCATATTCCGCAAACCGCTCTGCCTGCTCACTCTTCGCCCATGCAACACCACCACCAATCGCGCCGTCACCAGGACTACCAACAGTATCACCAGCAACAGGCCGTCCAGAATCCCTATGCCCAGTATGCTCACCACCCGGGCGTTCAGGCTTACTACGGCCATCCCGCGCACTTGGGTTATCCTCCACAGCAACGTTGGATGCCTCAGGCTTATGGCTACCCCATGCACCAGCATCACCAACAGCATCAGTACCAGCAGCAGCACCAGCAGCCGCAGTATCCTCCCCGCTCGCCGGTAGTCGTTAGCTCGCAACCACAGATGGCCGCCATGCCTCCACCCGTCACGCGACAGACAAGTATGCCATACATGGCTCAGCCTCCGCCCGCTCCATCTCAGTCGCCTCTCCACCAGCTCCCTGTTGCACAGTCGCCGCTGTACCATGCTCCCCCAACTCCCGCCACTTCGATTCCGCAGTCCATGCCTTCGCCTCGTCCGGCTTCTGTACAGGCATCGACCCCATCGCTACCTGCCTCACGTAGATCGTCTGTTGCTCAGCCCCAGCCTGCGGTCCGCCGCATGCCATTCTATCCTAAGGTAAGTTTCACGGCAGACACCCTACCGACTCACTGCTGATTGCCACTTAGCNTTCCGTGGTACTCGAACCCCTACGAAACATTCCCTCCCAAGGCATCCAAGCGTAGAAGAAAGAGACAGGATCTGACGGCCGGTAACGACGCTGTGGCTTTGCCATCGAGGACTGCTGCTCCTGCCCAAGAACCTGCTGCCGATGCGACTCAAGTCTCGACTGTGGCCGCACCTTCTCAGGTCCCATCTGCTCGGGAAACTCCAGCAACCTCTCAAGCTCCCTCCGAGGCCGACGTCGGCGTAGTCACTCCTTCATCCGCATTGCCAGAAGTCTCGAAGCCTGCAACTCCCCAGAGCCAAACCAAGAAAGACTCGAGGCCAGCCGTTCCTATTGTACCTGCAGTGCCCGCCGCTAGACCCAAGACGGCTTCATCTGAGGCCATGTCGACTACTGCCAGTGCCAATGAGCAGAGTGTGTCTGCTGCCGAGCCTGCCGTACCTCAGCCCGAGGCAGGCGCCGAGACCAAGCCTGCCGAGCCTGCTGCTCCTGCACCCAAGGCAGCTCCCAAGTCATGGGCAGATCTTATGCGCTCCAAGAACTCTGCTGCTGCCGCTGCTGCATCTTCTGCTGCTGTGAATGGCAGTGGCCCGGCCAACGGTGCAGCCCCTTCCAGAGCTAGCACTCTTGCTGGTGCTCTCAAACAATTCAACGTCGACGATAATGATAAGGTTGCCTTCTTGGAGCCCAGAGGACTTGTAAATACTGGTAATATGTGTTATATGAATTCGGTACGTTCCTCGGAGTGCTTCGAAACGAAACTTTCGCTGACACACGCAGNNATTCTACAAATACTTGTATACTGTATGCCCTTCTACAACTTCCTGGATCAGGTTAGCAAGAGAGCTGCTCACTCCTTCAAGAGTGAAACTCCTCTTGTTGATGCCATGTAAGTCTTACTCACTTGATTTGAAGGAGAAGTACTGACCGTTGTAGGANTCTTGTTCATGAGAGAATTCAAGACTATTGACAGCGCAGATTCCGCTGAGAAGCTGCGCATGCGTCTCAAGGACCAAGAACTAGAACAATACGGTGACTCCATCACGCCCGAATATGTTTACGATACTATCAAGGACCTGCCTCGCTTTGCCTCGATGAGACGTGGTCATCAACAAGATGCCGAAGAGTTCCTGGGCTTCTTGCTTGATGGTATTCATGACGAATGTATGACTGTGATGCGCAAAGCCGGAGTGGACTCGGACGATTCCGCTCAGCCTGCATCACCTGCCAGCACTACCTCAGGTGCAAACACTGATGCTGGCTGGCTCGAGGTTGGTCCCAAGCAGAAACAGTCCGTCACTCGCCAGAGTGGTGAATCACTGCCCACTCCCATCACTCGCATATTCGGAGGTTCTCTTCGTTCGGAGCTTCGTGTTCCTGGTCTCAAGAACTCGGTCACTATGGAGCCATACCAACCCTTGCAACTGGACATTGGTGCACCCGACGTCAACAACATCATCCAAGCTTTGAAGGCCATTACAAAGCCGGAGACGTTGACTGGAGATTTTGGTTCACCTCGCGGACCCGGCACAACTGCTGTCAAGCAAGTCTTTATTGAAAGCCTTCCACCAGTCCTCATTCTGCACCTCAAGCGCTTCCAGTACGACAACACCGGTGGTACTCAGAAGATCTGGAAGAAGGTCGGCTACCCACTCGAGCTAGAGATCCCTAAGGAGGTCTTCGCCCCTCAGAAGCGTGGTAGTTTGGCTGTCCAGGGTGGTGCTCCCAAGTACCGTCTTACATCAGTCGTCTACCATCATGGCAAAAGTGCTGCCGGCGGTCATTACACTGTTGACATCCTCCGACAAGATGAGCGCGAATGGGTTCGTGTCGATGATACCATGATTCGTCGCATCCGTCCCGGAGATGTGGCAGAGGGCGGCTCGGAGGAAGATCCCAGGGTTTTGGCACGTGCGCTTGAGCAGCACAAGGCGGACACGGACGCTTCCAAACGTAACCTGTTCGAGGGCTTGGATGGCGACGATGACACGGATAGTGTACGCAGCTGGAACGAGGTCAACGGCGGCAACAAGAAGCCTACACTGGCATCGGCTGTTGCAAACGGATCATCATCTGGTAAACGCACACCACTGGCCAAGGACAAGAGCAGCGTCAAGGACAACAAGGTCGCTTACATCTTGCTCTACGAAAAGATGACGGGATGAGAAGTGCTTTCCTTACCGAGAACATCTCTGCAAAAAGCCCGATCTATGCAAGATCCGAGGCATGGCCTAAGGCCCTTCGAGCCAATGAGGAATACGTGTATGAGGAACGATTGGCGAAGGTTCATTGAAAGTTGATGCAGCCCACGCTTTGGGGTGTGCGGATCAGCTACGGTTTGCATTTGCATCAAAAGGCGACGGAAGGGGAATAAGAACGAGCGTATTCTCTATCACGTCTGGGGAGGTTATGGGATTGGCCTAACGAAGCAATGACGGCGGCAGGGGAGGAAGAAAGGGGATGTTCGGGGCTGTAGTGTAGCATAAAGAGTAGTCTGTGGATGTGAAACGGGGATTGTATCCTTTCTTACAAAGATGCGAGCTCCAGTGAGAGACAAGACGTTCAAGATGTGCATGGCATGAGTAGCTTTTTTCTCTTCTTGTGAGACTATCTGTGAAGATTGGAAAATGCCAAAGAGGGGTTAAGAGTTCAGCTGCTTGTGAAGATGTCCTCTTGCTTAGGGGTGTTCGAGTGAGCGGTTTGTTGCTCATTCGAGGAGACGGTCTTGTCGCCATACTGGTCGCCAACAAAATGTTGTTCTATCACAAGAGCCATCCATCAGTAAGGCTGTCATGCCAACAAATCATCCAGCCTAAGATACAAACCGCACATTCTCACCCGACTTTTCGTTACTCTCGTTGCCCGAATCACGATAGCTGGCGGCTGTAACAAAAATCTCGATATATCTGTTATAACGTAAAGAAGATATAGAACTACTTTTGGTTTTGTGGTAGTACAAGATAGGTTTGGGTAGAATATACGTGGATATTTGTAGTATAGATTTAAAGATGTAGGGTAATGAGATAGAAATGTGTGGTGGATGGTTAGATGGGAGAGATGGGAGAGATACAGTGGATAAAACAATACCACACAAGACCGACGAGACGACGGGTAAATGTAAAGTAAAGAAAGGAAGCGAGAAACAACTAAACATATAAGAAGAAATGGAGTAGGAGATGGTAGAAACAGAAGACGAGAAGGCTGCCGGGCGGTGAAGCTTCAAAGTGTCTCCATCTCTCGGAACTTCGAGACTTCGATTCCATGTCACATTTAGATTTGCAAGCCAACTTATTTGGTGTCCTGTCACGGTGAGAATCATTCCATTCTGTAGTTTTGGAACAGGTGGGTTTGGGGTGGGCAGTTGATTTCGAGCTATTTTTACATGTTTGACCCCTTTGTATCTGCCGTGTGTCTTTCTTCGTCGTTGTGGCCTTGTTGCTGTTCTTTATCATCTCATCTGTGGCCTGGTCTTGCTTCATTTCTTCTCGACCTCTCTTTCCTTCCTTGGTTTGCTCACTTTGCTCACTTAGAATCGCTGGGGACGGATGTAGTACGATTCCCTGAATCTCGAGCCGCGGTCAGGATTCTTGCGAGTCTTTCCCTGGTTGGTAGGGACGACAGAGATGTCGGGCACGTAGTCTCCATCAGGGTTCTCCTCGGCTGGGCCACTGGGAATATTGGAAAAGCGCAAAGGGATGGTAAGGCCGCTATGCAGTGGTCAGCATTTTGGTCAAAAAGCTGTTGTGGAAGGAAAGGGTCTTACCTCTTGTTTGGCTTCTCGGGAGCTGTGTCCTGGACAGCTTTGTGTTCGGGTCTATGAATATGTCAGGCTTCGGCTCGAGAGATTTTGGGATAAAGAAGTTCTGGTGATAGATATGGGTTCTCACCTCTTCTTTGGCTGCACCTTGGCAATTCCTCTGGTCTTGTTTGTCTTAGGATCGAGACTATGGATGTGTCAGGCTTAGGCTCAAGAGATCTTGGGATGAAGAAGTCCTTGTAGAAGATATGGGTTCTCACCTCTTGTTTGGCTTCTTAGGAGCTGTGTCCTGGATGGGTTCATGTTCGGGCCTGTGGGTGTGTCAGGCTTCAGCTGAAGAGGTTGTGGAGTCAAGAAGTTTGTACTCACTCTTCGTCGTCATCGTTCATGATCAGATCGAGGGTCTCGGGCTCGGGTCTGCGTGCGTGTCAATTCTCGGGCGAGGAATCTATGCTGTGAGAGTGGTATATCTTACGGCGTCTGTGTGGAAATGATTAAGTCAACGACCGCCCGAGGCAGTCCTCCGACGTCTTGTCTAAGACCTCTCATCTGATCGTCTGCGTCGTCTTGGCGAGCTTCAGTTCTGGCCGTGCGGACTTCATTCCTGACTATGCGGGCCTTGACTCTGATTAGGGCAGCTCTCAAATTAGAGCATTCTTGCTCGAGGCGTCTGCGGTCATTGTTATGGATGTTGTGAACGTGTAGAAGATCGGCCCTAGTAGCCCATTGGTCCATTTTGTCTACGCCACAGATGTTAGCATCCATGACATAAGCAAGGAGACAAGAGAAGAAAAGATATAGACCTGTTGTGAGGAAATTGGTGGTTAGAGGATCAAAGGATGGAAGGATAAAGGAAAAGAAAAGAAGAAAAGAAGGAAGGGTCAAGCTATGCGCATTATATAGTTGACTTGAAGGCGTAGTGAAATGAACATTCACTCCAAGATCTTTCACTTACTTGATGGGATATTAGTGAGTTGGCTTGTATTTTGCCTGCACATTCCGGAAACGTTAGTATTTGGTCTTTAGCCAGCCGCGATAGTGGACCGGGCAAGAAGAGAAAAGAGGAGAAGGAGTAGAATGTACATACGAAACCGACTTAAGGTGTGTGTTTGGTAAATGGGATGGGAACTGGATAGAGGGCTAGATGGTTGAACGTTGAGAAAGGGCTTTAGGCAGGAGGGGAAGGTAGTGCGCAGTGTAAAGTGAATTTGATCGTGTACATAGGCTTCACTAGGTGACATATAGAGGCTTCATCAGCTGGCATGTGGACGGACAAGAAGCAAGTGAAGAGCAAGGCACGATAGCTATGCGTGACACGGGACAGTAGTGGCGTAAACATTGTATATCAACAGGCACGAGGACATCATCTAGACAAGCAGGATTCGAAAAGTCATCATCTTTCATATTCCCACGCAGGAGCCACGGGCTGCGTCTCGTTGTTCTATATACATTTCACAGATTGGCGGTCTTGCTCCATCTCTTCGAGCTTTCGATTCATCCACACCCGATTTGTTCCCCTTGCGTGTTGGGTGTGGCTTTTTGAAACAGGCCTCTGTATCATCTCTTTAGTCTCATCTGTCGAGACATCTTGTTGATCTCTCCCTCCTTTGGAGTAGAAACGAAGCCATCTCGTGGTTGGGCCTGCTTTCTTACTCTGCCATACTTACTGTGTCTTGTGTTAGCATGTGACGTGGTAGGAGCAGACATTGGTCATACCTCTTTCTAATCTCTTCTGGTTGAGAAACAGGAAGCTCATGCACGGCAGTCTGGTCAGCCTTGGGTTTGCGACGTTGTGGTNCGGGCTCTAGGCGATGATGCCGATAGGGGTGGTTGGGGACGTACAGGCGGCATTATGTCGAAGTCGTCCGACGAAGATTGGCGCCTGTTGCCGTTGTTGGCATCGAAAGGCGACTCTGATCTTGAAGGTCCGCTAGCATCTTCCATCTTCTCTCCAGCTAGCTGAGCGTTAGAGCCTTGGACCACAAAACCTGACTGATTGATGTAGTCTGGCTTACCAACACGAGAACCTGCCGTACGTTTCCGCTTTCTGCCAGCAGCAGGTGGCAGAGCCGATGCAGTAAACCCACGATCGACGCTGGGGGAAGAGATCTGAGACACCGCACGATCCTCTACGTTGACGTGGGCAGTATCTTCGTGAGTGAGATCGTCTTCGTGGGCGAAGTCGTCTTCGTGAGAGAGATCGTGTCCAGGCCCGAGATCGTCTTCGGCGCCGAGATCGTCAGTCTGGAAATGAAGATCTTGGTTGTTTGCCTCGAGGTGATCATTATGGTGCGCATGGTGATCTTCAATGTCCGAGAGCGGACCATTAGACGGCTGGCTATAGTGTCGGATGGCTAGGCGTGCATCAACGGCATCCAAACGTGCTGAGATTCTGGCTTCGCTGTTTTGAACCTCGGTTCTGAGATCTTGTATGGCTTGAAGGACATCGGCCAATGCAGGGACAGTGACGTTAAGGGAGAAGGTCGGAGGGTCGGCCATGATGGAGAAGGACCTGGGTAGATTGGCAGATGAACGAGATGGTGGGGGCAGTTGGCAAAACAATTGGACGTTCGCGTAGAAGGCAAGCGCGAGAGACGCGCCGAACAAGTGACACCGGAGGCTAGAGTGTTGACATGTGACTCTCACTCACTCGTGTTGAGGGAAGATTCGAAGAAGTCGCGCACCAAGCGAACACTGTTCTGGACCGGAATCGGTTTGGAACGCGCCTGGTCAGATGGAGATCTGGGCGTAGGAAGAAAAAGACGAGGAATATTGATACTGCTACAAGAAGTGGTATAAAGTACATACGGCGTGATGGGTTCGATGGACGAACGAGGCCGTCAACAACTCAAAGGCCATGAGATGAGTTGGAGGCTGCTCCACTTCATGGTTTACCGCTTTGGAGTCCACGAGTGTGTTGTCATGCTAAGAGCATGGTGGCTCTGTATGAGTTTGGTCTCGACTTCGGCACCCATGAGGCCTCTTCGGTCTGGGAGCTGAGCGGCAGTCCGCACAGCCTCACATCAGTCTATGAGCGTGCGGCGTGCTGTCTCGGCAAGATGAAAGGCTTGCGGTAGGCGTTGGCGTAGGCCTGGTTGACAATGGGCGAGGTACCCTCTGTGCGGATGGTTGAACCGATGGACATGAAGAANACTGGGCAAGCTCAGCGACGGGCATAACGCATAGGGACTCGAGCAGCGTACCCAAAGGTGGCGGCAGAACCAGCCATGTACTGGCCCAGGGTTCTGAGCATGCCATTGGGACCAGGACCGAATCTAATGATGTTGGTTGCGCCAAAGATGAAGCCTATGATGAGGCCGACACCTGGGACGGGTGGTGAGTGGCGAAGAAATATGTATCAGTGAGGAGAGGACGTACTGCTGCCCATCATGGCGCCCATCTTGACNTGTAAACTGGTCAGTATTTCAGGCAAACGAATGGAATGGATTAAAGTACGCTTGTCAAAGGTAGAAGGGCCATGGGCACCAGCGGGCATGGCACTTGCGGGTACAGGCATCTTGACGAGTCGAGTAGAACAAAGAATGCGACGAACCGGTCTTCTCCAGATTTCGGTATGCCAGAGCCAGAGCCAGAGCTACGACGAGCAATCAAGGTGGAGGGACGCTTGGCAGTCACGTGTGGGGTCAAAGAACAATGACGGCGAGGCCCTGCTGGAAGGTCTCGGAGGATCTGAATGTTGATGGAGATTCGATGGCTACAGTTGGGAACAGAAGCTGGTGATGCAGTGAGGCTTCAGTTGCTCTCAAGTGTCAGACCGGTTGGAAGGTCACTTGAAGGTCACTGGCAGGTCACTCAGGTCGTCGGCAAGGAAGGAGCGAGTCGGTGGTTGGCACAGAGTTCAGCTCCACTTGGCCTGCAGACGAGTCGGCGGCAGCGGGAAACACAAGGCACAGCGCTCTTCCTTGTTTGTTGTGCCTCCCGCTCTCTTTCTCGTCCACCAATTCTCTTCTCTGTGCATGCTTTTGTCCTTGTTCGTCGAGTCCGCGTAGCTATCTAGGTGGACAACGGTGCGGGTCCAGATACTACTAGGTCCTCCTATCGCAAGACGCCGTTTGCACTTTGTTGGTCGCAACTTGGACTTGCAGCGAGCGACCGTCTGTGCGTCTTGATTCTGTGACGCTCGACGTGCTCCCTTTCTTGATCGCTGCACGCCTGCATATTGTTATTTCTTCGCCCGCTCGAGTCCTGCGCTTCCTGTCAAGCCCCCGAGACACGACGGCTGCCCTGGACATGATCGACACACGACAAGGCTGATCCACGACCACGTCCTATTGCATCTCTCCACACGACCACGCGAGCATTCAAGCCCCGGCGCTTTCCCTGTCCGTCAGAAAGTCGCCAATCCACCGCTGCGTCTCGCCCCGGCAGCAGCAAATGACGGCAGTCGCGCCCNCCGTCACCTTCCAGCCGCCTGCCCGCTCGACTGCGACATGGACTAACGGCACATCCGCAATGACCCAGGACGACAATGTGACCAGGATGTTCATGCCCGGCCCCCGTAAGAGCGTCCAGCGCTCCAACTCGCAGTCCTCTCTCACCTCGGCCTCGTCGTCCTCTTCCTCTACCATCTCCCAGGCCTCTACCCCGTCGCAGCCCTCGCCCAACAATCAAGATCCCACCACATGGACCACCCGTAAGAAGAGCTCAAGAGGCATCTGGCCATCGGGAAAAGCAGAGCCTACCGCCGGCCTCTCCACCACTCGTCCCCAGCCCGTCTCGTCGACCTCGTCTGGCCCATCTGCCGCTTCTGCAATCTCTGCCCTACACGGTCCAATGCTGCCTTCACAGCAAATGTCTACCGCCCAGAACGGTTCGCTTCGAGGAGCTCAACCCCCTTCCGACACGCCCGCCATCCTCCACCTCTCGCCCATGAACGGCACCTTCGAACGCAAGACCATCAGCGTCCCCTTCTATCCGGACGTATTGCGCATCGGCCGCCAAACCAACGCCAAAACAGCCCCCACCCCTGCCAACGGCTTCTTCGACTCAAAGGTTCTCTCACGTCAGCACGCCGAAATCTATGCTGAGCGCAACGGAAGGATCTTCATTCGCGATGTCAAGTCTTCCAACGGCACCTTTGTCAATGGTCAAAGATTGTCGCCCGAAAACAAGGAGTCCGAGCCGCACGAACTGCGTGAGCAAGATGTTCTCGAACTTGGTATCGATATCGTCAGCGAGGATCAAAAGACGATTGTCCACCACAAAGTTGCTGCTCGTGTCGAACACGCTGGAATCTACAACCAGACTGCCGAGCTCAACTTTGGAGAAATGGACCCTTCTCATCAGATGAAGCGTAGCAACAGTCAGTCATCGCAACAAAGTGCAAAGGCCAATGCTATGGCCGCTGTCATGGCCGCCAGAGACTCGGGTGCCATGCAACAACCCCAGTGGGCTCGTGGCTGGCCTTCCACCGTGACAACCGAGACGATTGTGAAACGTCTGAACCGCGAATTGAGCCTTGCTAAGAAGCAATCCTCAGACCTAGCTCGAAGCAGATCTTGCCTCGAAGGTCTGTTGGCCGCTGATTCCAAGGGCAAGCAAGACAAGTCGGCTAGGTCCTCGCCTGTCAGGCAACAAACTTCCGACTCCAAGCCTTCTGTAATCTTTTCTCAACCTCCCGCTCCCCCACCGCAGGCTCCGTTGCCCGAAAAACCAGACGTCGCAAAGGCTCTTGCCGATCCCGTCATCCAACCGCTCCTCATGCGTTCAGAAGCTGCTCGTCCAATCTTGGCTCCCAACGGATCTCCCACTCGTGCCGATCATTCACAAGCTCTTCTCATCCTTACACATGAATTGAAACTTGCCAAGGATCAAATTCCTAGCCTCGAAGATCGTGTCAAGAATCTGGAAGAGGAACTCAAACAGGAGCGTAATGCTCGTGAAAGTGCCGAAGAAAGAGCATCTTTGCTGGAGTCGTCTCAGAAGTCTCTTGAAGATGAAGAGAACACTTCTGCCACTGAACAGCAGAGAGACTCTACCAACAGTGATGATCTANGCAAAAATCAAACCTCCGAACTTCAGTCACAGCTTGATAGAATCCACGCAGCTATGAATGACATGAAGACGCAAATGGAAGTCTATCGTCGTCGCGCAGAAACAGCAGAGTCACAGCGTGATGACGCGCACCAGACGCTCGCTGAGATGGTTGAGCAGAAACGCAAGGAGAACGCAGAGCTGCAGCGCCAGCAAGAGGCATCTCTCCCACCAAAGTCATCTTCCAGCCTCGCGAGTAACACAACGTCCTCGAACGGTCACATCTCTGAGCCTCTAGTCGAAGGCAGTTTGTACAGTCTGTTGGCTGAAGCCGGTATCAATGCAAACGCGGCTTTGTCAACGGAGCAAGCAGCATCGATTCAACGACTGCTCGCCCGCAAGATGCCTGTCTCCCAACGTGACGCTTCCAACAACTCCTCTGACAATCTGAAAGAGCAGCTTACCCACCATGGTCTGCCTCTTGGGTCGGGTTTCATTGTGGTCGTTGTCGGCATGGCGCTCATGCACTACTTGGATGGATGGGAGAAACTGCACAGGTGAAGTCAACACGAACTCACCTAACCCTTTTCCACCAGCACACCAATTCCATGGCCACGCTTCGCCCAACTCACGTCGTGGTACAAGTTAGAGGAAGCACTTCCAGCCACTGACATCGGCATACAAGCAGTCTTCGCAACGCCTCAGCTCAGACTTACCACGCCATGAGTCTCGCAAGCGTCTATTCAAAGAACGCGTTCCTGAACATGTGCGAGCAAGCATGGAGACAAGCGCACCCCAACCGCAGACCCTACGCATAGTCACTGGCATAGCGTTTTCTTCGACCATCCGATGGGCTTTTAGGATGTTCGAATTACTGCAATCCACAAATTTCATTTTTAACGACAAAAACCAGCTCACGACCCATTTATTATGTATTCGCCTTTTGTTCGGGATTGGACAAACTAAGGAGAGAAGCGACGCCTCCTTGAATAAGAAAAGTTAGAGAGAAGCAAGAGCAATGTACCCTCAAACACTGCACATATTCCTAACCATCGCTCATTCTCCTTTGTTGTGGGCAAGATAGCATTGTTTGCATTGTTGGGAAGGGGAACTTGGGCAACAGAAACACACATTGTCCCGATGGGATTGGAACGGATTGATTTTGGCGTCAAAAGGCAAAGTATTCGCTCTTTTTCTGCGTGTGTGTTGGATACACGGGCTGTCACGCCAAGTTTCTTTTAATGATCGAGTGCCACGACTTGAATCCTATCACTCAGTCCTTACCTCTTCTTCCACCTTCAATTCTACTTTTGTATACTTTACAGCATTCTGTGGCTGGAGCAGTGCCTTGTGAATGTATTTGAGCTCTCGGTGGCTCCTGATTGTGGGTATCATGTAGAAGAAATTGACACCTGCCTGATGAAGCAACGCGAGGTTCGTTTCGGATCAAATTCAGAAATGTCATGTCAATACCTAAAACATCCTTCAAAGTACCTCCCACAGTCCTCATCATACGCTTCAAATGGTAAATAGTAACACTAGTATATGCCATTGGCAGCTTCTAAACCTTTTCTATCGTGACTTTCAGACCACGGTATATCGAATGAGGCATGGATTTTCGCGCAGGGTCATCCCACCGAACAAGATTTTGGGTAATCGAGTGATCATCTTCGAACTTCGATGACCGAACAACCAGGGATCAATCAGGAGTTCCTATAAGCTTCGGTAGATTTGCTCTTGGCTTGAATAGAATGTGGTTGTCGTGGTTCTACGGGTAAATCGACAGTTGAGATGGATTGCTAGGTAAAGGTGTGGAAGCATTCGCCATGACAGCTATTTGATGATGAAATGCAGGCAAGACAAGATACGAGAAACAGCTGAGTCGATGATGCACAGAGTAGGTCGTCGTAAAGCATTGCATATCATTGTCGAAGGCGCAAGATGTGAATACATGGCGTAGTACCCATCAATAGCGACGTTGGCTGCACCTAATTGAAGTTCATGGCATCGAGCCGAGAGAGCAAGGTGCGTACCATCTTCTTTCGCTTTGTCGTCATCCTAATTTTCTCAACACTCTTGGTCAGGCACGCTGACACAGTTGGCCTATATGACCTCGTAGTGCATGCCATTTCTGCCTATTTCATGGTCTCAAGAGTCTTTTTTTTCCCTTGTGCGAGACAACACTGGCGCCCATGGCTTGGGGGCTCGGCCTCAGGGCCTCCAATGCGCCTTTCCGGGATCTTTCTACATGGCATAAATGTTGCAAACAGTGGAGTTAGTAGGAGGATTGTTTGCGTTTAGAATATCCAAGTCACACCTCTCCACCCATGGCTTCCGTCATGATGATTTCGGATACGGAGCTTGTAATTTCGACACGTTGTTCACACCCACGCTCGCCAGAAGATGGCGGTACAAGCGCGAAATTCGATCATGTCCTCTCCTCGATCCCTCCCTCTTTTGGTGGAATCAAAGATTTGTGACGAGACACGATCGTACCAGCATGTGTGATCTTCTCAGTCCAACATTCATGTATTATGTCTCCACCGAGCAGATGTTCGACAGGCGGAAATGCTCGTTTCATGAATAGCTCGTTGACTCTCTCGTCGTATTGCTCCTGCTCCTCGACGGAGACAAACGGGCCTGGCGATTTATACAGCCAGTGACCTGTCATGACAGCATAGAAAACCGAGCCAAGCGCGAATATGTCGGTGTCTTTCGTAGATATCCATTCCTTTGTAGGGTTGAAGAATCCAGTATCAGGGAGATGGCCTCCATCGATTATCCTGTCGCTCGTCTTGCAGTACGAACCCCCGAAGTCGCACAGCAGAAGCTCCGGACCATCATTGTCGTTATCGATATGGAGTAGGAAATTCTGTGGACGAAGATCGGAGTGAATAACGCCCTTGCTGCGTAGATAGGCGACAGCCTCAGCAGCCTGAAGGCGCCATTTGAGTCGGAGATCATCGTTGATAGATTCGTTATGACTGTCTAGGTAACATTGTAGGTCACCGTGATTCGCTTCGGCGAATAACAGTCCCTTGGGTGTCTGTGAAGAGCCTAGAAATCTTTATTACAATGTTAGTGACGGCTGCTGAAAGTCTTACTTGATGATCCGAGGGTGAGGCCTTAATATGTCGAGTATTTGTTTTCCAATCTCGAAATAATCGATGCTATCATGTTCGGAAGGTCGATTGACACATTTGATGACAATATCGGACTGATATCTCTTAATGACGGCAGTCGAGCCTCGATTAATGACATTGGTGGCTAAGTCGAGACTGCCGGAGGGGAATTGAGTCATGAGATTCCCTTGTTGGCGGAAGAGAAATTGGAGAAAGGACAAAAGGTGAAGGAACACAGCTGATAGCGAAGCTGCTGTGGCAAGCCACATGCGCGTAATGCAGGTAAGCGCCGCCTAGAGAATGTGACCAATGAGAAAAACTCCACCCAGGCATGGTTTGCATGATTATCCAGACCCGATCGGGATGGAACACCACGAATGCTTTCATCAGGCGATGCAGATGAGCGCTTCTCAGGAAGCATGAACAGCAAGAGTCTAGCCATTTATGGGTCGCAGGATCCTGCAACTCGGACTAGAATAGAACGGTAACGGACCTCGATATCCTCATGTAGTGTCGTTCATCCTTCTCAATGATTTCCAACAAGCAATTTGCCTCGGTATCATCGAGTCTTTTGACGTTCCATTCCATGAAAGAGGCACAGCCAGTCTCTACCGAAGATCATAGGTTGTGTAGCTTTGTTGTACTAGGATCGTTGAAGTCAGTGATGATATATGAAAATGCGACCACCATTCAGGTTATCGTCGACAATTCCTAAAAATTTATCCTTCAACAAGTCGAGCGAATCATACAACCACATACTTTCACAACCTTTCGTCTCAGTCAACCAGCCATGCTTCCCAGTCTTGAGCATACCAGACAGCATCTCGTACTCAGTGCCACAATATGGAGCTAACGAATTTCCTTTCTTCGACTGGACATCGAGTGCGGATCAACAAACAGCAACCCTCACCAAACCGCTGCCCTACTCCACGTAAAGGAAGGGTCGAAGCCAATGTGGTGCTTCATTATACTCGAATGATCCAAATGGGAATTCAAGCAGTCTTGTAATGGACCCTGAGGCTGACTATGTAGATACTAGAAGCTCTGCTGGGGTGTGGTAAGCTTCTATCCAATGACACTACTTGCTGGCTCGAACTTGTCGTAGCAGCAATACCAACGTTGAAAATTCAGCCGAGTACCTACCGAGTCCGTCAACACTTCATTTTCCTATATGCTGGAGTCCCCATCGTTCGCGCTAAATACAAGCTACTGCCCCCTTCACAGAAACAGCTCAAATGCTTGCTATCGCAGACGTGGTGAGTCAGGGTGCGATTATGCATCAGAAATAGTCGACAGAGTATGCTGATCTTAAAAACCGGGCTAGAGATAAGCTACACTGTCGTTTGTGGCATCGAGAATGAAAGAGCACCAGTAAGATCTTATTCTTTTCTTCGACCAGATGCTGAAATCCACGCAACGACCGATCATTCAGCTATGCGGAAGCAAGAGTTTGGCATTTCGCAAACTTCCATATCATTGGTAGCATGGAGAACAAAAGATCGTTGACGAGCGCGCTTCTAGCACAGAATCACGCGTGCCGTAGAGAGTGGCTTGGACATATCGAGGTCGATGATGTACAGTACCAAGATCTGGAAATCGATACAGCGTATCAAGAGCGATAACCTTCGCCCATCACATCATGACGGTGATGGCACAAATCGCCGGATGGACATGGGTATGACAGCGGAGATGAGCAAATACAGTATGATTTGGCGCTTGTACCTGAGCAACAAGGCATCTTATCCAGGCGGCATAAGTTTCTTTTTCTTGCCAACCCCCTCGGTCGAAGCAGTTGAAGCATAGGTGGTATTGATGAGGTCGGCTATAGGCGGCTCGCGGAATGTGGGGAAAACAAGGCAGGAAAGGTGAAGTCAATTGCCGTCAAACTCTCGAGGCTCGCTCGACAGATGCCACCAATCGGCCAGGCGAGTGTGTAAAGACCCCAGAGCGAGCATTGTGGCGATGCACTGAATGCTCATAGTCGGGCAGAAGTCCGTGGTGATGAATACACGACTTTTGTCATGATAACCCCGACACGCTGCGAGGTCGGAGAGTCGAAGCCGGTCGGAGACCTTCAACATGTCTGATCAAGGAGTGTTCACTCCAGGATCGACGCTCCGAACAAGGCTCCATGAGTCGCCGAGAGATATAATTCGGGGCTCCGAAAGACAATTCAGTTCCATACGGCCGATGTGTTAAGATGATACGGTGAGTCTGTGATGCGACATGCGGAGATAATGTGTATCTTTGAGCGCCGAAAGTGGAACAACAAAAGATGTGACTCCGTGTCTTGATACACTCGATAGATACCTGCTTGTTTAAGCAAGCGAGTGAGCACGTGGGTTTGGTGCGGATAAGGCGGCCATTGCGATATGCAGATGCGACGCCTCGCGTTATCTCAAGGTATGCAGATGAAAGGAGTCAGTGAGATTGCATGAAGAAGGGTGCGCGTGCGCATATGGTCGGGTTCAAGGTCACGACCAAATAGATACAAGACGGATGTTTCGAAAATGTTGAGCGAAGCACGACATGGCCAATCTAATGCCGCATGGCTGCAAGGAGATAGAGCCCGGTGAAGAGTTGCGGTGCATCGCGGAGCGTTTTTGGCCAATGGAACGGGCACTTGGGAAAGGGCTATCGCTCAAAAGGCAGAAAGAGATGCAGAATGCGGAGAAGGAGGCAGGAACAGAGATGAGATTTGCAAAAGAAAAGCAAGTCTCGGCTTTTGCAAATCAGTTGCTTGTCGCAGACGGCATGGCATCAGGCCAGGACCGAGAGGGGTCCGGTTTGCTGGGTATTAAATATTACGAGAGCAAAGGGCTCATCACGCCAGAGCGACGGCGGGTTCGCAAAGAAGCAAACATGAATGAAGGTTGATTCGGCAAGGCTGAAAGCGCACACACAAAGAAAGATGCCGGGGCTCTCCACCCACCGGGAAGAAGCTGGGCCGAGATAAGGTGGTGTTGCAGATTCGACTGTAGGAATGGACGGTTTGGGCAATTTGGGGGTAAATGGGAAGAGTCAGGTCACGGTCAGGTCAGGCTTGGCACGTGTCGAATGTTTGCTGATGAGTGCATTCGGAAGGAGCAGCTTGCAGGCAGGCACAGGCTTGTCGCGGCAATCCGAGCCCTGACTGAGGTAAGAGTGAAGAATCAGTAGGAAGGAACAAGAGGCATGTCGCCGGTGGCTTGCTAAGAGTAGCGATTGGGGAAAAATTCTCGGAGCAGGCAGCTAGAGCGGAAGGCCTAGGGAAGGCCGAGGTGGCGGCTGTTGTTGGTTCCTTGTCTTGTCTCTGGAGGCTGTCGGCAAAAGAGCAGCGAGTGCGGTGTGCTTGTGCGGGCAGTGGAGCGAGCGTTGGCCTAAGTTATCTTTTGGTACGGTAGATCGGACATGACATGTTGCTATCAGCTGCTCTGGACTTTGCTCGCTCACCCTCACCCTCTCTCTCGTGTGCGACGTGTGCCTGTACCTTGACTGACAGAGCATCAAGCATGTCGAGTCGCACCATCCAGGCCGACTCCTGCTTTAATCACACAACCACCACCGCTGCTGCCATTGTCGTGCCCATGGCTCCTACCGTCTGAAGCCTCTAGCATGAGGTGCATCCACTCCGCAACAGTGCCATGATAAGCCAACCATCCGCGGGCACGCAAGTTCCTGGCCCTCACCCTCACCCTCGGCCTCACCTCCACCCTCGGCCTCTGAACCGCCCTGCTCTTCCTTCCAAACTCAGCAACGTCAACCTGAGTCGACAGAATGACTCTGCCGACGTCGACGACGCGAACCGCTCGGCATACACGGCAAACGGCATGCTCCAATACGCCGCACAGTCCGTCAGCACCCCCGAGGACAACACCCAGCACATCCCGCCTCGCCTCCTCTCGCAACGCACCACACAACTGCCTCTACCTCGCCGTCCCCAATCTCTGACCGCACACGCTCAATCTCGCCCGCCCGTCCCGAAGCCGACGCCCACTCCCGTCCTGGATCCATCAACAAGAGCCAACGGCCTACAACCACCCGCAGTGGCCACTGCTCTTCCTCGAGACAAGGTTGCCGACTTCTTCCCATGGACCAACATTGAAGGCAAGCATCCGGAAGATGTGCTGAACGAGCACCTCATCAAGTCTGGATTCAGCGACAAGCCCACTGGTCCCTCGAGTACCGAGTCCAACACGGCTCGCCCTCATCTCTGGCCCAGCTTGAAGAACAAGAATGGACTCGGCGTCCTGTCTGCTCTCTTTGTCCAAGTGCTGGACAAGAGGTCTCAAATGCGTCTCTGCACCGCCCCTTCGACCTTCAAGCCGCCACCAAGAGTCACCCTGACCGACACAAAGAGAGAAGCTTGGCTCAAGGACCTTGCTAACCCAGAAGTGCCATTACGGAAGCTCAGCCGGACCATTCCTCACGGTATCCGCGGTAAGGTACTCCTCGATCATTGCATATCCAAGGACATTCCCATCGCCAGAGCTGTCTGGCTTTCCAAGTGCGTCGGAGCCAACGAGATCCGTGCCTTCAAGAGAAAGGGTATCTCTGGTCCTGCTGCCCTGGCCGGTGAACTCAAATGGATCAGAGAGTGGACTGTGTTTGTAGAACAGTTTGTTGATGGTGTTGTCGTCAGCTGCGGCCAGCCGGGATGGTCTCAAAAGATGAATTATGCTGTCCGTTTGGCCACGCATTTTTATGTTGAGCATCTCCTTGACGAAGAACACTACATGGACTGGAACCTTACTTCTCTCAAGCAGAGCTCTTCTGAAAGACTGCCGGTCTGGATCCTGCTTACCCAAATATACTGGAAACATCTCATTTCTCACCGGAAACGTGGTCATCGGCTTGCAGAAGCCCTTCTTGGACATGCCAAAGCTCTCGCCGCTACACCTTATGGTATCAATCTACAGCTTATCACGCGCGTCAATCAACTCATCACCATCTTGGCCGTTAATCATAGAGGATGCCTGGTTCTACCAAAGACTTGGAACCAATACAAGACCACCTTCGCTGCTGTCAAACCAACAGGGCGAATCAATCTAGAAGCTGACGGTCTGACGAACGTTGCAAGACGCAACAACCGATTATCAGGAGCATCACCACAAGCAACCTCGCGTACTACCAAACTTCGATTGTTGGATATCTTGGACTCTGTCGGTTTAGATGTTCAGATCGATAGGATTGCTGCTCAATGTGAGCTCTTGGGACTCGATACACGGTCGATGCTGGTCACGATACTCGAATGGGCAGCTTCCAAACACCGTTCGGGAATCGCTCGTGTCTATCTTGCCGCACAACTCATTCGATACTGGAGCTTCGCAGGCTTCAGTGCGGACGACGCGGTATTGACGATGCTCGAGAAAGCTCGCAATGACCGCAATGTAGAACCCCGCTTAATCTACAAGCTTGTCTCTGCGCTCGCTCGATCTGGTCACTTCTCAGTTGGCAAGTACCTTCAATGGCTCATTTCCATGGGCGTCTTGTCTGGGGCCAATGCTGCCGCAAGCGAAGCCCAGCTCCTGCTCGAATTACCAACAGCCTATCTCTCTTCTCACATCGTCAATCTGAGGCGCACACTTCTGAACCGTGTTGGTTATCACGCCGATGCAGAATTGCGTGAGGTTGAGAACTACAAGACCGTGCTGTCTCAACACCTTGGCGGCATGTCCTTGCCTAGTCCTGGAATGACTTCACATGAGCCAGCCCTCAACACCAAACCTGTTGGCGCTGTGAGAATGGCAGTAGCCCAATGGCTATGTGAGAGAGTCATGTCGCAAAGCTTCGAGTCCGCCAACGACACCGTCTTCAATGGTAACCTCTCTGCTTTCTGCCTGGTTCGCAATACCTTGGAGCAGTTTGAGGACTACCCGAGCCTGGCTAAGGTACTTGCCGCCGCGTCCAGCTGCAGTAATCCTCAAATACTGGCTGCTGCAGCAGACACTGTCAATATGAATATGGAGATATTCGCCACCATGGGCTTTTTGCCGGCGTTGGTCTCGCAAATCTATCAACAGCAACGTCGCTTGCGATCAAGGCAGCCCCTGGACCGCGCCTTCCTCCTGGCCTTGTCTGGCCTCGTTCATCGCGTACCATCTGGTGCGATGTATGCAAAGACCCTTGACAGCGAGCTTGCAATGTGCGAGATTCAGAGCTCTACCGCTGCATGTTCACCAGCATCTGACAGCATGGCAGTCTTGCAATCTGGCAGTCTTGATTCTAACGACGATATCGACCGAGTGCTTACTAGTGGTAACACAATGGACGAGCAGCTGCTGATCCGGATGTTCTCTACCATTACTGACCGCAGTGTCAAAATGGGATCTGAAGGCTTGTCTCGCGCCAGCACGTGGTTTGCGCAATTGAGGTTATTCGACCAGACCACCTTTGAGCAATTGGTGCAGAAGCTCGTGAACAGAATGGCTGAGCCCGCAGCGCCGTTCGAGGCTGTAGAGGGTATTATTGCCTCCCTGGTTGGATCTAGCTGTCTGAAGCTGGAGACTTTCCACCAAATCTGGGAGAAGAAGCTCAATGCCCTCAAACCTTCAGAGCCTGCGAATGCTAGTCGTATTGCTATCATCTGTGCCAAAATTTTGATACCCTCGACGTCTGTGATGCACAATCAATCCGCCGAAGCGTACAGATACAAAGTCGCGCAGAACTCGTTTTGTCTTGGCCATAAGACAGACATCCTACGCATTATTGGATCTCTGTTGCAATTGAACCCTCAAGCCATTCTGTCAAGGAAGGGTAATGCGCTAGGGGACAAAATCACCTCCCTGCTCCGTCAATACGTTGTTAGCGACCACAAACTGATCTCGCAGGAGCTCATTTCCAAGAACAATCTGATGGGTGTTCAAAATCCTGTACAGCCTCTTTTTGATCATTTGCTAGATCCAGCTTTGCAGGACCAGCAGACAAACATGCCAATCATTGACAAGGTGAACAAGATCGTCGGGTCAACAACGGAGCTCTCTTTGCCATTTAGTCAGCTGGCTCTGCAGCAACTTTCCTCAACACTCTTCGGAGGCAACGGCTTGTCAGAGAACGATAAAGCCAGCCTGGTTTGTACCTTTCAGAGTGCGATTGAGCACACATCCTCGGTCTGGCCTCAGTTGCTGAGTGCACTTGATAAGGATTTGATTCACCACATCCACTCTTGGGCTGGCGAATGTGTTTTGGAAAAGCTTTCTTCCATCATATCTGTCGATGGATGTATGGAGGAAGAGGCTTCCGTGAGGCGATACCTAAAAGCAGTTGAAGCATCTGCACTTGCAGCTTCATCTCAGTCAATGCCCTCGACCGCTTTCGTCATGCTGGCCGAGCAACTCAAGAGGTTAGGTCAATTCGCAGAAAGCATCAGTCCTCTTGATCCCAAGCAATCAGACAAAAAGGTACGCATGGCATTTGGCATCAGTGTGCTGCTACAGCTCACTACCATGCACTATCATACGCTCCAAGATGCGAATGCTCTCGGCCTGGACTTGATCCCCCTAATGGGTGTCCTGTGTGCTCTGCTCATCCACCCAAAGCTGCAAGGCCAGCAAGCTATTCTTGAGCATATCCTTGATGTTGCATCCATGATTTCGGATGACTTGTCTAACGAGCACATGCACACGATCCTACGCAATCTGCCGCCCCAAGCTCGGTGCATACCTCGTCTACGTTACCTCTTCGGAACCCACTCCTCTCCAGACGCCTGGCTGTCGCTCGCCTCCAAGGTTGTTCCAGCCTCCGCAGCTCAACAAAATCCGACGTCTACTCCCCTACAAACCTCATCTTCGCCAGTCTCAGCCACGCAGTCACCCTCGATGATGCAAAGGCCATGGCCAGTGCCTCCTCGACCTGGTATGCCAGCGCGTCCACCCTCTGTCCCCAATACTCCTGTCTTGTCTCAAGCGCACTTGCAACAGCAGCAAGCCCAACAGCAGAGACTTTCTATGGGTATGGGCACAAACAGAGGCCCGGTGGAGCTGAAGCAAACACCATACATGTTGAGGCGATGGGAGCTGATGCCTGACCCGACACCCCTCATGGGTGCCAACGACACTAGTCTGAGCCTGAGTTTGTTCCAGGCTAGAAAATGTGTTTAACCACATATCACCTCACCCGATCTACGAATTGGGTACACATCTAGACTCACCGGTTGATTCCGCATCATCAGTGAAAAAAGTCTTTCCTGCATAAACTTTTGCATATCACACTTACCGCTCATCACTTTTCTTTGTCGTCTTCTTTTCGGAATTGTTCCGGCGTCTTTTTCTTTCAGCGGCGTATTAAGGGTCTGGAGCATTCTCATGTCCTCGGCGTTGTATCATTTTCGGTTAGGGAAGCATATTTTTATCATTGGAATATGGAACGGGAACGGTGGGGTTTTGCTCAGTTACAAGTATACCCCATGGACAGCAAGGGGCAGGGTTTATATGTATATAGCAGTTCGGAAGAGGCTCACTGCAGGATAGGCATCAGGAAAAGAAAAGACAGGAGAGGATAGGAAAGATTGTCTACCCTTCAATGAGAAACCATCTTTATGTTATAGTCATGGTACCAGTGCACAGATTCTTTTGATAAGGTAGGTTCCGCTTTTGCTTCATGCCCATAAAGAGTATTATCAGGTAAGTGTCTTGATTGATGTGTAGTGTTACAGTACATTGTACCTTGGTCATGTGTAGAGCTAAGTCTTTCCCGAGGGTCTTCTAGGACGAAATTAGCCTATCCTCTCCATTCATTGATATAGCAAACGATTTCCTCGCATAGCGGTCGATGCTTCTGCACTCGTCAAACAGGAGACTTGGACGATTTCTGGCAATGCTGGCGGCGTTGGTACCATGGCAACATTTTGGTCAGAGCGCGCCTATCCAGTACACCAATTTTGAAGATGCACTCGAGAAGATGCCTCAGATCTTGAGCTTCAAACCATGGCGTGCGACAGGACCGAAGCCTTTGGTTCCTCTTGATCATCCTCATAGCCATTGCTCCATCTCTCAATAGCGCTTTGCCGCGACCAGACCAGATTGAGGTCATGTAGAGCGTACGGGACAATGCTCTGACAGTAGGCTTGAAGACAATGCCTACTACAACGTTGTTGACTCTCAGAATGATCTGCCTCATCATAGAGAAGATGCTGGTGGAGTGAAAGATAGTGGGTACTGCATGTCTGTCCAGAAGATCCAAGGTATAAAGCAGATCCCGGATTGAGTATATCGTTATGCAGAAGACGCCTTTTGCGTAGATGAGAGGGCAGAATTCTTCGTGCACTAGGCGACAAACACGAAGCAAAGAAGGTAGAGGTCGAGTGACCTCATCCTTGATGTCTTCGTGTTGTTTTCCATAGGATCTGAACTTCCGAGCGGTCATGTAGTACATGTCATCCTCGGGGAGAGTATAGCAGTAAACTTCCATACGAATCTCGGGTGGCAGACCGAGGAAATCGAAGGGCTCTTCTGGCCAGTACAGAAGTTTGAGCTGTTGATACAGNGTCAATGGTTATAACAAGACTGATGCGTTGGGACACAAGTCTCGTACCTTCCGATGTGATCTATGTATGGATCGGCAGAATGCAGTAACGAAAAGGTACAATGCGCATGCTAGTACAAAGAGAATGATCCCGGCCAGACAAATGTATATGACGATTGGAAACGGAATCCCGGCGAGAACAATCTTGGTCACCATCGCCCACGACAGCGCCGGAAAAGTGTGAGAGGAAGAAAAAGGAATGTTGCTCGCGGCAAGAGAGACAAGCAGCGTGCGTTCAGTCGTGGGAGAAAGAGGAGTTTACATGTCTTCCACGGTGTCATATGAAGATTAGACTTGGAAAGAGCTATTGGACCGAAAGCGTCTGGTTTGGGAGCGATCTAGAGCGTTACTACTTCTTCTCTTGACAGGTTTCCATTCTCCATTCATCTTTCGTTCATTCTTGCTTGCTTGTTCCCATTAGTTCTGTTATAATCCGGACCTCTCGAGCACAATGAGTATCTCAGATCTACTCAACAAGCCAGACCTCGAGGTATATCAAAGTCCTTCGCCTTATATGCCGTACATCTCGGACTCACCCTGCAAGTCCTCTCCACCTCAAAACAGTACTGGTCGAGCCATCTCTGGGACCAATGTCAGCTCCTCCAAGACCGACAACTCTGTCATGTCTTCTGTCCACACCAACGCAGCCCACATGAAACAGTCTACCATGACTCCCAATGCCAACATACCATGCATGCATGTGTCAAAGTGCTCATGATATTGACATATTGGCTCACATATGTGCAGCTGCCTCCCATTCATCAGATGAGGTGTCCGACCTTCACGCCGACACCGAGAAACTCACGAGCGCAATTGTCCGACTCGTGGCCATTCATCACAATGAAATCAAAAGGCTTCGCGATGAGCTTTCTGGATCAAGAGTTCGTTCTCATGAGGGGCCCGACAACGCCGGACCTGCAGGTCACCTACTCAAGACTGTGGACTTTGAAGCCCTTCGCAGATACCTCTATGCTACCGGTCGGGTCGACAACACAGTTGAGCATGCCGTTTCGGCCGAGCTTATCTCTGCCTTTTCAGATTTTGTCGAGCTGCAGGTCATGTGGAAAAAGCAGTCTCTCACTATCAATAACTACGGAAGAACATATCACACCCAGCGAGACACAAAGCGAGACAACAAGCAGGATTTTAGGCAGCATGACCAGGACTCCCGATAGCCCGAGGTTTCAGAACCCAAGATTGGCATAACTTGGAGGTATGTATAAGACGGCAGCTTGAATCAACAACTGCATGAGCATGTTCAAACCTCGACAGCAGTGTCAAACATAATCAGGGGTAACCACTTCTATATATTTTCCGATCCCAGTACGATGTGCATGCTTTGTAAAGAACAGGATTGAAGTTTGTGAGTGGGCTATTGTGACCAACTTGGATTTGACACCGAGCTGAGGCTGGTGATATTCAGGGGTCGGCTGGAACAAATCTCCAGTACCGTCCAGCTCATCTGCTCCAAAGAAATCACGAATCATTCACAGAGATTATGGCACGGCTCAAGTTTACTCTTGCAATTTCTTTTTTCATTTTCCCCTCTATTTCGGAAGTCTTTCAAGCCCGGTCTTGTGAAAGTGAATCGAAGCTGGTCTCGACGAAAAGGAGGGAACATGGCTGATGGAAAAGGAAAGGAAGTTGTATGCCGCAGAAAAGTGAGTTCATTCGAGCATGTTTATGAAGATACTGTAGCGATGAAGTCTAAGGCGAGAATGAGAACAAGACAAAACGACACAAAAACTCAATCAAGCAGCCACAAAGTTCCAAAGCACCCAGTTACAGGTCTGAGGCCACGTATCACCGGTGATGAGTTGAATGCTGCTGTAGTTATCCGATGAACAGACGGTACCAGCGATACCACGACCATTGACGCCGCAAGCAACGCCACCATTGGCATCCACGTTGCAGGTAAAGTAAGACTTTGAAGCATCGCCCTGCGGAGCAAAGTACAAGGGCGAAGTGACTGTCGTGGGAGCAAGGGCGAAAGCATAGCCAGCGGCACTGCCACTCTGCACGACCATGTGTTGGTTTGCCTGGTCCACGACAAACTTTGTGGCATCGGCTGCGTTGGAGACCAAGCTGCTTTGTCCGCCATTGCCGGAGATGAAGATGTACTTGCCGTCAGCGCTGGTGCCAGAACTGGTGATCAAGATGTGCATCTGCTTTGATACAGGGTCGGTGGTTGTATATGTTGTGGTGACCTTGCCGTTTTTGGCTGCAGAGACGACGTTGGTGCCGGCTTTGGAGGGTGAGCCAGCTTGCTTCTTGAGCCAACAAGTGCCTGCACCAATCCCATTGCTGCCACCGACATACGTGAAAGCATTGCAGTTTGAATCGGCGTCGCAAGAGGTCATGCAGTCCTTGTACGAGCTCGAAGCAGCAGTGTTGGTGTAGGCGCCCTGAGTCAAGTCCGAGGCGGCGTAGATGTTATACACGTTATCTGCAGCATCGGCAGCGGTAGAAGGTGGGGTAGCGTCAGGTTGGGCGGCGAGTGCTGCAGCATAAGAAGTGGTCATGTAGCCATTGCTGCCAGCAACGAGCACTTGGAAGTTTGCGCGCATCTGACCGTAGTTGTTGGCATTTGCTGCCGCCACGGCGCCGCCCCAGAACACGCACTTGACGTTGATGGAGCTGGGCGGGTCGAGGCATGTAGGGCCGTCAGTCGAGGAGCTCGGATCTCTCTCGTAGTAGATGTTGACCGAGTTGCAGCCCTTGATGGCGGAGCACTTTGTTGTGCAGGTCGCCACATCGTATGATGTCAAAAGAGTGAATCCAAGGTACTGATCAGCAGAGTTGGAAGCATTCAAGCCTGCAAAGGATCGGACCCAGCCAGATGGAGCGGTTGCCAGCGTTGCTTGCGTGGAATAGTATGTGTCGGCAACGAACCCAGCTGCAGTGTCCGGAGATGAGTTGTGGGTGATTCCGGATGGCTGTGGGACACAGGTAGCTGCACGCTTCGAAAGATCGGTGGCACTTGCGGTGGCCTGTACGGAAGCAGATGACAGAGCGACCGAGACATCGCCAGCCGAGTCGAAGACGTTCGTTGCAAGAGGATCAGATGAGGCGGTTGCGGTGACAGCGACGGTGGTCGCGGTGATAGCGGGTGCGTCTTCTGCGGTAACGTAGACAATTGGAAGGTTGAAGACGCTTGTGGGGATAGCCACAGAGATGGCATCGATGTCGATAGAGGTCGTGCTCTGCGCGCTAGCATAGGCGGCAAAGGCCAGAGTAGTCGCGATGGCTCGACGCATGTTGGATATATGAAGAAGCTGTATGAGTCTGTGACTGTAAGAAACTGTATTGATCTGTTGCTGTGCTGGTTGATGACAGTGAGCAATCACATCTGTACTTATACCTTCATCTCATGAGCACTGATCATCACTGCACAGCGCCAGGTGTTCTCCGTTGGATTCTAGCAGGCCTACTGTGCACATGTGCGCGAACAGTCGGGTCTCACCCTTCAGCCGGTTTCGGTGTGGCCGTGAAATGTGACCATATACCAGAACTGTGGCTGTCTACTAGAAAGACTTAGCTGAGTGGTGCGATGCCGTATGGTTCGAGAAGGCGAGTGGTTGCTAGACGTAGCTGGCAATGCTCACAATGGACGTTTCGCGCACGGTGACAGATCGTTTGAGCTGACTCTAGCAGCGGTATAGCCGACGTCCGAGACATAATCTAGACTGCAGGTGCGTGGCCGAGGAACATTCTCCGTTGGAACTGTATTCCTGGCTGTAACGGTTCAAGGAATAGGCCTTTGATACGATCTGATAGAAGTATTTCGTGTAAGAAGAACCAGAGAGGAGAAGAAAGGGTTGCTGCACGAACCCTACTCCGTCAATCTCCGAGACAGCTCATCTCGCGTATACCTGCCCGAGACATATCAGCTCGTGTATAACTGCCCATTTGAGTCACATATACCAGGCCCTTTCCATGTCCTCTCTTGTCAAATCATAGCTAGACAAAGGCACGATATCTCGTCGTAGGGTTAGCTTGCGAACGAGAGGAAGTCGACTACGCTCTTCGCGCCACTGCTCAACCACCCCTTCCCAATTCCAAAACACTTCATCCAGCACCCTCCTAATCAGCCCAGCACTGACACCGCCTTCTTCTCCAATCTCATCCAATACCTTTCCAACACATTTTCCAATATTCTCTTCACCCCTCAACAACCCCGTGATCTCATCCGCAGGTACCCTGGCCACCAAAACCCTGCCTCCATATTTCCTCCACCTGTTCTTCGGACCGCAAACATCAACCATGACATTGCCTCCCACCCTGATCCTAAAGTCCTTGATCATTGCCAAGATCTCCCCGCCTTGCTCGTTTTCGAGTAGGGTGAGTAGTTCAGGTATTCTGAGTAAGGTCCTCGGAACATCGATGTTGAGCACAAAAGCATTGGTGCCATAAAACAGTTCTTGAGATTCGTTACGTATGAGTTTGCAGGTTTGGAGTAATGGGAGGAATGGTGGGGTCAGGCGTGTTTGACAGGGACAGTTATAATGTAATCGTTCGAACACAGCAGGTAGATAGATGGATAGAGGCGAGGATGAAGGCGGAAACGGACAGTATGCTGCCGATGGTTTTGTGAGGATGATCGTTTGGTGTTGTGGTAAGGCGTAACGATAGATCTGTAATCGAATTTCTGGCGGCAAAGCGAGAAGTGGAAATGGTTGCTGTTGCCGTTTCGAGTCCGAAATTTGGGGTCCAAAGACTGCGTGATGGCAAAATTTGACGATCTTCGAGAGATTGGTGTTTGACAAGGTCGCCATTACAATGCTCAGAAGACTGAGCACCAGAGCTGCGAACCACATGATAGGTGTGAGGGTCGAGTCCAGAGCCTTGTAGTTATATTGTTCCGCCGAACTGACTAGTAAGGTCAGAAAGATCCGTTAAGATACGTTGCTGTGTATGTTGGATCATAGAACTGGACAGATAATGCCTCGGATGCTGGTGCCTGGACCTCTGGCAATGGACGAATGATGCGGAATGTTATCACCGCTTATAAGAATTCAATGGCAACATGATAGGTAAAGGCGACTGATGTAAAGTTTTAGGAATTAGAAGTCGCTGCCATGAGATCGTAAATCGTTATGTATGTACATGAGTGTCAAAAAGGACAGGATGTGACGACGTGAAGTCGAGATGCGGAGTGATGCACAAATCCAAGCGTGCCTGAAAATACGCTTGCCCAAAAAATCAAAGTCCAGTCTAATCAATGATCCAAACACCGGCCCAGTCTTTCCAGTTGGCACTCTTCCATTGATATGTAGACATGTTTGCATAAACGCCTGTCTTGTTTTCGAAGTCTTTTGTTCCAAGCTCTACCAATCTGTCAATCAGAGCTTCGGTCTCATCTCGTGTCTCGCCACGATCCCATCCCAAGCTCTTTGCAATCTTGACCTGGCGCAGATTTGGGAACGAGCCCTCATCTAATGTCAAGAGGACGTCAATGGGAGAGAATTTGTCGTCGACACCAGGGTTGCCAGAGTTGGTAAAGGCGAGCATGCGCAGCTTGTGATTGGTAAAGTTGGGAGTATCTTCGGACTGCCACTCTTGAAAGTCGGGGTTGAAGATTGCGGGTGTAATGTAGTCGACACTGACGCTGAGTTCCTCGAGATCAGGGAATAACCCCAACACAGGGTCCAAGGAGCTTATGCCTAGTCGGGGGAGGTGAGATAGTGATAGTGCCTTGAGAGGTAGGTGTGCGCGGGAGAGTGTCGAGAGCAGCTGACGGATGGCGTGGGATTTTGCTTGGGGACAGTGTTCGACCGTTAGACGTTCCAGAGCTGGAGGGAAATGGACGATGCCGTAGAGGAAGTTTGCATCGATGCCACCACTAATATGAAGATCCTTCAGAGCCTGAGGCCAGACAATTGAGTCAGGGTCGACGGTGTTTGCACCGAAGCCAGAGGAGCGAGGGAAGCGTAGTCTCTCCAGGTGGTTCAAGGATCTGAGGGACTTGAAGAGCATGTCCAAAGGCTGGGCTTCGGACACAAGCGATAGGTCGAGGCTGCGCAGATTGTGCGACTTTGATAGGGCGGCATAGCTGTTGATGGCGAAGGAAGCCTGTGGAGCGACAAACTCTTGCAAGCTGCCCTCTGTCCTTCGCAGGACCCTTGCCGTGACACTCCTGCTGCTGTGGTGGACCAGCATGCCCAGGTTCAGGACCTTGACGAGACCGGCCAATGGACTTTCCTTGATGCGAAGATTGATTGAGGGGCACATGGTGCGGTAGAAGGGGTCGTAGTTCTTGCCGTAGATCTTGGGGAATGCGTAGAGGTATGGAAGGGCAGCCAAGTGCCATTGTCGCGAAACGAGGCAGCATGTGTATAGGGACTTTTGCGCTTCGGGCGTGACGGCGACATATTCGACTATCTCGAGGACAAGCTCGTCGGGGAGGTATGCTGGCTCGGTCGCGCGGTAGTTGTGGGTTTTGGGGTCATCGTCTCGGACAGGGAAGTGTGGTGTTTGATCGAGTGACGGGTTGGCGGCGGCGGTGACTGTCTTGTCCTTGACGGCCTGCAGACTCTCGGCCATGGAGATGGTCCAATTGCGCTGCTGGTCAAGCGCCATCTTGGTCCTGCTTCCGTCTCTTGCAGAGTGTTTTCCTGCGTCGTGATTGTGAGTCGATCGTGCTTGTTTGCCGCTGTCTTTGCTCTGGAGATGCAACCAGAGGCCGAGACCCCCACCCCGCACTTTTTCTACGTCACTTTTCATAAAGAATAATTGCACAAATTTTCATCTAACCGTCGACTCCATCTTTGACCATCGCAGACATGCCATGCTGAGGTCTGGTAGTCTAGTAGCCTGGCTGCAGTGTCTTTTCGTGTATGAGGTTTGCGTCGAGGGAGCCTTACTTCCGGCTGGCGACAGAGAACCCTAACAAGATGGCTTCGGACCTGTCGCAAAGCACAACCTCGACCTGATTAAACACAGCAGTCGACGCTGCTTGCCGACGCGCAATCATTTCAAGCCGTGCCCTGTCAATCACTGCTTATCTGTTTCAGCATATGCGATATTGGCCATCTTCACATGCTTGTCGCGCCGTATAACGACTGGTGAGCCGCCGATTTTCTCCTCACCCGCTTCGTATACAGGTACAAGCGCTCGGATCAAGCACACTGCCACACTCAATCACAGGAAGTGCACTCCAGACGCGCAAGCCGAGTCAGATCTTTCACTGCTTGTGTCTCGTATCCGTGAGCTTACCGTGCGGGAGCTGTGTGGAGCTGTGCAAATCACATCCTGGAGTGGTCAAACCCTGCCCGACTCTGACGTAGCCCCTCACCAACCATCCCGAAGATAGATAAAATAGTTCCCCTGCCCAACAATTATTATCCGCATTTACGCACCAAATTCACTCCGTTCAACCCTCAAATCCAACAACAAAAACATGTCCAAAATGTCGAGCCAGGTCGAACCCACTATCGTCACCGCCGTCGAGACTGCTCCTGTAGCCTCTTCCTCTTCCGAACTCTCTCCCTCAGACAACTCCCCTATGCTCAGACGCGGCTCTCGTGCGGCCCCTCCAGAAGGTCTCAACTTGAGCCCCAAGAACAAACTCGCTCCTCCCACTGCCGAGAGACAGGACTTCCCATCACCAGGTGCTGCTCCTGCAGGCCAACGCATTTTTGACGCAAATGCCGTCGCCGAGGACAGGGGTGTCGAGACCGTCCCTGGAGGCTGGGCCAAGGGTGTTGAACAACAAGACGTCGTGGCCGAGGAATACGAGAAGCAGGACGACGCTTCACAAAAGTCATCACCGAGTCTGAAGCAAAAGGTCAAGGACCTGCTTCATCGCGACTAAGCCTTTGGCTCGACCTCAGAAACACACTCTTCAGTCTCACGACCGAACACATCACACGTCCTCATTATGATGGCCTCTGTTTCTTGCATTTTGGAATTAATCAGCGGAGGAGTTCTATGGTTACACAACAATATGCGCCAAGCGCTTTCACATCCCTGCATCTCATCACAGGCATACGCATCTCTCATCTTTCATCATCATCTTCAACTTCATTGTACTTATTTTATCACCATCTATCTAAGATTGTTCTGCCATCCCGACTACATCGAGACCATTGAGTTCTGTACTCTCATGCATGCGTCAGTCGGCAGTCATGTCAACGGGATCATCCCTGTCTTCGTTCTGAGAGCTTGGAGCAGCTAGGAAACAACCCCAGAGTCCATCATAATGCCCTGCTTGATTAATCACACGGAGAACGAACCTATATCTCTGCAGACACGTCCACAGACGCCCAGAAGACACATTTCAGCGACCACAAAACATAGGTTCGAGCTCGCTGCTACAACCCAGTGCATGCTTTCTAACCGACCCACGGGCTTTTTAGACTTGCCCGCTGAGCTCAGGTTCAGGATCTACTACCTTGCCCTGGCAGATCTTTCAGATCACGCAATCATGTTCACAAGCAAGATACATGTTCGGCCTCCAGGTGCCAGCCTTGACCCGCACTCGTTTCCACTAGTCCAGGACCGTCAACGAACAGTTGCTCCAGCCTGCAAACACCAGGTGTACGAACCTGCGATCGCCCATACTACGAAAACTATTCGCAATGAACTACTTCCGCTGCTCTACGTACCCAGTACACCAATCTCCTACGCGTTCCACGCCTGCAGCGCCACTTTGATCAAACAGACCCTTCGCCGCATTCACAGTGAGGACATACCCCTAAAACTTCACCTCGCCACTTTGACCTTTTCTCTACCAAAGCAATTGGACGACACTGGTTTGGCAATCCCATGGCTCGTATCTCTAGCTACTTGTCTTGCGTGGTGTCTGTCCACCTCTTCAATACCGGAGATAATCATTACGGAACCAGGGTTCTACATCAAAGAAGCACTTGTGGCGGTCAACGAAACGACTGCGTCAAACCTTTCCGATCCAAAAGCAAGTTTCAGTCCAAACTTCATCACANAAAAAACCAACGCAGAACTGTCAACCACAGCTACAGATCTGGTGACTTTGTTTCTGGAGTTCACATCTGGCTTACACAGAGAGGAAATGGGAGCAGAAGGACAGAGCATCTTTGCTCTAGCAGACTTCCTGCATGCCCGAGTCGACAAGTGTAGGGGGTGTGTATTGTGGAGGGGTGCTTGGAAGGAGTGTCTGGAGAGGATTTACGGGCATGAGGTTGCTAAGGTCATGGTCAGGGAGAGGAACTTTGAGCCTTTGTAACGTGCGAGGATCTAAGGAGGTAGAAATGGGACGTCTGCTGGATGAGAGGATTCAGATGGCGAGAGCACGTCTATTGAAGTTGTACTGGCAGCAGGTTTCGAACTTGTGATGCACAAGGCTCGGGTAAGAGCGGGGTTCACTCGCCGTATTTAGCCGAAGCGCAGGAAGGACGACCCTGTCATTTCTATCGTTGCAGCAAGATTGTTTCTACCTCGCTGCATTGCCATTCTAGGCCTCTATATTCGTTTGCATGTGAATTCATCCTCTGTATCTAACCATAGATTTTGACATTCACAGGTACAGACAAAGCGAAGTGATCGTTCTCCACTGAGGATCATCTTCAAATGTGGGGTTTGTTATCTTGACATCTCGACTTCCGCCATCACTACCCACAACATCTACAACCTTCAATGTCATTTACCATACATCTAGACTCGGAGAAACCTTGGGACGAACATCACATTATCAAACATGAGCCAAAAAGCAGCATCGTCCACGGTCCCAATCACCGTGCCAGAGATTGAAGAGATCGCCAAAACCAGATTGCCGAAGAATGTCTTTGATTACTACGTATCTGGAGCAGATGAGCAGAAAGCAGTAGCCAGAAACTCCTACATGTTTGACAGGTAAGTCTTGATAAGACTCGGTCTTTCAAGAACTTGGTAGTAATTGTGTATANGACTCCTCATCAGACCGCGTGTGATGATCGATGTGTCGCATATCGACACAAGCACCACACTCTTCGGAAAGCGTCACCCTTTTCCGGTAGCCTTTGCTCCCAGCGCAATGCAAAAGCTTTGCCACCCCAGAGGCGAGCTCGAAGCCGCTGAAGCTGCAGCAAGGACTGGACTATCCATGTGTCTGTCTTCCCAGTCCACGACCAGCCTCGAAGACGTGGCAAACGTGTGCAACATCTCGAATCGTGATGGTCCAGACTTTTGGTTCCAACTCTACCTCACTCAAGACCCCGAGTACAGTCTCAAATTGATCAAACGTGCCGAGAAAGCTGGTTACACCGCTCTCGTACTCACCGTAGACACACCAATCCTCGGCAACCGCATCAACGAAAGAAAAACCCCTCTTGTTCTCCCTGAAGGCATGCACCTGGGAAACTACGAACGTCCCAAAGAAGGCATCAAAGGACCTGCTACGGAGCGCGTTTTCCTCAACGCTCACACAGTCGACGAGGCAAACGAGATCATCAAGAAAGCAGGGCCCACAATGCATAGTTCGACCCTCACTTGGCAACACACTATTCCCTGGCTTCGCAAGGCGACATCGATGAAGATCTTTCTCAAAGGCATCATGACAGAGGAGGACGCAAAGCTAGCGGTAGAGTATGGTGCAGATGCCATTGTTGTTTCCAACCATGGTGGAAGGTGAATATTCTCAAAACATCTTGTTGTGTCCATCGTTAATGATACCAGACAACTGGACTTGGTCCCCGCTACCATCGAAGTCCTCCCTGCAATCGCCGAAGTCGTCGCTGGACGCATTCCAGTAATCTTCGACGGAGGCATCAGACGCGGAAGCGATGTGTTCAAGGCAATCGCACTCGGCGCCGATCTCGTCCTCATCGGTCGACCTGTTCTTTGGGGCTTGAGCTACGATGGAAAGAAGGGAGTCGAGGCTGTAGTCAACATTCTCGAAAGAGAGCTTTCGCGCACCATGACTTTGGCAGGTGTCAGATCCATCAAGGAGATTACAAAAGATCATTTGGGTATTGCCAAAAAGGATGGGTTTGGTATCTCCAAGCTTTAGAGGAGGAGTAGCTTTTATAGTCTGAGATTGGAAGATACTTTCAGACCTTCCATTCTGATATTTACGCAATCAACGACATATTCAACTCGATGTGGAGTTTGTCAGCTGATAGGACTGGAAGCTATCTGGACATTGAATGAAGCAAAGTCATGATTTTGTGGACATAGCTGAACCCCAGTATCTCCAGTACATCCAATCAATATTGATACTGGCAAGCCAGGCTCTTCCACTTGCTTCCCCGTCTTTCACATATAATATTTGTTTTGTGACGTTCTGGCTTTCAATCTTCTCCACGCTTGGCGTATTTTGTCTATATGCCGTCTTGATTTATTCGTGCGCTTTGGCTTTGCCGGTCGAGGTTCCGGAGCCGCGTCTATAGCAGAGCTATTCACTTCCTCTGTGGCAAGTGAAGATGCATGAGAGATTGAAGTATGAGAGCGCGGTGTAGAACAAGATGGTTTGGTGCAGGTCGGTGTCGAGGAATCTAATACGGGAAGGGCCGTCGTGAGTGGGGTTGGTGTCGGAGGAATTCGATCGAGAGGCGTCGAGATCGGATGGTTTGAGATACATGAATCCATTGAAGATCCTGCTGTTGTGTCTGCTGTGGGCGTCTCAAATTGCACGCATCCGGGATCCGCGTCGTCCATCAGGTTGCAACCATGCTCACTCCGGTATCCTAGCGACCGAAACGTCTCGAACAACGGACTAGTATTCTGGTGGGTGATGAATCGATCCGGCATGACCGTGTCAGAAGTTGCTGCCTGCCAACTGGGCTGATGACTCCACTCGCAAGTACCTAGATTAGTCCAGGATTCGGCAGCCATCTCGTAGGATTGGTCTTCTCGATGTTCAAGACTGAAAGAAAACTCTGTCAGACAACTCGTGCACCGATTTGTGTCACCGGGACTGAATAGTTCAAGTCGTGGCATTGAGGTTTGCTCGATCAAGGCTTTCAATCCTGTGTTAGTGAGTTCTTCTATCTTGTCCCTGCTCTCAGCGTGAGGACACACTTTCAATACGACGCGTACACCTATGCCTTCGTGTACCCAGGCCTGATCTGCGCATTGGGCGATTGCACTGCTGACATGCATTCTCTGTCTAGAATGTATCATCAAGCATCCGCTAACAGCCTTGAACCCGACCATCAATTGGACGTCGACCGGAGCCTGCAGTTCCTCATCGCCCTGCCAGCAGTTCACCCTCCCAGTGCACCAGCTTGAGTTACTTCTCGGTAGCAGTGAGAGTGATGGATTTCCTCTCCGGTGGCGATTCATGATCCACTGCGCATCTGAGAAATGTAGTTGATATCGCAGACCCAAAAACGTGAAAGCCCTGCCTCTAACAGTCGTCCAGCCACAAGTCCTGGACAAGTCTTTTGTGCAAAGCCAAGGCTCTGGGATAGGAGCAAGAGTCTTGTGTGGGTAATGGAAACATTGGCAGGTGTCGCAGAGTTGTCTGGCAGGCAGATCTCGTGCCAGTATCTGCAGGAAGAGGTATTTCTCATGGTTGACCAGTGGAAGCGGTGGACAAGTCGATGTTTGCGATGTGTCTTGTCTACAGCCGCAGCGATTCTTCTTCGGATCAAAGCCACGGACCCAGATGCCTCTTAATCCTTCGGAGTGGTAAAATTTCTTGCATGTCAAGACCAGACATATCGTGCTCCGTGGTGCTAGGAAGTCAGTTACATCGAGTATGACTTCAAGAGGAAGATCGGGCAAGGTCTTGGGCGCCATGTTGTCATCGCAGGAAGGATGTTCCTCAGAGAACGGAGTCGGAAGAGTATGTAAATCGAGCAAGGGTCGAACCTGTTGAGCTCAGCTGTCGCAAACTAACTCACTCATTTCTTTTTACATTCAGACCATCCAACACCAGGTTCGATTTTTACCAGTGGCTGTATCGAGAAGTCCTCGGCAGCGAAAACCCGGGACATCATAAGTTTGTTGCATACTCGCTTCGATGTGAGAGCTCGCCAGAGCTTACCGTCGGCATTACAGACGACTGCAGCTATCTTGCTGCAGGATGCGATGCATGCTGTTTTCATCGGATCGGATCAGCGAGTGCATGCCTGTTTACAGATGTTCTCATCGGCAGAACATGATGAAAGTGCATGAACGATCGTTGGTGGTCGCGATATTGATTGGTAAAGGCACAGCCAAGAATATTGCAAACGAAGCTTGGACTTTTTATCGAACGCACCTGCCGTGGCTGTGCGCAGCTCTCATATCAACTCTTTACAACCCGGACGTGATTTTGTTGGGAGTCGCCAACTAGTATACGTCAACTTCTCACCCGCACTTCATGTGCTCACGAACGTTGTGCAGTTCGGATGCTACGGTGATCTTGCAAGTGGAAGAGGAAGCATACGCTGGATACGAGAACCCCTTGCGTTCGTTACAAACGTCTATGCTCATTCAACCACAACCATTTGTCTCTGTTTGCTTTCTTATCCACAAGCATCATTGTCTCGTTAGTATCAGCGAAATGAATGATTGAGCTTGAATTCTTACAGTCTAGAAGTCACGTAATCGAAGTTTGCATGGTACTGTACCTTGTTCGTTCCGCCAGACAACGATCAGCAAGACGACATGGTCAAGTACATGAAGGATATGTCAGGTGGCATGTACAATTTGAAAGTTGATGAGCTCCAAGATGTGAAAGAAGGGATGACTGTGGTCTCATCGTGCTACGCGAGACTCTTTGAGGAATCTTAGAATTGACAGTCACGTAACATTGCTGAGATCTGCACGTCAGGCTAAGAGAACAGCAGGAGACAAACACTAGGTCTATGGAATCTATTCTGACGCACAGTTCCCCAAGGCGCAAGAAGCATTGTGTGATAACATACTGACTAATCACAGAATCACTAAGAAAGGATCCAGGTTATGAGAACGTGTTGTGACATCAAAAGATCAGCGACCTGCTCATCTTCCGGCTCATATGTTTTCTTGTCTTGATCGGTGAGACGATAGACGAGGACTAGTCTACAGCCATCATGCCCAACGGACTTTAGCTCGTTTACACAAGGAGCAGCAAAGTCATAGTCGAGATTCCCTGGCCGCAGGCAGCAAGGTACTATTTTCGTATATTCCATTTTTACGTGTTTTACTCGTGTTGGGAAAGAGCACCCTGTCGGCTAACACTGTTCAAGCGTACCTTCCTAGACAAAGAATCTCAAGCCTCTTTCTCGTCGAGCTTATATCCTTGCAACCTAATTATCTGTCAAATGTCATGAACATGGCATCACGGAGCGTACGCTCCCCGAGGAGACTCTCGGCTCCAAGAACCACCAGCAGTAACCCCGAGCTCTCCTTGGACTATGTGGAAGAGCTTCTATACGTCTCCACGTCTCCAGACACTACCAGCGACTTACTACGTACCCGCGCAGCATCGGAATCTATCCCAGTGGCTGATGAATCGGAAGCGAGCTCTCAGACCGCTTCACTTTCTCGAAACACACCTGTGGCCAAGCATGTGTACGGTCGCTCTTGCCCTGATGGTATCTCAGGCTGTCACTGGCACCATCAACAAACTCAGTACTGTCACATTCCATGGCAACATTGTGCGCTTGCTCGTACGTATCACGTCCAAGCACATAACCAACCCCACAAATCCATCGCTGACACAGGCTCTANNGTAAATGCGATCAAACAATCCTATCGCGCGGGCGGTGAGTGGATAGGCGCACCAGAAGGATGGAACAAGGCACATGAACCTTGCCTTGTGACTGCGAGAAAGTGTGAGATACACGCGGAGGTTGACGGAATGCATGTGGAGGAGCAGAGAAATAAAAAGTATCCAGGAAAGCCTAGGGTGAGAGGGAGGCAGAGCAGAGGGACTGGTAATCAGAAAAAGACCTGAGATGTGTGAAAGCAGCAGGAGCAGTGCATGTTCGTGACTCGCCACGAAAGTGCGATACCTCGCCACAATGGGCCGGATAAAACTTGAAAACTCATAGTGCTGCTGGTTTAACTTCAAAAGCCGATATATCGTAGGGTGATCGCGAACTGACAATACATGAAACCACTTCCAGCAGATAGTATGATGCTTGGGCCGCGAACACCGTCAACATGGCGTCTGACTTCGATCAGATTGTTCAGCATGGAGATATGTCTCTCTTGTGACCGAAATTGATCAACGGGCCCAACGCACTAGCTGGTTCATGCTGTCATCTATATTGAACAGGATGGTTCTGATTGTGTTGTCATAGCAATGCTTGTATTAACGACTAGATTCCCGAAGACTTGGGATCGTGTTTGTCTAGACACACGGTATAATTGTACAGAAAACAGTTACATAGAGTGTCATAAGATTCTACCGGCGCTCCACATCATGACCAGGCAGCTCAGCAATGCCCGTACCATCTACTTCTGTCGGATGCGTTTTAGAAGGCAATTCGCCGAGTTGAAACTTGTTCGGCCCATCCGAAGGCAGTTCTCCGATGTGCGCACTCTCAACTTCGAAGACAGGCGGAGACGAAGCCTCCATCGCTCCCTTGTCCTCGTATATTGGTGCTTGTTGTCGCCCATTCTCGTCCTCGTCGAATGAGACAAGTGCGACATCACCATACCCAGCCTTCGAGTGACGACGGCGGATATAGAAGAATACAGCTGCGGCAATAATAGCGAGACCTGCCACTACGCCTATGGCGATTCCTGCGATTGTCCCACCAGAAAGGGAAGCAGAGTCTGATTTTGAGTCTGAGCCGGAACTGGAGCCTGAACTTGAGCCAGAGCCTGAAGAGTTCAGCCCAGTCCCGCTGGAGGCTTTGAGTGTTCCGTTCCATGTGGACAGCCAGTCCGGAGCACTTGGCATCTCGGCGATCGTGGTGTCGTTCTGTTCTATGATAACAGGTCTTGACGGTATCGTCGTGTTCGGTCCCGGGGCTTGTGACAGCCAGGTAGTGTTGGTTTCCCAGTTTTGCACTAGAAGTGCTGCTTGGAGGAAGGCGCGACCAAGATGGTAGGGCTGACCTTCATGAGGAGTAAATGGCCTGCATGGGAAGTACGGTGTCTTGGTTGATGCAAGAGGCGCATCAAGCTCTAGATCAAGTAGAGAGAATGGTACGTGAAATTCTTGCTTCTGCTGAGTAGACTCATCACTGAATGTGAATGTCAGGTACGTAAATGTTGTGGTAATCTCGTCGTATTGGCGAGAGTCCGACTTAGTGTCCCATAGATAAAGTCCCAAGTTCTCGTCATAAGTAACGGGGAGGTACTTTGCGATTGCGTCGCAGGTAGCGCGTGGCAGATGGAGGTATGGAACACCAGGATTGGCCAAGACTTGTAGTGATTCATCACCCGTAAGCAGTCCCGCAGAAGCATTGGTGTTGGCGCCATGTGCAGCCAGGAAGGGCCAATCAGTACCATTGGTGCCAACAGAGATGTTAGTCAGTTTGAAGGTCGTATTTTGAGTGGTGATAGGCTCGGTCAAGCAGCGAGACCTGTCATAGCCACCCAGAATCAGACTGGGTTCGACATCAAGACTTGGAGACCCAATTTGAAGCCCGTAAGAGAGCGATGAGATTAGCTTATTCTGCTTTGCGGTGGCCAACTGAAGGTATTGCGTATGGTTGAAACCAGTGGCATTTAGCCATGTATTGTTGCTCTCGGCGCCATACAAGGAGAAGAAACCAGCGTTCATGGTGTACAGCTGACCACCAGGAGAATTTACGGTAAGATTGTGCGTCAAAGTAATTGCTTGATCGTTCAAGGAATTCGAATCGTTGTTGGTATTCCACACAATGGCTCTTTCATGGACCCATTGCACGTCGTTTGTTAGATTTAGAGGCCATGACACCGTTTCGTCCCAAGAGTCACCATCAAACAGGTCGCCGTCCATATAGAGAAATGGTACGTGACCTGCTGACGATGTCCACATAGGCCAGTCTCCAGATTGTACTTGGCTTGGGCATACCGAGTCTTGTCGCGAACAAGCGTCCGCTGCGACCAAAAGAGAAGTCTTTGTTAAAGACGGCAGCATTGCGAAGGTTTGCAGCGGACTGACATCCCACGAGACGTTCAAGGCGTGCCAGGGCTGAACTTGTTAGCAGGTTTTGATGATTGCAGCACACATATCGCTTACTCCATCAGGACCAACTATGCAGTGTCAATATTCACAAACAGAGCCGTTCTTCGGGATGTTTAGCCTACCGGGTGTCTCGCTCCATTTTGTGACCCAAAAATCGCTCGCCAGGCAAGTTTTCGCAAGAAGACCGAGAGCAAGTATTGACAACATGTGAGCTATTCAGTCGTGGTCTTCGAATTGTACTGCAATGTCTGATTGTAAGGTCGTAAGGACAACCACAGGCGTTGCTACTTGTATACGAGAAAAAAGTCAACGACCTAAAAAGCTGCTTACAGCCCCAATTGCAAAGAGCTGACTAATCATCTTGCACAAGGTTTTAGATTGTGAGTCGACAGGGCACAGGACTACTGGACCTATTATTGTAGAGGATTGGGGCGGTAATGCATGAATAGATGAACTAATATTCGGACCATTTGGAAAATCAGGCTGTGCAGCAGCCTGATTCGCCGACCTCGAAAGAGCGATGGAGTTGGTTGTTTGAAGAAGACCATAAGCCTCTTTAAGGCTGTGTTGTACTTTGACAAGACTCAACACAACGATAGTATAGGGATGAATGAGGTGTTCTCATCCCGTACGAACTTCGTGACCAGAAATGGTGTGTCGAACACAAAAAAAGCTCTGGGAGCTGCAGGTGTCCTTGAAGCTCAGTCCGGGCGTCGACAAGGATTGACAATGCCAAGACTTTCGGCGGACGCTTCCCTTCCATGTTCCTTCCCAGAACAGTCGAACAGCTAAGGAGAAAGAACGGCTATCTCAATCGACAATCCAGACAGCCGCCGTATACATGAGATATGCCCTCACTTTCAGTTACTGTTCTTGAGGCTCTGTTGTGGTTTCGATACAGCTATGTGTTAATCTTAGTGATTCAGACGTCGTGCATGCGATACGCAAAGATCAGGTATCACCATGATCCTCAACATCTTCGTCGAGACATCCATACGAACAGGGAGCTCAGCAAAGAGGTTCGATTAGCTTGAAGGAACTGCTGATGACTATATGACCACCGTCCAGTCGATAAATACACGAATCATGATGACTATGGCCGATGTGAAACAAAGCAAGCAAAGATGCCAGCCAAGAGGAAGCTGCATGTTGGCGAACTGTATGACGACTCAAGACATGCCACAGAGGCTTGTTTGCTGCATGTGCTGACCATGATGACCGTTGGTCGTTGCATATCCTGAGCCGTCACAGCAAGTGAGCAGACAGAAGACTCGCGAATCATCCGTAAGTGGCGCGATAGCGCTGTGATACAACACTGATAGTGATGCAACTTCACAGACATTGGTTGGACGTCGATGCATGCCGTTTCGCCACCTCTTGAACTTCGCAGCCTGATGCCGTCTAGGTGTCTTGGGCCGATTGACTGGGCGAATAGCAGTCTCTGGCTGCGCTCGGACAATGGCGGTATACATGTACGACTGGTTGATCGCGAAGCTGGTTAGTCTTGTGCCACAAGAGTCAGACCTTCCTGTCTTGTGTCGTTAGACCGAGTCGACCCAAGCATATGGGACGCCAATTTGCGAATCGCGTCTGGACGCTGGCGACAACGCCGTGTTGGGTTTCGACATAAGGTGCAATCAGTGATTAAGCGCGATGCAGAAGGTCAGCAGATGAACGAAGGAATGGTTGCATCCTACAGCACCGGCGCATCGATAAATGGTGTGGTTATTTGATGTCAAACATGACAGCAGAAATGATTGTCCTTACGGACCTGCCCGATTCGAGCGTAAAGTGAGAAAGATAGGGTTTCGCTTGATCTCTTGGCCCGGCGAAGCCACAAAGATAGGACCGAGGCTGTTGGTGGTTGTCGAGTTCACGTGCTCCAGGACCCTTTCCTCGCCTTAACAAGTCAAGAAATTGGATGCACAGCTAAAGCTGTACGCCCGTACAACCACCCGCCGGCATCCCTCATAGCTTGAAGATACAGTGGTACTTTGCATACTAAGGAGAGCCGGTAAAGACTCATCATCCTTCGCCATCTTGGCCTTGCTTCTTATCGCGGCCAGGATCGAAATACGAGGGTGATTCAGAACCCCATGGAGTGATGCTCGATCGGGTCGCGTGAGAGTCCTTTCGCATACTCGCCCACCAGCCGCCCTACCATTGACAAGTGCCTTGATCACCAGAAGCACAAGGATACAGGCCCTACAGCTCCGGTCACGGCAGTCACAGTCAAGGACGAGCAACAGTCATCCATTTCGGACCGCGTTTCGTGACACGCCTCACGCGAGGTCGTCTTTGAAACCGTGGAAACCACCGAGATCCCCGTCCTCTCAATTTCTCTTTGCTAATATCTCTGGGGTCAAACGTCCGTGTACAAAGGGTCTGTGGAGAGGCCTGAGAACAATTAACCGAGTCTGTGGATCAATCACCAAAAGCAGTTCTCGAACGAAACCCGCGCGGTGATTGTCACAAGCGACCAACAGGTGTCCAATGGACAGTTTCCATGACTCAATTTGCACGTTGTCTATCTACGGTCTTCGTGCTTTTTATGCGCGCGTGTGGCTCATTATCCGCCATGATGAGGTCGCATTCTACCACATGTGGAAGGAGGTAAGAGCAGATCTACTTGGCGGACAAGCCAAGCCTGGGCAGGATCATTTTCGCAACAGTCCCGGAATCCTCGCCTATCATAAACCAATATATGCACCCCGTACTAGGGCCTTACGGTAGGTTCTGGACGCCATGATGGACAGTTCAGAATGGCCCGTATCTGCGGGCTTATCACACGCCACAGTGCGTTTAGGAGTGATAGTCGACCTGAAGAGCGCTGGATAAATATGCCTTGCCCACCCCTTCGTTCTTGTGCCATTGTATCTGTGTCATTCACGAACAACAGTCATCATGCCGAACGTTGTAGAGGTCCAGGCTGAGGTATGATAAAAGTACTCAGCATAGCTAGTTGGTCATGTTGCTAATGTACTACCACAGCCTATTGGCGGTGCCATTGATGTCAATGAGAAGCAACAGGCCGCTCTGTCTGTTAACTCGATGGACAAGGAAGACAGATTCGACGAAAAGGATCCCAACCTCGTCAAGGCCGAAGAGGACACAGACTACGACGAAGGCACCATTGCTGACCCTTTCGCCCCCTACGATGACCTGCCCGAGGAGCGCCACTGGGTCGTCACTTTCCGTGCCATGCTTGTCGGATGTATCTGTGGTGCTCTTGTCAACGCATCCAACATTTACCTCGGTTTGAAGACTGGTTGGACTTTCGGTGCCTCGCTCTTTGGTGCCATTATCGGTTTTGCTGTTCTCAAACCTCTTGCCAAGGCTCTGCCAGAGAACTTCCCTCTGTTGGGTGGATCCTTCGGTCCTCGCGAGAACAACATCGTCCAGACTGCTGCCACTGCTGCCGGAGGTCTCGGCTCCGTCATGGTCTCTGGTATTCCCGCCCTTTACCAACTGAAGCTGCTCAGCACCCCCAAGGAGGACTTCGGCAGACTCATCTCATTGACTATCGTCGGTGCCTACTTCGGATTCGCTTTTGCTACTCCTCTCCGCAAGTTCTTCATCATCTACGTCGCCAGAGAGCTCAACTTGATCTTCCCTACTCCTTCAGCTTGTGCCTTGACCATTCGCAGCATGCACGCCGCAGCCACTGGTGAGGCCATTGCCAAGCTGAAGATGAAGGCTTTGAGTTACTCTTTCGTCTTTGCTCTCGTTCTGCGTGTCATTTCCCAGTACGCCATTGGTATCCTCTGGGACTGGCACATCTTCACCTGGATCTTCATCTGGGGCAAGTACAACAACAACGCCATTGCCCTTGAGAACTGGGGTTGGTTCATCGAATGGACTCCTGCTTTCATCGGTTCCGGTATGCTCGTTGGTCTGAACGTCGCCCTTTCTTTCTTCGGTGGAAGTGTTCTCGCTTGGGGTATCATCGGCCCAGCTCTTGTCCACCACAACATTGCTTTCGGTGTCAAGCCCTATCCTGAGGACTCTAAGTGGGCCAACGTCACGTCTTTCTACTCTCTCAAGACTCAATGGGCGAACAAGGACACTCCTAGCCCTCGTTACTGGCTCCTCTGGCCCGGCGTTTTGGCCATGATCATCATCTCCTTCACCGAGCTCTTCCTCCAGTACAAGGTTTTCTTCATCATGTTCAAGGCTATGGGCCGTGGAGCCGCAAAGGGCTTCAACGCCATGACCTCCAAGACTGGTGGACCCACCCTCAATGTTACTGATCAGAAGGAAGAGGATGTTATCAAGGACTCTGCCGCCGATCACGAACTCGTCAAGATTTGGATGTGGGGACCCGTTCTCATTCTCAGTATCATTGCTTGCTGCATTGTTCTCGGTGTTCAGTACGATATGCCCGTCGGCATGTCTCTCCTCTCCGTCTTCTTGGCCTTCTTCTTCGCCATCCTCGCTGTTCAGTGCGCTGGTGTCACCGATGTCACTCCCCTGACTGCCGCTTCCAAGGCTTCTCAACTTGTTCTCGGCGGTGCTACCAAGGGTGAGCACTGGATGACCGAGCATGCTCAGCGCCTCAACCTGATTGGTGGATCTCTTGCCTCCATCGGTGCTGGTCAAGCTTCCGACTTGGTTGGTGACTTCCGTGTCGGTTACCTCCTTCGCACTTCTCCCTTCCAGCAGTGGGTTGCTCAGGGTCTCGGCACGATCGTTGCCTGTATCCTTGCTCCTGCCATGTTCATGCTCTTCAGCAAGGCCTACCCTTGCATTATCGACGTCGAGGCTGAGACCTGCCCCTTCTCTGCCCCAAGTGTTGGTGCATGGCGCGCCGTCGCCGTCGCTGTCACCGACCCTACCTTCCCCGTTCCCAAAACTTCGGGCTACTTCGCCATTGCATTCGGTATCTTCGGTGGTGTCATGGTGGTCATCCGTCACTACGCATACACCGGCAAGTGGGAAAAATACAAGGCCTACCACCCCAACGTCATGTGCATTGCCCTCGCTTTCGTCTTGAACGCCACCGTCTACGGAACCGCCATGGTCATCGGCGCCGTCCCCGCATACTTCTGGGCCAAGCGCAACCCCCAAAGCTTTGAAATTTACGGTTTCGCCATCGCCGGTGGTCTCATTGCCGGAGAGGGTATTGGTGGTGTCATTAATGCCGTCTTCCAGATTGCGGGTATTGCTGGACCCGATCCTTACGGTACCAACATTGCCTGCCCTGGTGACTCTTGCTAGAGTGGTCTTTTTGTACTAAAAAGTCAATGGAATGACAATATGTTTATAATGGGGGGCTAGGAGGGTGGATGATACCAGTTTTTCTTGTTTGTGTTTCCGCGTCACGACGATTTTATGCCGAGTTCGACGTATCCTCTATAATGTTTCTCTTTCATGAATGGAAAAATTTGTTCACATCATTCACTGTTCCTGGTTCTTGTGATAGAGTGTAGTTTCAGGTGTTTAGACGATATAATCAAGGTAACCCGGTCTCTCACGTTGCATATCGATATCGTTCTGTAACTATGATTGACTCCCAGAGAAAAAGGTCACCCGCCATCCAACCACTTGCGCAAGACAGGATTGTTTTCCTCGGTTATACGCTGGGGTTCCTCTGTCTCGCGACTATCCCTTTCTGTTGCTGCCATCAAGACACGAACCCGTCGCTGACCAGTATGTATGTCTTGTGTTTCAGCCTCCTTCGATGTGACCCTACGGACTATCGGGCGGTCAGGCTGTTGGGCAGCTTCGGCAGGCTGAGCTGCCTTCACGGATGAGCGTGGCATCTCTGTCTTTGATACTGCGACCTTTCTCATAATTGTGCGATTAGGTTGAGCAGAGACAGGTGGTGACAAGCTCTTGCTGTCTTCCTTCTCAGTAAATCTCGGTGCATTAGTCACATCGCGTGTTTCCATGTGCTTGCTTATGCGGGGCTTTGACTCTACAGAACTCGCCGCACCTGTAGTGAGTGGTTGGGCTGAAGTCGTGTCTGCGTGGGCTTCATGCTGGTGTGTGTCTGTCATTGATCCGACTTTCTTGTCATTCTCTGGAATTCGTGTCTGGTTGCTGCGCGATCCTGCAGAGAATGTAGGTGAGATTGAGAAGTCGTCATCGTCGTCATTCCATCCATCATCGACAGGCTCAAGATCAAAACTCTTCCTCTTGCTGGGAACAGAGACATGGCCGGCTTGATCGATAAAAGACGTGGATGGATGAGTGAGAGGTTGTTTGTCCTTGACTAAGGGGAGTCTCTTGAAAGGTGGTGGATTGCCCCCGGTTCCTTTGAGCAACTTTTGTGCATCGTCTGATCGTGCTTTCAGTCCCTTTACGAAGGGGGCCTCAAGCCAAACATTTCTGTCGGGATCGGACGCTGTAGGAGCAGGAAGACCGAGGTCTTGACCAGTCCGTAGTCCGTCCCCAGGAGCTACTCTCGGTTGAGATCGCCGCTGGGGCTCTACCGATTTTGCGTTCCTGATGCCTCCAGTTGCAGCAGCATCGAGATCGTGAGGTTTTGGATACAAAGCGGATGCTGACTCGACGGCAAATTTCCCAAAGCTGGTTGCTTGAGGTGCAGCCGCTCTCGCAGCTTTTGCCTTCTCCTCGGCGATCTTTCGCTCCCTGACTGCGGCTTTGTGATCCTTGTATCGTTGCTTGGCCGGATCGACCTTTCCTTTTGCATTGGCGACTGCATTGACATAAGCACCAGGATTGTTTGTATGTTGGACAGTCATTAGAAGAAGGGCTTGCATTGTATAGGCAGCGTCATTTCCCGCGTTGTGAAGGTTTTCTGGTTGAACTCCAAGGCCAGCCATCAGCCTGCTCAGGCCGACGGTCTGCTTCTTGGATCCAACAAACTTCTGGGTATCGACATCTTGGATAATATTGCCTTTGGCGTGAGGAGCGAAGCCGAGCTTATTCAAGTAGGCCGTATCATTGGAGAGACCATGACCGACAAGAATGAGGTTCCTGGACCCTTGGTCTGATGCACGGATTGAATCAGGTGAAGGATTGTCAAACAGCTGAGTCAAAGCCTTGTGAATATGCTTCAATGGAACGACTTCAGAGTTGCCGAAATTGAATTTGTCAGGGCAGCCATGAACGAAACGTTTGTTGACGAGGCGCTTATGTTCCTGAATGATAATATGGCGAGTATTGATTTTTGAGAGCCACTCCATACCATCAGGACCAGGATCGCTGCCTATGACATGACGAGAATCCAAGACAGACACGCCGACCTCAGTGATTTTCTCTTGGGAGAATTCATAGGCCTCCAAGTCAACACATACAAAGACAGGCTCGGCTGCTTTTAGGCGTTGTAATCGTTCGAGCTCCTTAGGTTTGGTCTTGAGCGAATCATCTGAGGCGTCCTTGAGACCGAAGATGTGTTGCATAGTCAGAAGCTCTGCCTCCTTTTGAGAGTTCATGGTGTCTTCCTCGGGCTCTGCCGCGACTACTTCGATAGATGGTGGTGCTTGTTCAGCAACAATGGCTTTTGAGATGGTATCCTTAGGTGATTCGATAGGTGCTGATTCGATTGTCGAAGGCTGAAGGTTAGGTCTAGTGGCCTCGAGGAAGCTCAGATTGCGGCGAACGGTCCTAAGGGGTATGGGAAACCCAGAGGAGGTAATGAATGGTAGTTTTACAACAGAGCGAGTCACCCCATTTTTTAGGTGCAATACTCGACGGGATATCATTCGCCACTTCTCGATATGTCGCAACGCATACACGATATAGGCCCAGCTAGACAAATCTGCCCAAAATGAACTTTTGGATCTCGATGAGAAGGAGCGAAGCAGGCAATTGATGCAGGCAAAAGACATCAAGGTCAAGATGGGCAATGACGGCGCCTCGGGAATGGGGTCCGTGCGCTCGCCGCATCTCCAAGTCGATCATGCAGTTGGAGCAGCGGCGAACGAGAGAGAGAAAGCATTTTCTCGTCACAAACCACAATGGCGACAACATCACTACCGCGAACTGCCCTCCAGCGCAGCTTTCTATCCGCTCGCCCCTCGCCGCAATGCCTGTCGCAGCGCATGTCCTCCCGCCTCGGCCAACCCACCACTCGCACATTCTCCAAGAGCTCGACAATGCGCTATAAGACTGTAGAAGAAGCAAAGTCGCGCTACCGATTCGGTCCCTTCAGCTGGCAAGCTGGTCTCCTCTTCCTGGGTGCAGGTGTCGGCATGGCCTTTTACTTCAGCTACGAGAAAGAACGCATGGCCCGCAAGCGCATCGCCGAGCACAGCAAAGGTGTCGGTCGTCCTCTGGTCGGTGGTCCCTTCAAGTTGATTGACCAGGACCGCAAGCCCTTTACCGAGCAAAACTTGAAAGGAAAATACTCGTTGGTCTACTTTGGCTTCACACACTGCCCGGACATTTGCCCTGAAGAGTTGGACAAGATGGCTGGCATGATCGACAATGTCAAGGCAAAGCACGGTGATGTTATGAGACCCGTCTTCATCACTTGCGATCCTGCGAGAGACACACCTGAGGTCACAAAGGAGTATTTGAAGGAGTTCCACGAGGACATGATTGGTCTGACCGGAGACTATGACGCTGTCAAGGCTACCTGCAAGGCTTTCCGTGTCTACTTTTCAACTCCCCAGAACGTCTTGCCTGGCCAGGACTATCTTGTCGACCACAGCATCTACTTCTACTTGATGGGTAAGCCACAGGACCTTCAGAGGAGAGATACAGCTACTAACCTCAATCACANNGACCCCGAAGGAGACTTTGTCGAGGCCATTGGCAGAAACTTCACCGTTGACCAAGCATCAAAAGTCATCAACGACCACGTCGCAGACTGGAGAGGCAAGATTGACAAGTCTTCTTAGAATTGCTACCCGCGATCAAAACTGTACGAATATAGACGCCATGTAAAACCACCTTGTACAACACAAACAAAACCATGTAGCAACTTTCAAAATTCCCGTTCACAGCCGAACTCTCATAAACACAGCAGTATACATATTCTACACAAGGTCACTCAGCCCATGTCAATTATCGCGACACAGACACAGCTCATGAGCTCAGACGATGTGGCTGGCAAACGGCCAGTTGAGACTCCATTTATGACTACCAATCGAAATGCACAACCACATATCAGTCAAATGGTGTGCCCACCAAGAGCAAAGCATCTTCCACTACTTCTTCTCCTTGTTCCAGATCAAAAGTCCTTTGCCATATAACCCCGAAATGACACCTACACCTCTCTTCCCATCCATTGTGACACCACTAGAAGCATAGATCTCTGTTCCCACATATACATCTTCGACACCATTCTCCCTGGTCCACTGAGCTACATAGCTGGGTGCTATGGCATCACACCCGGCAGAAGTGGTGTCAGCACCGCAATGTTGTCTACTTTCTGAGAATTTGGTCAAGGCACCAAGTTGAGCATGGCCAGCGATAAACAGCTTGCCGTCTGACATGTGCAGATTGTCGGGCCAGAAAGGCATAGCGATAGCCTCTTTGTAAGTAAGTGTAGGCGGAGAAGCACTCTTGTCCATCTCGTATAAGAAGACCTTTGCCGAAGAGCTAGAAGACACCGCGATAGTGGAGCCGTTCACCATTGCGATTCCATTGGCAAAGGAAATTCTGGCAATCTGTTGTGCGGTTCCGGTGGAGAGGTCAAGGTGCGTGACGCCACCAAGAGGAAGACCGAGATATGTCTCTACCATATTCAATGCTTTCGATCCTTTAGGAGTGAAGAAATGGTCATTAGTAACTAGAGCTTCCGTGGCCGAGATCTGGATCACAGCATTAGGGGCTCTGAGGTATGGCGAGGAGATGCTTTTGATAAAGGTTGCGGAGTTTCCAAGGCGGGAGAAGTGGTATTGGTCGACTGTACTACCCGAAGTGCCGTGATTGACTGCGAGAAGAGTATTGGTAGATAGGTCCAGGGAGAGGCCTAAAGGGTGAAAGGAGTAGTCCTTGGGAGTGTTGAGCAGGCGGATGGTTTCCAAACTTGGTTGAGGGCGGGAGTAGTCGTAAAGGTAGAGCTGACCATTCTTGGGTATAGTTTTGCCGAACACGCCNCTGGAATATTCACATGAACACAAGGACGAAAGAAAGGTTGATGGCTGGAAACTCACCATGACAGTATTCCAGACATCTCGACCTTCATCGCAGCCAAACACCACATAACCCACTTTCTCGTCCACAACCAGATCTTCACAGTTTCTCAACTTATCGGCATATCTGATCTCGTAGTTACCTCTTTCGGTCATCCAACCTCGAGGGATTGAGAGCTTGGCAGGATGGTTGTTGGTCTCCAAGGTGTATAGCAGAGATAAGCGGGAGTAAATGTGCGGGATACAGGCCGCAATCGCCAGCAGAAGCTACTTCGATCAGGTCAACTTTCTTTACAATGAACACGGAGACATACAATGTTGAGTTTCAAACCCATGTTGAGAAAGCTGGTGTCAAGGATGAGGTGTTGAAGGACAAGGTCACGTCAAGTCATGAACAAACAGATGTTGGTGCTTTCACAACGGCTTTTTCTGCCGAACTCCACCAAGCACAACACGTATTTTGTCAAGAACAAGGAATATTCAGATGGCCGAACAAACTCGGACTATGTGGTTCATCAAATGACAAGACTCTGGGAAGGAAAGGCAATGGTGATGAGAGATGAGGTTGGGCCTTTGGGAAGGAAGACCCCGCGCAGAGCCGAGGCGCGTCCTTCCCATCCTTCCACTTTCCATCATCAGCATCCATGTCAGCCATCCACCATCGAGCTTTATCGACGTCCAATAGATACAGAATCCGCGTGTTTGTCTCTCTTCGATTGTGTATCTTTACCTCGGCGCGGGATACACTCCTTGCCACGACAGCCATCATTAAGCCGCGTGACCAGTCTGCGCGAACTGGGAACAGTGGTTCAACAACCACATTCAGCCACAGGCATCGCTGCTGTGACCATTTGTGATATCTTTTGGTCCTTTCTCACTGTTCAGAAAGTTATTGGCCCGGGCTCGCGTTTCGGACTCGATCTCATCCTCTCCTCCATCTCGTGTCTAGCCGTCGAGACTTCTTCGCCTGGCCACATTGCCTCATACTCATTCTCAAGCTACGATGACGCTTAGAGAGAGCGCTCTATCCAAGCTTCAAGTCTTTATGTTGTAAGAATTCAGTAGTCTTCATCCTCAGCCCTATCGTATCCGAACTTGGGCATCACGGTGTCTTGACAGAACCAGTCTCTTTTCTGCTAGATCGGCAACTGAATATGGTATCCACTAACTGCCGAATCTTGTGATGTTCACGGCGAACAGGCACTCTCTGGAAACACGCTGTATGATCTGCTCATTGTTCCTTGGGATCGACGACCCCTTCGACGTCGGATCCGCCAATGCTTTGTTCACCCTCGCAAGGAATGTTGTTGCGTCCATCCCGCATCCGGACTTGATCCTGCGACTTTTAACAGCGAGGAATCTTTGATCGGATCCGGCTCGATCATCGGGTCTCTTGCTGTATCGCGCACGCCAATCGATGTTCATATACAACCTCATCGACACAGTCAAGATGACTGACGCTGATGATACAGACATGTCCAACACTGAACCTGATCGCCACCGTCGCTTTGATGTTCCANCACCCCCGCAAAGACCTCACTTTATCAAGGAGAATCATTGGTCCAAGTTCTCGTCCAAGTTGTCTGCGAAGCTCAATAGCAGCAAGACTGGATTCGATGTCAAGNCTTTTGGCCCATCAGATATCACAGCGTGCAGACTTGGGCCTCCTAGCAATGCTCCAGACTATCAACTCTTTCTCGAGAAGTATGGTCTACAGTGCATGGAAGCTGCCGGATTCATCAACTGCCAATATACAGGAATCGGTGACAAAATAACAGGGCGTAAGGTCTTTGGTAATCTTAATCAAGACCCAGACCTCCAAAAGAGGATCCATCCAGTCCTTAGGCGCACACAATGGGTCACTGTCACTGACCATCAGTACAACCTGATGACCCCAGCTTTACTGCTAGCATCGGCTGTTCTGGACGACCCAGTCACTTTGAACTATTTTTATGCTCTGGCTATGCCACCTGCTTCCATGGATACTGTGTCACATGCTACTGCGGGTCTCACGGCTGATTGTAATATAATGCGGATACCGGATGTGTTGGACGACCACGTACAGTGGGCGACGCATCTGAAACTAGTTCTCATGAGGCTATATATACATGACTGGGGATTCGTCAATGACCGTATGGAATCTTATGCTTACACATACCCGACTCAAGACCCATCAGGCGATTTTGAGCCCGCAAGTGGACCGTAAGTCTAGGAAGGTACCAAGTGCATATGCCTTCGACGTCAAACGCACGTTCGTCGAAAACAAGACTGACTAGTCCTTTGCCAGACAGAAACACATTTCGCTCAAGGANTCCGCATCAAGCCGGCGTACATCAATGTGCTAGAATACCTCGAGGATCCCAATGATGAGAGGATGAGCGATCTATTCGATGACATTCAGACCTTTGCTGGTATTCACATTTCACGCCGAGCACCAATATCTGTCATGTCATGCAAATACCGCATGTACTTGAGCCTGGCTTCGGTCATTCTCCATGAATTTGCTCACGCGTTCTCCTACGCATATCACGGCAGCCCGGACCCAGATTCTAATCATTGTCAAGACCCCTGGGTACCAGGCAACAGGTCCAATGAACAAGGCTTCGCTTTCGAGAATTACGTATTTGGTGGCCTTCTGAAACACATCATGATATATCTCCCGCCCATGAGCGAGAAGTGGGGTACCCTGCAACACGCTGCCGTACCCTTTGGATTCTATACTAACCGGCAGTGGGACGTCTGGGCGAGGAACGACCACCGCAATTACGAGCAAGTCATGGACTCTGATCGTCAACTCCCTGCTGACATTCCACCTGATCGATTGTACCCGGTGCCTCAGGAGTGGACGCAGTGGATGTTTTCGAACGACCTGTGGACTGATCAGATTTTACGGTATGGACTCGAAGCAATCAAGGTGCCCAAGATAGAAAAGTGGGAGATTCGCGACTATGGTGGAGGCAGAGGATACCATGGGACAGGAGAGGAGAGGTGGAGCAACCCGCAGAATTTAGAGTACCCGCCTACTTGGGACGAGTTCTACGACGACAAAGATGTCTAGGGAGAGTAGATAGAAGAACAGGCAGAGTGGGGTGTCATTACAAGCAGAGTGGAAAGATTCTGCAAACTCTCGCAAGCTAGCTTTCCATGGTTATGTACTGTATGAAGAGCTTCCACTTTTCGGTCTTTCTGCCTTTGGGACCTGATCCGCTGATCGACAGCGAGGCCGTTTCCATGCTACTGTATCGCGATCGAAGATTCGGTAGATAGATACCGCAGCCGGGCGTGATTCATGCGACGCCCTTTCGTGACGGTACATGGAGATTGCTTGTGTTCTGGATGTACACTATGTGCGTTTGAAGCTGTGGTGGGCAGGATTATTGTATGACATTGCTTTTCGAAATGACAGCAAGCCTGGTAAGGATGAATTTGCCGGTGGCTCAACTTCTCGATCGCGACCTTGACCTGGACAAGGGACTCCTCCTTCGGTCTGGCAGCTCACGGCTGTGACTTCTCCTTCTCTCATCGCGGTTACGACTGTAGCTCCTCCGTCTTTCGTAGCTGCGACTTCTGCTTCGTCTGTCGTAACTTCTGCTCCTGCTTCTTTTTCTCTCATAGCTTCGACTCCGGCTCCTGCTGTCGTAGCTCTTGTCCCTTGATCTTGAATCGCCATTTCTGACTTCTTCGACCTCGCCATCACTTCCATCTCTCATGTCCTCGTCTTCTGCATCCAGCTCATCAATCTCGTCGCCCAATGGACTGACGCGTGGTTCCAGCACGTCGAGATCCTCCAGTTGTGTACGGCTCGGCATCTTCCACAGCGATGTGGCGCACACACGGTCTTTCGTGAGCAAGTCGTCAATGAATTGATCGACGTAGCTCAGAGCGTATGCGTCCCTCGTCCTCCTCTTCAATTTTCTATAGTCGCTCAAGTACGCCTCCAAGGTCTCGTAGATATCTTTCGGCTCCCACGTCAAGCGAATATAGAATGCCGCCAGTGCTCTCAAATACTTGAAGTCCTCTTGCTGCAGATAGTGTATTATGATGTCTTTCTCGGGCGTGAGTTGGAGCAATTTGAAGGCGAGACAAAGGAATGGCGTGGGCTTTTGACCGATGCCGTAGGTGCCACCGATGAAGCCGAGGTCGACTGCGCGGTCGCAGAGGGTGGCGGCGTTGAGACCAAAACATTGCTCTTTCCAGTAATACGAGTCGATGATGCGATCGCGGACGGCTTTTTCGAAGAGGAGGAGTGGGTTTTGACCGCGGATGAGGGTGCCTGTGTAGCCGCGGTCGTCGAGCATGCGCGTGGCATCTGCTTGGTGCGCCATGGTGAATGCGTGTGGTGGTGTGAAGAAGAGGATGTCAGTTGGCGCAAAGGTCGATGGAAAGTTGAAGGTGCGAAGAGTGACGAGGTTATGCCAGGATTGCACATGTCGTGCATAAAAAAGTGTGGAGCTTTGCGAGTTGCTGTGGGGATGTCTGCTTATCAACAATGATGCTGCTTGTGCGATAAAGGGAAACCACGGCCGTTGCATTCTTGAATATAGCAAGGACTCAGTATGGGGAAGTTGCTATTGACGAGTGGCCAAGTTCAGGTCTTGCTCTCATCAACTNTTTGGTATGTCTGTACACGTCTTTACCTGAATCAACAACTAACATTCTCCGCAGTCGCAGCCATCACCTTCTTCCTCTTCCTTGCGGGTTACACGATTCAACAACGTTCAATCGCCGACTTACAATCTCAACTCAAACCACGTATCCCAGTCAAGCCGCTGTCCCAAAACACTCAGCAACCCTTATCTGGACCTCAACAGCCCTCTCGTCTCTTCAACTCCGAGCAAAATGCCATCATCTCAGAGCACACAAGTTCTCAACAATTACCACAAGTGAACTGGCAGAAGCTGGCTCACGTTCAGATAGTCACAAGCCACCATGACGTCTGCAGTACAATCATGTTCTTCGGCGACCTCGCTCGTCTCAAATCTCCAGCCCGTCGCATCCTCCTCTTCCCACAGGTCTGGGCAATGGAAAAGCAAGCTGCCAAACATGACCTGATCGATCCGTATATGGACATTACACGCCGTCTACTCCGCCGAGCTGCTCGTCGCTACAAAGTCGAGTTGCGACCTATTGCTTCTTCTGCTGGCCAGGATGACACCTCACTCGCCAGTCTCTGGGCCTTGACGGATATGGAAAGAGTCATGTTGTTGCAAACGCCAGGCCTAATCCAGGATGCGGAAACCTTAGATGCTGCACTGGCTTTCACATCTCCCGCGCCTTTGACTCTGCTGCAGCAAGACACGGACTTGAACCTGGCCTCCGAAGACCTGGTCCTCGCAACCCCAGCCAAAGAGACACATAGAGTCCTTACCACAAACTCTTTCCAGAATATCACCTCGATAACTTCTGCTCTACACCCAGCTTACCTTTCATCCTCCATCATCGCCAGTGTCGGAGATCTGCACAATGCTGTTCATCCCAATCAGACGGCCTTCCTTGAGACTCCTTACATTCGCTTCAACGACCCCAAACTCCCTGGTCCAGAGTGGGAAGTTGACTATGCGCGAGTTGTGCGAGCACGTCCCAAAGATAAGGATGCGGATTGGCTGTGGACCAAGATGTATGGTGAATTTGCGGGTAGGAGGTATGATATCTGTGGTTTGGGTCTGGAGGTTTGGAGGGACTGGTGACTGATGATGACATAATAACAATGCAGATAGCATTGATGGTATAGATGCTTTTATATATACCAAGAATCTCCAAAGCGTACAGCCTCAGCTTTCTCTGAAAGATACAAATGCGGACCTCAAGCGAAGAAAGCAGAATTTTGATAACCTCACGCCGAGAAATTGATGCACAAACCCTCAAAAGGCTGATCACACCAAAGGGCTCATTTTGTGGAGGAAGGAATTACTTACGAATTAAGAAGTTCTGTAGCAGCGGCCTCTTCGGAAAGAGTACTGCCATAACCGCGATACTCTAAACACACCGTCGATCTCCTCGTGTTTGCGATTGAAATCTGGTGATTAGAGAGTCTAGTAGCCATATCACTGTACCGAACGACCTGAATAGCTTGTGTTTGCAAGACTAACAGAGGCTCTGTTTGTGACATAAGTTGAAGTGCTGCGAAAGTAACTTCGGTGATTGCGGAACGCTTGTGAAGCCATTCCCTCTCTATGAGAAGAGAGACTCTCACGGAGAGAGAGACATCTGAGAAGATGTAAAGACTGCGAAATGAGATCAGCGGATGGACGGACTCGAACGTGAGACCCTTTGGTGTAATACAGCATAGCGATTGGGCTAGTGTGAAGTGTTGATATGTTCAAGAAATAAGTTATTGATAACCCATCAGAGAGGATTTGCCTGGTATGACCGATGATGAATGGATGGGGCTCGCACGCATTGCGAAGAATTGAATGAGCGACAAAGTACAATCAACGAACGAGGGCAAGATTAAATGCGTATATGTGGAAGGAACGAACAAAGCTCTAACCGATCGATCGGCTGTCCGGCAGCACGACCCACTGACGATTGCTCCTTCCCAAACCAAATCTCCTCACAGCTTCTTTGCGGCGAATCCCAACTGTGGTTTGGCAGTCATCTGTGAAAACACCACAAACTGGCTCTTCAAAAACACATCTCCCAGAATGCTGAACCCGATGCCAGTGTCAGACTGCATACCTCCGAAGCATAGATTGTTTCCGAGCGCCGCGTAGTTCATATATGAGCCTGGCACTGTGAAGGGCTTGCCACCAATTATGGCGATCCAGTTTGGCAGCTTTGCGTTGCATGCAAAGACCCAGCCACCTTGATAGTCGCTATACATGGCACCCTTGACTTGTTTGTAGTATGCACTAACCACGTCCGAAGGCAAGAGCATTAGACTTGTGCCTGTGTCGGCCACGCAGCTGTACGTCTTGGTGACCTTTGCACCACTGCCGATGGCATACCCGCCTGCGGAAAACCGCCAGAAGCCGCTGTTTGGGTCGGTGTTGACATAAGTGATACTGCCGGTGTACTTTGTGCTATCGATGTAGCCAAAGTCGTAGCTGCCAGGAGCTCCCTTCTTCAGATCTGCAGTAAAAACGGGTTTACCAAGCTGAGCTTTGATGGTATCGAAGAAATTGTTCTGTTGATTGGGCTGGACAGTGTTGACAGTGCTGAATGCCAGTCCAAGAATGCCGTCGCTATCGAGGTCTGAGATCATGCCAGCCGAGACTGATGTTGCTGCTTCGACGGCCTGCGATGTTGCCGTAGCACTTCCGGCGACAACCTTGTCAGCGAAAACTTTGCCACTCGCGCCTGATCCGTCCCCGTACTCGATGTCCCAAGTATAGCCAGCCATCAAGTTTGCATTGTTCGAATTGTAGTAAGCATGACCAGATCGTTGTGCTGAAGGCTGTAGATTCGAGTAAACCCAGAGATCCGCACTGCCAGTGTCGAAGTTGAGATTCAGAGTTCTTCCGCCTATAGTGACCGGGCAGAGATACTCCACATCTCCAGGCTCTGGTGTTGATGCGACTNNGTTGCTATCGTCGCTGATGCTGCTGCTTTTCTGACGGCGCTTGGTGCAGACGCTCCTGCTTTGGCATACTTTGCGNTACACATGCAAGAGCTTCTGAGCCGGAGGTTGATTGGTCGAGTTGTTGTTGAGTATCTGATCGAGGGTGAAAATGGTCTTGCCTTTGACGTCGGCAGTCGTTAATGGTTGGCCGTGACACAAGCTATAGATTGCTGTTGTAGTGGACAAAATATGGAAAAGGTGCATTTTCAAGAGAATGTCACGGTCCACACTAGGTGAAAGTGAGCGAGGTGCTAGAAATTGAGCATGGCATTGATTCAGCTTAAGTTCTTGATACAGCCAAAGACGTTATATTTCCAGCCAACATCGCCGTTGAGGATGTTTTGGACGCCACGCGATTTGATTCACTCTGTCGAAACAGTTTTGTTGATTCGCAATCCAGAGTTTCGTCGACCAGCTGTGAACCGATTCGCCTTCAAGTGGTCTGTATGCGTGCGTGTGTTCTGTTCGAGGCGGCGACCAATATATCAGACAACACAATCTAATGCCCGACTCCGTGTGTTGCTCAAAGGCCTCATCGCAAACGGAAGAAGTTGACCTCGATCATCAGCTCACAAAATAAGTATCATTCAGTCACCGCTACCAAGGACATACCATACTCTGTCATTCTGCTTTCACGTCACGCAGTATAACACGTATTGAACCTTGAGGCCAGTCGTGGCCATGACCGTTGTGCACGTCTCGGTTCATGTCTAACGCTCGCTCAGCGTGCCGTGTGCAGTCACATGTCGAGTAATACCGTACACCATCGTGTGTCAGGCTTTGTGCTGGAAGGATCTGTAAGCTGAGGATGCTGATCCCGCACAAGATGATAATCATGGTCGAGCTGTCCTTTGTCGAGGTCGGAAGATCGAGTTATTGGATTTAGGTGGGTCTTCGTCGCGAGGAAAGTGGTCAAAGCTCGCTTTGTTTACGCGCGCCAAGTTGTAATTGCCGCCCCTGAATCCACCCTAAACTTGAACCCCTCCTTCCAGAATCCAGCTTGAGATGCTGCGTACCCGTCCCTCCTCTTGCTCGACGATACTTTGGTCTTGTCTGCTGTGTCTGACATCTTAACTCACAGAATTTGTAACATACCTCGATACATATACGGAGTTGCGTTCCAGTCTCTGAGCCGCTGCGATGGAGTCTAGAACGTTATGCCTGAGAAGGATTGTGTTCAGCATACACATCACGGCGCCTGCATGCATGTGCAATCAAACGTGGATCAGATATACAAGCATCAAGACGCGACAGAGCCAACATGCTTTAGTGCACAGTCAGATCTCGTCAAGCTAGACTCGCGGTAAAGATTCGAGCCGTCTGTACAAGGTAAAAGATCCCACCATGTTCTTGTCAGACGCGACGCCAAAGAGGGGTGCGAGGCTTGGACTGCACCTTCCAGCTCCAAAGGATCGGCAGCTTCTCACGAGCTGACTGGATATACCCAGGGTTGCGATGATTGACGCAGGTGATCTCAATTCACTAGCCAATGTTTCTACCCTTGTAGCCAAGTATGAGCTGCCTTGACCTCTGCCACGAGCATTCATAAGTTCGCCGTGCTCTCCACGCTTTGCAGATTGTATACGGACAACCAACATGACAGAAATCACCAGTTCCGACGGCCAGGGTGAGGGATTGTATGGTATTGACAATGCTTCCAACTCTCTTCCAGCACTTTCCGCCTGTGCTAGGGGTTTCACATCCGAAACCTACGACTTCATCATTGTCGGCGGAGGAACGGCTGGTCTGGCTGTAGCTGCACGCTTGACTGAGGATCCAAATGTTGTCGTCGGGGTCCTTGAGGTTGGCAAATCAAGACTTGACGATCCTCTAGTAGACACTCCTGCTACTTTCCCACATTTGTTGGGCAATCCGGACTATGATCATTGTTTCAAGTCTGTACCGCAGGCAGGTTGAACACGCAACCTAATCTGATAGCTGCTGACTTGAAGATNNCAGGAAGGTAATCGTGGTATCGTCCATCATTTGAGTAGAGGAAAAGCTCTTGGAGGCTCCAGCGCCATCAACTACATGTTGTCAGTACTTTTCACACGACCTCATCGTTGTTTGTTCGCTTATCCTAAACCTGTCAGATATGTTCGAGGCTCTGATGCCGACTACGATGACTGGGCAACACTCGTGGGAGATCCTGCGTGGTCCTCCACAGCTCTCAGACCGTATATGCGCAAGCACGAGAAACTCGAAAAGATCGATGAATCGATCCTAGACCAGACCGATTATCCTCATGTCGGCGAACATCACGGTACAGATGGTCCAGTCCACACCTCTTTCAACGACAGTACATTCCCAATCTGCGATGTCACAATCAGAGCCATGGACGAAGTGGCTGGTCTTTCCAAGAAACCAACAGATCCTTGGAGCGGTGATCATGTTGGCTTCTTTAACACACTTGGTGCTGTAGCTCGATCTGGACCACACAAAGGTAAGAGAAGTTATGCTGCTCGTGGCTACTTCCAAGCAAATGCCTGTCGACCAAACCTCAAAGTGCTTTGTGAAGCGCAAGTGAACAAGATTATTCTGGAGAACGGTGTTGCCGCAGGAGTGGAGTTTGTCTTTGATGGCATGCATGAAACTGTCTACGCCAAGAGAGAGGTCATCCTGTGTGGCGGAGTGATCAACTCACCACAAATTCTGGAACTCTCTGGTGTTGGCGATCCCGCAATCCTCGAAAAAGCCGGCATCGAGTGCAAGGTCAAACTCCCCAGTGTTGGCGAAAACCTCCAAGATCATGCTGTTGCTGTTCTTGGCCTGGATCTCAAGCCTGGCAACATGACCCTAGATATCCTGGGTGATCCGGATGTGATGGGAGGAGCCATGAAGGCCTACATGGAACACCAAAAAGGACCTTTGACCTCGATAGCCAGCACTCAAGGCTTCCTTCCTTACAAATCTCACGTCTCTACTGACGAGCTGGAGAGCACTGTCAAGAGCATCCGTGAGGTTCAGAACAAGCCTGACACCTCACCTTTCTACAAAAGACAGCTGGACCAAGTTATTGCACATCTTGAGAGCGACAAGTCGGCGAATCTACAGTATATCATGATACCTTCTGGAGCAGATTACGAAAATGGTATCACCACACAGAAGCTCTGGCCCCCACCGGACAACACTCGTGCTCACCGTATGGTTCTTGCGCCGTGTCTGCAGTATCCCGTTTCTCGAGGTTCATGTCACATCGAGAGTTCTGGTAAGTAATCTAAGTGACAAACATGATGAAGACGTATCCAATAGCTGACCATATGCACGACAGATCCATCCACACACCCTACCATCGACCCCGGATACTTGAAACATCCCGCCGACGTCGCAGTCCTGGCAGCCGGCCTCCATTTTGTCCACAAGACAACCAAGACCGAGCATCTCGCCCCTCTAATCCAAGAACGATCCTATCCACCCGCCTCCAGAAATCTCGACAATGCCGCCGACCGCGAAGAAGCAGTCAAAGATTGGGTCATGGGAGAATACCATCTCATGGGTACTTGCGCAATGGGAGAAGTCGTAGACAGCAGACTTCGAGTCAAGGGTGTTCAAGGATTGAGGGTGGTGGATGCAAGTGTGTTTCCCAACCACGTCAGCGGCAACATTTGCAGCAGTGTGTACACTGTGGCAGAGAAGGCCGCTGATCTCATCAAGGAGGACTGGGCAACTGTGGAGGTGGAAGCCGGTATGGCAAAGCTTTGAGATTGTTTATCGGCATGGTAAACTAGTTTGACATGTGTTTCTATTCCACGGCAAACTTCAACGAATCATGTTTACGAAAACCCTGAATTCTGATAGTGATATCGATATATAGATCCAGACGCATGCTCACCGTCCACTTTCACTCACTCCATCGCCAATCTTACCTATATCCCCTGGAAATGTCTGTCATGTTGATCGGAACAAAAAACGTCGAACGGAGGACGACCAACTTGGAAACTTTGAAGCCGGTCCCATTCTCGCTGGTGCATCCAGGGTTGATCAAAGTGCCAGTGACTTTACGAAACGCCGAGCCATGGTCAGAGTACGTGTACCGGCGTCGTGTTGAGTGTCCAGAAGTCTGAAGAGCTCCTGATCTTTTTAGAAGAGCTTACCGCCAATTGGCGTATGGGGCACCCAAGGCATCGCCCTGACTCTAAAATGAAAGAAATTCAAGTTGCAGGAGCTCAGGTCAAGGAGCGAGTGAGACCCCTAGCAAATGATGCAAACCCCATAATCAGATTTGTGGCAGGTGCAACCCTAAATTGATGCCGTTGTCTTTACTCAGAATCGATGACAATTGATATGCTACTGTTCCTATAAGTATACCATAAGACAGACTAGAGAGAGAAACATCACTCACGGTCGAGAAAACAAGTAATCAGAAAAATTAAAATAAACTTGCTTCTAATCCACTTATAATACACAATCCACCACCTTTCCCAAAAAAAAACTCCATGATAATCACTTTTCCCATCTCCTGATCTCTACACAATCATCCCTGCGTCTCAACAACCTCGGCAAACCACTGTCTCAACGCACCAGCAAGCACACCAGGCAACTCTCTGACATCCCTGACGACCAAATAATATCCGAATGGGAACGAGTCCAAATACTTGACAGTCCTCACACTCATCTCTCCGGTATTGGGATCCTTGACGAACTCTGCAGTCTGCAAGTCCAAGATGCTCGAATTCTTTTTCTTGTTTTGGGCAGCGGGGGTGGCAGCACCAGAGGGGACTGCGGAACCATTGTTCGAAAGAGCAGAGGTGAGGGTATTGGCGGACGGTGTGGCGGTGCCAGAAACAGAGGGGGCGGTTGCAGTGGCGTCGACGATCACGAAAACCATCATGATGCGTTCTTCGTGTGCTTGACGCACCAACGACCGGATACCTGCGTGGTCCTCGCAGACACCATCAGAGACGATCAATTGCAGTTGCCACAACTCAGAGCTTGCGCCTTGAGCTCTGACTCTAGCAGCTCTGAACAAATCCAGTGACTTTTGTACCAAAGTCTTGACGTTTGTTCTCGTTTGCTCAAAGTTGAACCCTCTGATGACGTTCGCTCCTGCTTCGGCAGTGAACGGTGTTTCGAAAGGCAGTTTGACGCTAACGTCTTCACCAAATCCGAGAATGCACAGCTCACCAGCCTCGAGAATGGACAGGGCGCGCGCGAGCAAGGCCATAGTGTCGAACGCAAGCGTTTGGGCTCCACCCTCAGACATGGATTGCGAATCGTCGATGGCGAGCATGATCTGGTATTGGCGTTTGGATGGCACAGAGCGGCGCATCCAGATCTTGTCACGGCGGTACGAGGAAGCAATGTAAGGAATGATGCGTTTGATGTTCAGGCGTTTACCGGTGCGGTAGTCGCCGCGCATCTTTGTGGCATGGGTTGGCGTGAGAAGCAGACGAAGATGTTCAGCGAGAAGCAAAGAGAGGTTACGAGTCGACGACTCGTGGGTGTTGTACAACGCCCTTGCATCGTCAAGAGACAAGGTAGGAAGGTCGGCCATGGAAGAGATGTGGGCAGACTCGAGTTGGTGGTCGACTTCTTCGATCGAGTCGTCATTGTCTTCTTGAGCTTCAGGACCATCTTGATCGAGGGCATCTTCGCGAGATTGTGCTTCACCAACGAAAGCGTTAGGGATGTTGTCAGCGCCACCTTCTGGGTTTTGCTTGTCGTCTTCCTCGCGGTCACCCATCTCAACATCCTCGTCTGGACGGTAAGCTTCACCATCTTCCTCATCTTCAGGCATGAAGTCCTCTCTTTGCTCCTTGTCGTTGGTAGAGACACCAGCTTCTTCATCGATAGCCTTGGCTTGATCCTCGTTGGCAGCACCAAGAGCTTGAGCATCAGACTCCTCGGCTTCGTTCTGCAAGTGTTCAAACTCAGCATCATTCATATCAACATCGGTGGGAGGCTGTTCTTTGCGTTCCTCCTTGTCGGCTTGAGCATCTTGAATCTGCTTCTGCTGCTTGTACCACTTCTCGAGGGCATCGCCAATCTTCTTGTAAGGCATGGACTCTTGCTTGTCTTCTGTTTTTTCCTCGTTTGCGGCGGCGGCAGAGTTCTCGGCAACACCTCGTTCACCTTCAGCACCTGCTTGCTGTTGTTGTTCTTGTTGAGCACCCTGCTCGCCAGATTCGCGTTGAGCAGCACCTGCGTCATTGTCCTTATTGTCGTCTTGAGGTTGCTGATCATCAAGACCAGCACCTTGGGCTTCGCTAGGTGCGATCTCATCGGCAGCATTGGTATCATCCTTGCGGTTGTCTTGAAGCATGTCTTGATCCTCTTGAGCATCCTCTTCCTCTTCGGGCTTGTCGGCGTCTTCACCGACTTCGTTGGTCTTGTCTTGACCATCCTCATCGGCATTTTTGTCGGCTTCATCTTGTTGAGCGTCGAGGTCGGCAGGGATCTCGTCTTCGGGTGAGACGTCTTCCTCTTTGCTTGGATCGTCAATCTCGCCCTCTTGTTCACCTTCAGGTTGAGGCAGGTCCTCGTCCATGGGATCAATGTCACCCATGTCTTCCATACCTGACTCATCGCCATCTTCAGACTTGCCGTCCATGTCAATGTCATCAGGAAGGTCAAGGTTGTCCTGCTCTTGCAAGTGAGGATCAGTCTTTTCGGTCTCGTCAGGAGGACCATTCTCAGCCTCGTCAGCACCTTGCTGCTCGCCTTCATCCTCCTCTTCCTCGGCATCATCATCATTCTCCTTCTTCTCTTTCTCGTCCTTCTCTTCACCATCGGCAGCGGTCATCTCATTCTGGTCCTCGGTGCCGGCATTGTTTTCGCCTTCTTTGTCCTTGTTGTCTTCGTCTTTGCCGCCATCATCCCACATCTTTTCATCGACGGTTGAAGGACCAAGGTCATCGACGTCGCCAACTTCGTCTTCCATCTCATCTTCACCTTCATCTTCCTTGTCACTTCCCTCCTCGTCGTCCTTCTCTTCAGCATCGCCCATCTGGCCTTCCATCTCCTGATCGCCCATGTCGACAGCATCCTTTTCATCCTCAATTTCGTCTTTGTCGTCGCGATCATCCTTTTCTTGTGCAAGCTCGCCAAGGTCCTCGTCGTCTTCGATATCCTTCGAGATATCTTCAGCACCTTCTCCTGAGCCGAGGCCAGTTCCGCCTTCAAGCTTGTCATCACCCTTGTTCTGGTCGTTTGACTTTTCAGGAGGTGTACAGAAGCCCTCCTTCGATAGCTGAACAAAAATCTTTGCAAGACGGAAAGACATCTGACCAAGAGCTGCGTGCAGATTCTCGAGACGAGAAGACAAGTATACTGCAAGGTTGTTGTATTGAGCAATGAAAGGAACGAAGGAGTGCACAACAGCAGCAGCGACATCAAGATTAGTGTCGAGCTGGGGCACCTGCAACATGAGCTCTTGCATGCGGGTCGTAACATGAGAAAGGCGCAGAGTCTTGGCAGCAAGAGACAAGTTCTGACTCTCGTGAAGAAGCCAGTTGGGGTCTTCTGCAGACAGAGGAAGTTGACTGAGCGGCTTCTCAAGATCCTGGACAGAACCGAGGATAGAGTCAACCAAATCGCAGGCTGCCTGTCCAAACTCGTCAATCTTGATAGATGTCTTGCGCGAGATCTTCTTCGATTTCGAAGTGCTGTCGTTGGCGGATGCCCAGAGCTGAAGTTGTCTGAGAGTGGCTCCAAGGTAGGGGTGTTGCTCGATGCAAACAGTGAGCTCAGTGTGCAGCTCTTGCATAGCGATCTTGCTCTCCTCGATGACCTTGGTGTGGTGATCACTGGTAAGTCCAGCAGGCAGTGTAGAGAGGCCTTGCCACTGTATCTTGAGACTCTCAAACTTGACAGCCCACTGTCCCAGGCTCTTGACAACACTGTCACAATCGAGCTTACCGAGCTCAGCTTGAGAAGCTACAATGCGGGCAGCAGACTTGACCATAACAGGTAAACAAGCAATAGCGGTAGCCACATCGTAACTCTGCTTCTTCTTGCCACTGAGCTCAAGCTTGCCATTACCCCAAAGGCTTTCTGCCTGGTTGAGTAAAGTCTCCAGAGTCTTCTGACCTTCAGTCACAAATCCGAGGACGTTTCTCTGCTGGATGAGGACCTGTAGCATACTTTCGCAAAGTGCAACAGATCGTGCGATCTCAGCACCAGTCAGATCGTCGGAGTGCTCTCTAGCGGCTTCTCTGACTAGCGGCATGAGGTAGAGCAAACGATGCAGATAGTTCTCCGACAAGTCCTTATCCATGATAGGGATGGCAGCTAGAACAGCTTGCAGAGAGTCTTGTCTAGCCAACACATCACTTGTCATGTTGCTCTTGAAGCCCATATTTCTGAGCTCCTTCAGTACATCAGCAAAGAGCTTACGCTTGCGGTTCTTGAGATGCTTGACAGTTTCAGTGTTCTCCTCTGTCAAAGTTGTTGGTGTGGCTTTGCGGAGCTGGGCAGCAATTGATTCGGTGTCGGAAAGCCATGTGTTGATCTCAGAAGCACAATCAATATGCTCAGACTTGATTGCACCCTTGGACTGCATGACCGTCAAGGTAGTGGCAGTGTTCTTGAAACGAGCAGGTCGTTCGTTCCACTTGGGAACCACTTCGGTGCACAAAGCGGATGACGTAGGGTCAACAGGGACTTCAGTCTTGCGAAGACCAGCAGCGGTAGGAGTCTCTGAGAAGGCAATGTCAGGTAATCCTGCTGAGACAATGCTCTGGGCGGGTTGTGCGAGAAGAACT